TACTTATCGAGCCATCGCATGTGGAGGTCTTAGAGGTAACGATACCATAACGTTTATCAGTTTGTTACGAAATTTAAAAATGAATCAATTTCAGATTTTTCGACGATGTAGCACTTAAATTGATTTTCAGCCGGAGTCAGGCTCAGCACGGTACATAACCTTTTTTTAGAAAGTCCGCCCACTTTTTGGCGGCTGAGTTAAGCGCTCCCTTAAAAAAAGACAAAATAAATAACGCCATATCGAAGGTTTCAAGCCACAATGAAAGCTTAGCAGATCTATACATCATCAGTACCAGCCTATAATGTACGAGTAGACCATTGGAGGGATTTGCTCTTGTCGTCACTTGAAACAGGTATGGAAGTTGAGCGATGGAGCAACATCGACCATGTAACATTACATTTAAAGGCTTCGTGATATTCTACCAAACCATTATTTGTAAGGATCACGCTAAAGATAAGTAATGAGGTGTAAGGCAGAATCCCGAGTGCACTAACTCCCATGGTAGGGGTAGGGGTACCCTTCCACGAGTCTCGTAGCCAGACCTTTTAAGGCCAAGCGGTTGTTACATTTCTGTTACACTTACACGGTAGGATCTGGGTACGAGATTGCCCCCCAACTAAGGGTGAGAGGGGTAGGGGTGAATGAGTATACCACAGAAGGGAAACACTTGATTTTAATTACACTGCACATTGCGATGACTGATAGGGCTTTGAAACGAATATTTTGCCGGAATATTTTAATCATTTAAGTTCCATACAGCTTGGTGTGGGTTAAATAATAAATAGTTACATGTGCAAATGTGCCTAAGCGTTGACACATTGAGACCATGCGACAATTAGGCTAGAGATTACACTATGACTAGGCATTCATACAGCAATGAAAGCACCAACCGCGCGGAATGTTTCTTAGATGTTATTTTAGTGCGCGTTTTTAGTTAGCTCATCGATGTATCAGGAGCAATTCGTTTTTACTAAGGCTAAGTAAGAGAACCGAATCGTTTTTTTAATCTCTAAGTTATGTGTATACAGAAGGTGGTCGCATCAATTCGTCCAACACCTGAGCTAACTGGGCGCTCTCGTAGCCACCCTCACTTCTTTTTTCCTTCTCTGCTGCTGACTCGTTCCTTCTGGATGAGATTTGCTCGTTGCTTTTGCCCCTGTGCGCATTTTCTTTTACACTGCCACCACTGAGATTGCGAGAGGCACTAGTTACCAAGCCTTCAGCGTACCACTTGACAGGTTCAGACCCCGTGCCTTTTTTTTCACCTGATCGAAGAAAGAAATCTCTCTTTTGGATATTGGGGTCAATTCTCTCCCTTCTTGCGGTCCGTGTTGGTAAAATGACCCCTGAGACATCAGGAATACATTCATGCCACACCTTTAGATACTTAGACGAGCTCGGAACACTCTGAAAGAATGGCGCACTTGCCTGCACATCGCAATGTTGTTGTTTTGCGCAATGTTTCCTTATTTGGTCGGTCACATGACTTGGATCTGGGACATTTGTGTTAGGTGTAGAGGTAGATGAATCGGCAGGTGCAGAGCTGGTGCATGTCACAGAGTTACCCTCTCCCCACCGAGCTTGAGTTACTTTCACTCGTTTGCCAGGACTGCATTGTAATAACGCACGGTCGCCAACACACATGACGGTCACGTTCTGCGAAGTCAGGTCAACAAAACTGTTATTTCTCCCACTCTTTAAAAATTTTTCGTTTTGGTTCTTTAAGAATAGACACTAGTTAATAACAATCAAGCTGCCAGATAACTTCAATTCAGTGATAAAGTGGGAGTTCGGGTGCAACGCGGTGGGAACAATTTTCCAATCGAACGCTGATAAACTTTTCATAAATCTTCACTAGAATTCCCCAGACGGCTATTCACTACTGTGTTCTTAGAAACTTTATGTCTGTTATCTTAACAGCAATGCAAATATTTCGTACGTTACTGCTATATGTGAATAGAAGTACCTTAAGTGACTAAAGGGGTAAGTTTCTAAAGAAACTGTGGTGCTGCGTTGGTGGGAGAGTATAGCAGGTAATTAAGTGTTAACAACTGAGTTGAAAACGTAAATTAGCCACCGTAAAGGGTAGAAAAGCTGACGTTTCGAGCGTTAGCCCTTCGTCAGAGCGATTGATTAAGGGCTAACGCTCGAAACGTCAGCTTTTCTACCCTTTACGGTGGCTAATTTACGTTTTCAACTCAGTTTTTAACACTAAATTACCTACCTGAAGCGACAGTCTGCCATGTCTGCAAGATCTTCAATCTTGCAGCACTTACCGTTTGCACTGTATATAGCGGAGTATAAATATCCGTTGTTATCTTCCACATTGGATGCCCAGGGACTCCGGGCATTCCGACCTGTCCTGGCAAGCCTCCGAATCCCATTCCTCCTTTTGCCCCTGGGGGCCCCTGTGGCCCTGGAAGTCCGGGTGGTCCTGGTAACCCAACCTGGCCATGTTTCCCTGGGGGACCAGGCCATCCTGGCATGCCAGCTGATCCAGTTATTCCGGAACTACCAAGGGGACCTTTTGCTCCCGGAGGTCCCTGGGGGCCCGCGACTCCTCTTACAAAAAATCCCATGGAGAGTTCTTGGTTAAGAAGATCAAATGTTTGAATTGAATCCAGAATATCCTGGGTTATTTGGTCGCCAAGCCTGGGCCATTGTTCCTCGGAATGCGAACAAGCTAAAAGACAATCATGGCTTTGACAAGATTTATCTTGGACGAGTATCAAGATCAAATATAGATTGAAACACTGGATCACACTTTCGTTTTAAAATTTATTCTCACTGCAATTGATACAAAATAGAGTTAATTTTTGGTTCATTGGCGAGCTCCCAGTCAATCCCTTTTGGTTGAAATTAAGCTTATTTATAGAACTGAAAATGAAATCTTAACGGGGTACACATTTTTGGCACGTGGCTAGTGTAAGCAATCCACACTATTTTCCCCGGAAAAAGTGTTTTGAAAGCGCCCAAAGGAAACGAGAGGCGGGTAAGTCAGCAGGTATGAACAGGTGTAACTTGGTGAATTAAAACCCAGCGATTTTAAGGGAAAAGTTCCCAATGCCATTTTGGCGGACAATTTTTTTCATTTAACAAAACAATTTTAGTTCCTCTATTTTGAACGTAAAGATTGCTTTAATTTGAGATTCGGTAATGGCCCTTCCCATCTTATCATTCTAGAGATTCTCGTTCATTTTCTTCTCAATTTTTTTCTGTTTGTATCCATAATTAAGCGACACTGTTACAGGTACTTGAGTTGATGTAGGGGTAACCAAAATGTCGTTTTATGTTCGTAGTTGATTTAAGACATTTTCCTATCTGAAGCCAACGCTCAGCAAACAGAGCTTCAGTTTAAGACTTTAAAAACTTGCCTTCTCACCCAATAGAGGTTTATAGAAAACTTCAATTTTACCTTTACAACGGCAACTAGTTGCATTAACAATATGACCCTGAAATATCCCATGACGGTTTGATCTACAAGCTTAAGATAAAAACAAATCAAATAATCAAAGTGTTCATAGCTGAAAAGTCTCTCAGTTGACCAAGTTAAAAATAACAAATAACTCGATAACCTTTCATCTCCTAACGTTCTTCAGTTATAAATTTATGACGCCACAATGGGTTCTTATAATTTAACCGTGTACCGCAGTATTGCGAGAAGAGTTTCGTTGCCATAAATTAATGACTTGAAAATTTAACAGACAACGAACTCGACAATGATTTTCGCTGCATGCGTATATCCCTCCTTTAATACCCTTTTTTTCAGTTCCATACTAGTGGGATGCTAAGTTCTGACAAATAGCAATTGTCCTTAACTTGAAAGGCGCAAAACGCTCTCTTGAAATGGGGGCGACAAATGGACCATGGCGAAAATAAATTATCTAAACTTACTTTAGAAGGCTCAGTACTCATACTTACTAGACTGTAAATAGAATTGTCGTAACTAAACCATATTCAGTCAAGCTCCCTTTTTCTTCTCTGAAACTGGCGAGTCAACAACGATAGATGTACTGGCTGTTACCATAGGTTTGAAAGTTTGGAATGACCTGATGATCGAGATCCACAAATCACCGCGGGTGACGATTCTACCAAAGTGACGTCATCGTGTTTACAATTGGAAGAGTTAGCTCTCCTATCTCAGTCAACGCATTGTCTTTGAAAGAAAGCTCGTTATCATATTTAATTTGTGGTTTCAGCAGTTAAACACGAAAGAAAAGGTATTTTACTTTGCCGATTAATTTCCAAAACTGACTTTTCTACTCTCCCACGTTCTTTCCTTTTTACAAGTGGTCCCGACGGACATTGCAAACGAGACACCCAAACCCAAACAATTAGTTTCGTTTATTTTTATCATTTAAGTTCATTTAACGCCGGTGTTCTGCTGATATTGCTTACATCAGCGTCTTAGTTTACAGCATAGCTCCATCAAAGCGGAAGTACTTCAGCCACTGATCGAGAGCAAATCAACACCTTTTATGTCCTAAGGAAAGCTCGTCTCTTCCAAACGTGATATCATGAAGCGAAAGTCTTCAAATAAAAGATATATTGCTATAATGACATCTACATGTACAACTTGTCTAACAAAGCACACTAATTATATTCCACCATGTAATTGTGCATCATAATCCAGTCACAATAAAGCATGCATTAAAGGGAATTAAAATTTGGTAAAAAATAAATAAACGAGCATCAACGAAAGAGCGCAAATTGACTTCTCACTAAAACCTATTTTTAACAACAGCGCAAAGCGTTTGATGAAAACTGAAAGGTCACGGAAAACTCGATGGGGAATATGGCGTGGGAAATAAGACAGGATAAAAGCGGAGAGGGAAATTAATCAAAGTAAGAAAGCAGGAAATACTTTAAACACAATAACGTGGTCGAAGGAGGTCTGTAGCCGTCTGTTAATGACGGCGTAAAGCAAATGGGACATCTTGTGAGACGAAGGCCTCTTAACACGAAATGGATGCAGGAGGATTCCTAAAAACATTGTACAATCAAATAATAGCTGCTAAATCATGTTGATAGATTGCGTGCCTGTCTTGAAGCACGTTTTCTTCTGGAAGAAGAGGAGCTTTCTTGCACCAAGCCCTGAGGCAATATTGACTGTTATCGACTGACAAAATAGACAATAATCAAATTTCTAGTACCTTCTCAAACTGATTCGCGAATTATAGAAAGCCGACCGGAAAACCACTAGATTTAAACCAAAACCAAATTTACAGGCAGAAGTTAGCATTTATGATCTCTTAAATAGCCGGAATAGCTCGCGTTAATGCTTTAGTAAAGCACATTAGTAACATCATCCAGCGCTTTGTAAATATTTGTTCCACTTCATTTCTCTTCGATCACGTTTTTTTCTATTGCCTTTTGTTTTGCAGAGATGCAAAACGGAATTCCAGCCGACAAACACAGGTCTCTATTTCAAGTGGATTACAAAAGATTCAAACTCTGGAACTGCGTGAGAAAGCCAAAAACATCTTAGTTTAATTCATAAATAAATTTCCTGCTTCTCAATTATCTTTCGATAACGGTTTTTAGTTTTCTATTTCCGACCAGAACTATAAGCTTGCAGCTCCTGGAAAATAAAGTTTACCAATGCTTATCCATTATATATCTTCTTAAATATCTCTGAAGATAATTCATCAACAGGTAATGCTTTCTCGATAGAGCATCAACGCAGTAGAGGTACTGATTTACTAGAAACTGTGCGGATGGCATCCTGATAGCAACAGATATACTGAAAGGCCGGCAAGCCACGCACAACATTTTAAAAAATTACCGACATAGTTTTCCACAATAATCAAATAATAATTTTTTTCTATTTAACCTCATTTCTTAAACCAACAAAAAATTTATTCTCGATTCCTGTCGCGCGATAGTGGTGAGGGCGAGGCCCTTATCAAATGTCACCCACAGAAATTTAGTTTCAGCGTAAATCTACTACTTGTTCAAAATTAAACTGTTGTACAGTCTCATGGTTTTTTTAGGTAGCGTGGCCAAGCAGATTAAAGCATTTGGTCAGGACACTGGCAGATTATTAGATAATCAAAGCTGGCATTCCAGGTTCTGCTTTGCTTCTTTGCCAAGTTTTTGTCCTCTTATGTTAATTGAAAAGAGTTCAATACCTCTAAGGTATATTGAATCACTGAGTAGTCGACTCAAGTCGATCTTCCTCGAGAAATTCTTTTTTAACGAAAACTAACAGGAATTGTCTCTAATCGACTTCATCTGTTATTCATTTGAAATCTAATAACCAATTCATACCAAAACTTGAGTTGATCTTTTTCCAGCCCTTTTCACCGCTATTCACAAAGTCAAATAAGACCTCGTTAGTCCATCCAGGGCTGAACCCTTCATTAATTCTCTCAAGAATGCACTCACACCTGATATTTCCCAGACACTACCAAGAGCCGGACAGCCAATATAAGCGAAGAAACCGGAATAAAGGAAGCCAGGAGGGTCAGCTGTAGTAATCACTGGCTTTTCTTAAACGTGTTGTTATCAAGTTCGGAATCTGTGCTCGAAGGACCAGCATGATTCGGGTAAATGTAACCGTTGATTGTTGTTAAAAGAATAATTTACTGTCTCAGGGATTAGTTTCTATACGGGGAACGTTAATCTCGTCGTGCGAAAAAAAAAAAAAAAAAAAAACGCGCATCATTTTTTGCTTTTGCGTCTCCTTTGCTAACTGGACGCCTGGAATACTTTAAATTTATAATTTAAGAAACAAATTTTCGAAACGAGAAACGAGGAAAAAAAAAACTATGACAACAACAGCAACTGCAAAAATAAAACTGATGACCCCATTAGGTCTACGGAGAGTCATGTTGTTTCCCGTGATATTAGATCAGCACTCAGGGTCGATAAACACGAATTTCAAAGTGAACCAAATTTTCCACCATTTATAGCAAGTACTGATTCGACCGTGGATCTGTCTTTCTCGTTTCTAAAAAACAACCAAACATTTTACGTCGATTTGAATGTCAGGATTTAAAACTGAATTCATAATAAAAAGGCCTTCTGGTATGTTTAACATATAACTAATAGCCAAAAACTGATAACTAATTGATTGGAAAATAAAATCTGAAATTCTTTTTTAAGAGTTCTTTGATTGAGGAACGTTCATGTCCTTTTCCTCAAGTTATGTGGAACTGTGAAAAATTCGATGCAATGAGCGAAGATTTGTTTCCCTGTGTGAGATATGTGAAAATTCATTGCGAAAGATGGATTAATTCATTTGTGCCGGGTTAACATTTTAGTACATGCCCACCCAAATTCAGCTCTTCCCTTACCTCTTATTTTGATATTTCCTATGAGAGAATGTCTTTCTTGTTCAAGTCTTGACGTCAGAGGATTCATGAAACGACAAAATGACGGAATCTGGTAAATCCTACAGATTAAATAACTGATTTAGATAAAGGAAACTGTAGGTGAGGTGTAAAAATGACTCTTCGCTTTCATGCTTTGAAAGGTCTGACGTGACATTCTGCGAGTCTAATTTACTTGTTTTACTTAGTATCACGTTTAATGGATATTTAGAAAATCACTTAAGACCTGGATTAAAGTAACCTTAAAGTTCTAATCTTCTTCAAATTAGCCTTTTGTCTCGAAAATCCGGAGAGAATGAATAAGTGTATCTCAAAACCACCTCAAATGCGAAGGACGACGCGGTGTTAATTAATTTGTGGTTGCTCTATTAAGCAATAACCACGACTTTACAAGAAAAAATTTACTGAGGAAAAGGTTAGAAAGACCATATAGGAAAGCAGCATCTGAGAACCCAAGTGTACCTGAAATCGCTCAATGTTCGTGTTATTCGTGACTCTGGTGTCAGATATGTCTTGATATCTGATTACTGAGGGGTTCACTATAAAAATTAGAGGAAACAATAAACATGTGACGTCTTTAGTAAAAGTAATCGCTAATTACTCACGTAGATAATGTCTTAATAAAATCTGCACCCAGGGCCATTGCTGTGAATTGATAAACCAAAATATTTAATTTCATGTTCTACATCCAGAAAAAAATTGACGAAGAGACTCAAAATGACATGCTAGAGATCATTGGATCGGAAGTGTGGAATGAACTTTCACCATAAATAGTATCGTGGCAGCGAATGACCACCGGAAATCAAAGAGGAACCTCACTGATGTCATTGTCACACTATGCGGTGACGTTACCAGTTGAGCGGTGTTGTATAAAGGGAGAACAAGTGCCAATGAGTGTATCACAAATATAAAGTCGCTTGTGTCATAAAGTCGTGTGGTGTTTGGTGTCCGCTGACTCAAGTCAGAGAAGAAATATTTCTTCAGTCAAGAGCATATGTGCAACGTCAGAAAGTCTAAAAAATGACAAATCATCTGGGAGCGCAGTCTTTGACCGAAGATAACCAAGTGGTTTCAATTGAGTTACCAAATGGATCAACAGAAAAGATTGAAGTTCGCGATAAACGGAACGCGACTGTCAGGGACTTAAAGGTCACCTGTGAGTTGCAATTTGGTATCCCATGTAATCTACAGCAAGTCAGCGCTTTGAAAAACCCAAACCAGGAGTTAAACGACTGGATGCCCCTCACAGAAGCTATTCAGATGATGGGGAATGATGCTGTCGTTGTCGTCAAAGTACCTGTGTGGTGGAACAAGTTTATTTGCGTTTGCTTGAACAATGATATCGAGAACGTTTGCATAAGAACTAAGCTTCCTATGCAACAGATCAGTAAAGAGGAGCGATTGTTTGTCGCTTTTTACATCGCTTGCTGCGGTGGACATGAAAAATTACTGGAGCGGCTCCAAACTATGGACATTCAGTGCGACCATCAAACAACTACTCGAGCGGGTAGGAATCTTTTTCACGCTGCTGCAGCAAGTGGAAAGGTAAACTGTGTGGAGTTTGTGGCCAAACATTTGATCAAACCATCAAAGGAGAACTTAACACTAATAGACATTAATAGAGAGACCCCGATTGATATTGCGCGACGATTAAATTATAGCGAGACGGAAAGATTACTTTATAAATACATGTATAATGAAAAGGGCGAACGAATGGAACGCAATTCCGCCGAGTCTGGAATAGATTTGAGCGAAGAAAGCGAGTCAGAGGACTCTGTGGAAGAAAAAAACCGATCAAGAGGAAACATTTCCGCATGCGAAGGACAAGATGATGGTGACAGCAGAAGTGCAGATGTGATTAAACCAATTTGTGTCAAGGACGAGGAATTAGTGATCACCGAGTGTGACGAAGGATTGAGTTTTGCTGTGAACTCGAAATCAGAGCAGGTGACGCCCCCAAATTCACATGTTGGAGTGAATCAACAAGATGGCTTGGCAACGTGTGAGAGGAGCCCTCAACAAGCGCACAGTCCATGTTCTTCAGAAAGTTCTGACGAGTCGTCATATATTTCCCCCAGGCCGAGTAGACCACAAACCCTTAATGTGCAATCCAATCAACACTTGCTCCAACGGCGGTTTAAGGAAACCGATCCTTACAGGCCAAAGAGCGCGCGAACTGTGCGCTGTCCGAAAATCTACCTCGAGGAAGAGGAAGAAGCTGATGTAAATGAAAATCATCTGCCTCCTTTAGAAGGCCAAACACAGAAACCTCATGCCCTTGGAAACGTCCTGAGCTCATCTGCGTCTAACCTGCAAATTAGGAGAATGAAACAAGCTCTTATACGAACTAACAGCGGGCCGAATTCTCCCATGTTGAATCGACGATTGAATCCGACGGAAGAGTCACCTACCGATGATTTTGTCTCGAAAAGCGCGCCAGGTTCTCCACAGAGTCCACGATTGTTGTTCAAGCCATCGCGCAGTACCGCTCCGGTTTCGCCAAAATTTTCAAGAGCACAGCTGGATCGAAGACGCGGCTCTGAGCCGGTAGCAGCTATGAACAAGATGAATGGTGTCAGGTTTCCTCGCACGACCATTACAGCTGATCTACATGGAGACATCAAGGGACAACCTGCCTCTCCTATAATGTTCAGAAGAGGCAAGGCAAGGTAGGTACATACTCGTTAACTATCAATATATAAGTGGCCTCTGCCTTTCTTTATTGACCCTTTTCCAAATTGGAATTGTTGTACAGTTTCACAAGCAAAGTACGAGGATGTGAATATTGCCATCCTTCAGAATGACCGTCTATATAGCCTAACAGAGCAAGCTCAGTTTCCATGACTTGCAACACAGTGGCTTTAATTTGTTACCTTCGCACGCTCTATAGCGTCTGCGAAGTTCTTATCCGGACTTACTGGTGCTTGATAAATATTAATAGTTTGGCAAGTAAACAAACTCTTGCTTGTGCAATATGTCTAAAGATTATGTGTTGCCGATTGTGAAATCTACACGAACGCAATTAAGAGAAAACAGTTATTTTTCTTTAAAAAATTTGCATGGTCGAAGAGCTTAAAAATAAAAATAAAGTTGAGAGATGTCGTAACTTTTAATCAGTTGTAAGTTGAAACTGGTTGTGTGGAGCTACTCTACGTGACGTTTTTGGTTTCATGTCTATAACACCAGTTGACCTTACTTTCTCCGCTGTCACGAACTTTTTTCCACGAACGTGCTCTTTTGATTTAGCATATTCAAATGAATAAGAGGAAACCAGTTTATTAACATAAAGATTGATAAACGCAAAAGAACAGAGCGTTTAAGGTTGTAATTTCGATTACACGTTCACATAATCACTTTTATTGAAAAAAAAAATTCATGAGTTAATTTAACCAGACTATGTTTTAAATCGTGTAACTGGTTACATTTAAAGCTTTTCCGTTGTGTTTTGGAGTTGTCCTTAAGTGATGTTTTAATTTAACTGCTATAATTTGCCGTTGGTACTTGAAACAACACGACCTACGATTGTAAACAAATACCAGAGCTCTATAATAAACTTATCGAGCCAGCTTTCCGTTTTTTTCCCCGTTCAAAAATGCTTTTGTTGAACAAGCTATGATAGTTTTAGTTTTAACCTGTTTTTCTTTTATGAGGAAAAACCTTAGAGAGTTTTCTTTTCAGTCTGATGATTTGTTTTCTCTGTAATTCACGAGTGTGAGACTATTTATCTGGACTCGTTCCTAATTAAATTTTGTGATCTCTCAAAGCACCCTATGACGACCTTTACCTACGTTTAGACCACAAATAAGTGGTTTCATTTTCACCCACAAATCGTTGTAACACAAACAAGTCAAGAATTCAAGATCTTCTTAAGTACGAATGGATCCTTGTAAACAGTTTTAATTCGAAAACGTGATTATTGATTTCATAAACGAACACAAATAATCCTATGTTCCAGTTGAAAGAACCTGAATGAACTCAAACAGATTGAAATATTGGATGTGTTATTTTAGCCACGCGGGAAGCTCATTAATTTTCATGCAAAAGAAAAAAATAACTTCTCATCATCAGTTATTTTAGGCTACAGACTTATGTCATGAGAGTATACAAAGTCTATAACCAAAACACGGTTTCTTTTGCCCTAAGAGAAACTTTACTTGGTCAGTTTTTTTTAAATAAAATCGTTGTGCTACACCACAGCGAACAGTTCCACAACGCTTGCTAACTGTAGAATCAATGTCGCGCGATTTTTCTTTTTTGTAAACACGACACTGTTGGGTATTTTGGTCCTGAAGAGACGTGCACTATTGTTCCTTGGCCTGTCCTGTTTTCGTCGATCGGTGATGTTGTTAATTAATTTGCGAACAGCTTACCCGGCTTAGAATGACCCGGAAAAAATACGCTTTTTTATGAGTTGACTTGACGCGTTTCCGACCATCCGCCGAGACATTCACAAAACTACAATCACTGAACTGTAGCTTATTGAGAACACATTCGTCAGAAATGATTACATTGTCAACTTGTCTCATGTCTGTCACTTGTGCAAGTCAATACTGGAGAGAAAGAAAAGAAAACTCGAGGAAAAGACCATAAATATCGTTTAAAAATAAACATTACCTTTCAGGGTGGAAGGGAGGTGATCCCTTAAACATTATGATTTTTTCTTTTCAAACCGGCTGACTAACAAACAGACTTAAGTAAGAGAATATTCTCTTGACTTAACCAATATTTCCTTTCCGATATAAAAACCGGAACTGGACCAATGAGAGAGCGTGATCAGAATAATTTTGTTTATCTCGGTTATTTTGCTAAGCGGTCGGATAAATCGACTACAATATCCGGGATTACTAAAACCTTCATTTGTTTTCTCAAGTCTTCACTTTGACCAAAGTTGTCCCCACGTTCTCCAAATTGTGGTCACTTTGTCTAAACAAGAGAAGTCAAATGTTCTTCGGGAAAACAAAAGCACTCAAGGGGTAGTCATTTTAGATCGTTCTCAGTGCACTGAAAACAAAACCAATGCAAGCAAAATCGAGTATTGTATGCAGAAGTATTTAGATGAATGTCACATGTGGTGTAGAATTGACTGACGGCGCCAGATTTCTGAATCCACATTACACTTATTAAACCTTTACATGTTATTCCACTGTGTGGACAAGGATTAAGTTTGCTTTCACTTGAATGTCATTTTAACGCATCACTTAAATTAATTGGGATACAGCGTACAGTTAATCAGTTGACTAGCCGTTGAAGCACGGTGGATAAGCCATTGGTTCAAACGGATATATGGCAAGCACTGGTAAAAATTAGGTAAGATTTTCTTAGTGGGGGACCTTCGGATAGGTGGTCCTGTTTCAAGACGTGTCCCTAAAGGAAATTATTGCTGTAAGTTAATAAGCTTTCGCGATAACCCAATGAAGGGTTTAATGAACTAATGAACTAAAAATGGATGTTAACATTCCTGAAACAAGAAAGCTAGGACGGCGACTGATTCTTCTCAGGAGCTTGTAGAGTAACTATGGGTGCGTTTCTGACGGAGAAACGGGATTTAGGCAACACTTTTTACGTGATCTGGTTCACAAGACCAAAGAGGTTGAATGTCACAGCGAGAATTTTTGTTTTAAAAATTGATGGCGTATGCACGCTCATTAGGCCTGGCTGCTCAAAGGACTGACGCAAACTTCTTTGGTCATAAATGACTGTTGCCTGCTTTCGCGAAACAGGATAGTCTCTCTCTCTGAAAAAAAACCATCTTTCTTAGTCTTTATAGTATTGCCATCGATTTCTTAGTTCTTTCGGAAAGCTCGAGTTTATCGACTTCTCCATCAAAAGCACATTGCACGATTTCATCTTGAAGTACTTTGCTGTGTTTAACAAATGTTAACAAGTACTATTCCGGATGTCCTTCAGGAAGCCCTACAGTTTTTTTTATTTTGAAGCGCTAAGATCTTATCGTTTAAATCCAGCAATCTGGTCTTCAGGACAAAACTTTAAGATTACGGAAATGTTCTAAGATTTCGTGTGGCAGTCAGAACTGGTATGGTAAACAAACTGTCTGAAAATTTCCGGAAATGTGCAATCAAAAACATTTCTTTCACAGAACATCAGGCACTTGTTGGTCATTTTGTGATACAGACAGGAACCTCTTGGATATATTTTCTGCACTTTTACAACTTTGAAGCAATTTCATCTTTTTTAGACATCTTTTTTTCATTCAAAAAGAGTGTTGAATACTATGATTAGTATTATTCAAATAACCATGCTTCAGTTAGCGCCAGAAAAGTTTACCTCTAGAAATTCGCCACGCTTCCACACTTTGAGTGGAAAAACCGTTCAAAAATTGCTCGGAAAATATTAGCGATCCTGGAATGTTTGATATGAAGGAATTATGATGAGAAATAACCGAGGTTTTAAGGTGGAAGGGAAGGAAAGCCGTCAAATGACGCCATCAACTAACGGAACAATTGAGGAAATGTAAAGTATAAGTTGTGTCCTCTTTAGCATTGATGCAGCAGATATGAATGGAAGCAAATTCTTCATTCAGCATCTTTGCATTAAGGAACACATTTGAAAACGTTTTCTTTCCTTTGGTTAAGTACTTATATGGTCTTGTATCAAAGTCTTAACAGAACAGCTCGCCTTGCTTCCATGAGAGGCGACTTTAATACCGTGGGAACTAATCAAAACTGTGTTGACATTTGCCTATTGTTGACCACTTTTGGCGGCGCAAACATAACATCACACGATAGTGTGAGGTGTTATCGTTCATCTAATTACTTCGACTTAAGCTCTTTACTTTCCCAAGCCGCATTGCACGGCGCTGACAGAAGAAGCCAGACCTTTTTGTAACCATTTCGACGAAGGAACATTAATCTATTTGTCTGCTGTAGACTGCAAGCACAAAACTGATCTCTCTCAGACGTGCGAATAACGCGAATGTACGCTGTAAATAGAACTTAAAATGGCCGTAGCACTTTTAGAACTTAAAATAAACTTAGTGTAGTTGGAATTGAGACGTTTTATCTTGTAAAGTTTCATCTTGCCATACGTTCGAGTTTTCGAGGACCTTTTTAGCTACAAATATGTAAGCTTCTTTATAGCCATACCGCCCTGAGAAAAAAAAGCTTTTTATCTCACGGAAAGCCATTGACCTTACTGGTCGTGGCTACTAATTAGAACGGTGTCTGTTCTCACAAAGCTCGCATTGGTCAAGGTTCACAAAGACACATTGATCAGCTTAAACAGAGCACATACCACTTGAGTAAATTGTTCTCAAGATATCCAAACCAAACTTGAACACTTGACAAATACTTTCTGCGGATATTCAACTAGCAATACGAGCCGGGAGGGATACAGCTGTCTTCAAGCTACTACCCGAACACCTAGACGTCTATCTGACAAAAGGTTTTTCCTTACTTGATGAGCATGACTGCGAGAGGGTCTCTTCCTTTGAATAAATCTCCCCCACTATTTTTGTTGTAAGTTGTAAAATCAAGTGAATGGGTATTTTTCTTGTTTTTTTTTCTCTATGTTGTAAATAGATAGAGAGAACTGACCGCTGTTTTCTTCGTTTGTCTTAGGTCTGTTTGTGAGGTTAGTCTAGCCGATTCCCTAAAAGATCTACGCTGTTACAAAGATATGGACGAAGAGGAACGACTGGATCGACCCTGGAATGCATGGATTGCTGTCAGGAAGGAATCCTTACAAGCTGTAAGCCCTGAGCCCATATTTGATTCACGAAAGAAGTCTTTCCAACAATGGCTCAGCGAAAAGGATCTTAGTCACTTGAGGGGACTCTTTGCAAAAGCTCAAGAGGCTGCTAAGACAAACGAGAAACAAGCAAAATTGCTCAAGGGAAAATCTTTTGAAGAATGGTTAGAGGACAAGCAGCGAGAGTATGAGAGGGAAAAAGAAAAGGAGAAAGGTTTGGAAGACCAGCAGAAACAGCAAGAGGACAAGAAGAACCAGCGAAGGAGAATGTCTCAAGCCAAGTACGACAAATGGCTGCAGCAGAAGGAACGCGACGCTCTGTTGATGGAAGAAAAAAGAGAGCAAATGGCAAAACAAAAACACGAACTTTTGAAAAAGAGGTGGGAAGAAGAGGATGAAATGAAGAAAAATTGTAAACAGCCGCTAGGCCGAACTCAGAGTTTACCCGTGGAGGACCGGGCACTACCAACTCGACAAGTAATAAACAAACATAGATTTACAAGTTTGAAGTAGCTTCTAACTCACACTATAGGAATATTTTCTCCATCCTTTAGAGTAGTGTAAACATAATGTTTTCTGTTCGAAGTTTGAATGTAATTATGTATCTGTTAGGTTTTGCTGTCTCTTTTTCCTCGGCACAACTAATTCACTCTTATGCACACTATGAATGATCATAAGGGAATATTTTCTAGTTTGAGATAAGGTTTCTCTCGCTTTCGCAGGTGACGGTGGTTCACTTTTGTCTTCTAATGATTTCTTACGTTTAAAATAGTTACTTACAGTTACGGAAAGGGAACAGTCTGACTGTAAATTTAAAGGGACACCTGATATTCAGTAAAGTCTGTTCACTTCGAAATGATATTTAGCGATGCCACCCACATAGCACATTACAAGAGTGGTGTTGTTACTTGTGACAAAATTAGGCCAACGACGATAATATTGCTCATAGAACATGATTCAAGCTTCGCGAGAAATAGCTAAAAATGTTAACAAATTGTTTTTTCAATTGATAATGGTAGCTTAGACTGCTTAGGTTTCGTATCAAGCTGTTCAGCCAAGAGGAAAAGGGAAGTGTGATTGAGTTTGTGGTAAGTGTATTTATTTCTCAGCACACAATACATTTGAGGTGTCAGTTGAACATTTATGAAGACCTTAGGGTAATTGTAGTTTAGGACAAGCTTGTTATAAGTGATTTACAAAGGGTAGATCTGAATTGATAAGGTTAATTTCAAATCGAATTAAATAAATTAATTGATTCATATCAGAGCAAAATGAAGGTTTGAATGTGTTTTTCTTTCCCTCGAATAATCTTAAGTTGCTCAAACCACTCGTGGAGGCAGCAAATAAATAAAACTCGCACAACACCCTCAACCACGAACACACGAAACCAGGAGCCCATTGGGCTCCTCACGAAACTTGATCCTTTGCAAACTCGGTCACCCGCGTTTTCCCGCGCTTCAAACAGATTGCTTGTCTATTATTTCTCGCTCTTCTCATTGGGTCCTTGATCTATAAATCCTCTTTGTTCTTATTGGCTGGAGTGTAACTAATTTAAGATATTTAATCTAAATAAACCTAATTGTATGACCCGCAAACTACTGCAGTTTAAATCCTTTAGTTTTGTGACAATTGTGATCCCAAATCAGTGTCAAGGATGTTTTAAGTGGCACTCATGATCAAACTAGCTGGTAAAGCGTTATATTTTCCAAAGCCCCACGACTAATTGAGAGTATCCCTATTTGAACGAGCTCAAATAACATTCTCACAATCAATTTTTTTCCTTGATTAATGTCATGTCAAATTTGCATTTTTACTATTCAAGGCAAAACTTGGAGACAAATCAATTGTTTAGTTCGATGTGCTTCGTTGAGCCCACTATCTACCTTGTGACAAGATTCTCCTTTTGAATCGAAGTAATATTTTTCACAGATGCAAGAGAATTGCTGAGTCTATCGAATTTCTTAAAAAAGAAAAAAAATAAACAGTTTCACGCAAAGACAAATTCTTAAGTGTCGTTTCACGAGTTTTTCGAGGTTATTCTTACGTCACGACCTGGGTCACGTCAGGTTCTGTAATGGTTTATTTGATGAATACTTATGACACGAATTCCTTTGGAGTAAAAATAACAGTTTGGGACGTGATCAGAATTCATGAGTTTCTCCTCTTGTAACTGGGTCAAGTGATGTTTTGACAGACAAAAGATGTCTAGAGAAGAAGCTACACCAAACAAAAACCGAAAAATCTAATTGATTAAGCTTTTAAGAAGCAACATCATACACTTGTTACGCAACGATACCTTTGCACTTGTTCTGTAAAGAAGGCGGGAAAAATTTACGGTCATGCGCTCCTAATAATAGCGAGGGAATGAACGTTAAAACTACAGTATTCTACTTTCTTTAAGCGAAGTTAATTGTATGACCTACACTTCGTTATGAGCACAAGTGCATGTGTTGTTATGTTTGTCAAAAACCAAGAGAAGCGATAACATTTAGACACGCCATGTGCTGACTTAGCTAAAGACGTGTCGGAAACGGATTAATGAATTCTAATGAGAAAACAAAACTTAAAAATAAGGAGACGTAAATCTCTCTGATTATCATAATAGTTGAGTCTAATGGATATTTCTGTGGGTAGGTTAGGCTCTTAATGTTGTTTACAAGATGCCCGCCCACGTTTTTGTAGCGCAATCAAGCGCTGGAGGCTCGTAATGTTTAGAGAGTATTCTTGTTTCTTTTAAGTTTGTGCGTAATCTTTACTTAATATCATAGGCGCTTAATGAGTTGAGCATAATACGCTTGTCACTTATAGGCAGTTTCCTTGACAGGCCCTGACAAAAGGAACAATACGTTTTATATTAGCTGCTAAATTCATTTTAACTTGTGAATAAATGTCGCGGATCAGTGGAATTACCTCTTAAGAAATTTAACGACTACTACATACATGTTAAGTGTGATAAAGGCCGGCTCATGTAACCGTACTGACGCAATATCTACTGGCTCGACAAGGAAACTTAGGTGGGTTTTTTTCAACTACTGAAGCAATATTCAGAATCAATCAGTCGAAATCACTGATTTCGACTGATTAAACTGAGTTTAATAAGATCTGCAGTCATTGTCTGAAAATAGAAGGGTATTTTTTTATTACAAAGAGGGTAAAAAAACAGCGTCGCACACAATTTGTTATAGCTGACTCAACGATCTAAATCAAGGAAATCCTTTAATATTTCAAGGAATTTATACACACGGATGGTGGACCTGTATCTTATTATCACTTTATCTGTCATTGTTTTGAATCGACAGTGTTTAAAGTTTTATTAGAACAGTTGTTAAACTGTTGTTTAGCAGACATCATCGGCTGTCAAAGACCTACATTGTGGACGGAATCTCAGATTTCAACTGGTTAACAGTTTGCACGTGTACTCCACAGGAAGACAATAGAATAGCTACTTCTTCAGTTGACAACTCTGCCAATTTGTACCGATTAGAATTCTTTCACGGTCCTTGGTGGTGAGCGAGTACTTGGAGAGGTGGAATCAACTAAGCCACATCAATGGTTTGCTCCAAAGTAGGCAGCCATGACCAGATGAACAACATGAACGACGACACAAACGGTGATAACTTTGGCAGAAGCAGAGTTATTGACATTTTAACACCAGAGGGAAAGACACTGAAGATGCACATACAAGACAGCACAACGGTAGGATGTATAAAGATTGACTGCGAACTTCTCTGCGGAATCCCATCCGATTTACAACTTGTAAAACTTCAAGACAAGGAGCTGGGCAACGATGAAACTATTGACATTTCGGACGGGTGCACTTTGAGAGTAACCGTTCAACAATGGTGGCAGAAATTCATTTCAGCGTGTTACAAAGGAGACACAAAACAAGTTAGAAAAAGAGCTTTGGTGAAAATGAGTCAGATTTCGCGCGAAGAGCGGAACTTCACTGCGGCATTCATCGGGGCAGTGAAGGGGAACCACAATTTAATGTTTGCAACGTGTGCAGGAAGGAATATGAATCTTCGCACCAAAACTAAATTGAGTGGTAGAAATCTTCTCCATGCTGCAGTGTCCGGCGGGAGCAAAAGCTGCGTAGCGAATATTTTCATGAACGGGGGCAACGCTTTGCTAGAGGCACCGGATAACACGGGAGAAACGCCAATAAAAATGGCGGAGAAATTATACGGCGATTCTGGCGAACTTGTGAACTTTTTAAACGTTTATCTTGAGCTCCATCGGCGCGATGCAAAATGTTCTGGTTCGTCTAATAGCTTTTGGGACAACTTCGAGCGAAACAATGACAGCTCAGGTGGAATTAGCGCTGATGATAAGTTTGATAATAGTGATAATAGCCGGCCACAATTTAATGAAAACATGGACAGTCAGTTGGGGGATCTGTCTTCGGACTCTGAAGAACGAACAGAGGAAAAAAAAACGACAAACTACACCGAAACCAGATTTTGTAATAACAACTCAGCCACCCCGTTGACGAAAGTAAACATTGTGGACTATGACGCCACCGTGGGTCAAAACTCGTCACACGTCAGATTGGACGGTTTCTCAAACTCTGACAATGAACAGATTGGTGCAAACTTCAAAAACGAAGGCTCCAGCGAGCAATGTTATATACCCAAGAGTGATACGGGATATTACAGTGGTAACAATGAAAGTATACGAAAAGATACAACTCATGTCACGGAGATGCTTTGGAATGAGCATTTGTTTACACAAGCGAACACACCTCTAGTGGGATCAACAATAGGCCATGAACTTAGCTTAGCACACAGTCGTTCAGGAGACGACAAAGAAGTTAATAGTATGTCATTTCTCTCCGCTGACCCAGCCTATGCTGACTCTAATGAATCAGACAGGAGAGCTCAGCCCCGAAATCAGGGTATCGAGGAGCAAAGGAGAAAACGGACAACAACGGAGAGGCCGAATCTAGAAATGCTTTTGTCGATGAGTTCCGAAAACAGTGCCTCGCCGGTTCTTTCGGCTAGCCCTGAAAACGAACCACACAATAGCGAAAGTGTCGTGAACGAGTCACGTGACGATCAGCAGGCCAACGAAGAAAACAAGAACGAGCCACAAGACAAACAATGTTGTGCGAACACGGAGAGCGAGGTCGTTAATGCAAGAAACGACAAAGCTACCTTGCCCACGGCCACATCTTCTGAAAAGTGCAACATCGTTACTTCTCATTCTCCGAAGCCCCTCCGAAGAGCCCAACTGAGAAAAAAGTCTATCGTGGAGCAGCAGAGGAGGCGTCGATCCATGGCTGGAAGACCGAACCTGGAGGAACTTATCCGAAAACGCGAAGAGGAATCTGAGCAGGAGAACGCCTCGGAGATAGGCAAAGAGGAAGGCTCTGGTGCAATTGATTCAAACGAGACAGGACCAGTTGCTTTGGTCATCACGACAGAAGATTCTAGTAATCTAAAATGTAAAGAAAAATCAAATGATGCAGACTTTAAGGATGAAGGATTAATCACAATAAAAAATATGGAGAAAGAAAACACTGGTTATGAATCGAAGGAAAAAATTTTTTCTGCTATAGACTATCAAGGAGAGGAGTCTCCTGTTTCAGCCAGGTACGTTCTGCAAATGTGGCAAAACCAGGCCCTAGAAAATGCGTCAGGAGACGAAACGGACACAACCTGCTCCCCAAAAACGCCAAGGAGAGCCCTTCTCAGAAAACAGGTGTTCATGGAACAAAGAAGGAAACGATCCGCCACCGAAAGACCGAATCTTATCAAGCGTCTGGATTCTCACAAGAAAGATGACGATGGAGATGAAAAACTCGGCCATGAAGAAATAGAAATTATTCGCCATGGCAAAGGCCAGGAAAAAACGAATAAAGACAGCAAAAACAATGACTTGGTTTTTCCAGTCGACCAAGGAGGAGCTCTCGAGTCAGACTTTTCATCTGCTAATTCAGGCGAGAGTGCATCAACGAAAGAACAAAATGTGGAATCTAAGAAAGCACCGACAAACCCACCATTAACAGGAACATCACAAAAAAGGGTTCCGATAAGGGTCACACACAGACGCTCCAATGTTGGCCATTTACTGGAAGCTCGTACCAGGAAGGACCTAAGAAGCAACTGGTCATATCTTAGTGGTGACGAATCTGACGTAAGCGAGACCGAACAGAAAGTAGTTGACGAAACGGTGATGAACATTAGAACTTCCTCAAAAATGCAAAGAAGAAGACGCCTACCAATGGTTCCAAACAAAACTATGAAACTACCTCTCATTAAAATAGAAGACAGTGGCACTTCTACTGGCTCGGACCCAGGGGATACTCACGTGCCCAAGCGTAGTCAGATGCACTATTCTGGGTCTGTGGGTGGTGATGAGAAATCATTCGTTCTGAATGACAATTTCAAGGTTCCCTGTCCTTCTGTTGGCCGATCCCGTTCAGGTTCAATGTGTAGTGAGGATTCAGCATCATCTGAGGAGATGCTCGGAGAGAGAAGCAGGCAAGTAAAGTATTTCGAATTAACCATTGTTTATTGTTAAAAGTAACGAGAGAAAAGAATGATAACCCCCAAGGTTACTTACGTTTTACTTTTGGGCTAGGGGAGGATTATAGGTTGGTTCCAACACAAAATAGCGAAATTTCAGCGAAGTGTCAGAAAGAAAAACGATTAAACGAGGAAAAACGAAAAAAAGGGGGGGGGGGTTTCACTTCGTTTTTACAGATAACAACATGAAACTACAGGCCTGAGGAAGTTAACATATTCTATCATCTACAAGCTTGATACAGAAATGTATCAAGCTTGTAGTAGGCTTAGATTAGTTGTGTAAAGCTAAGTGGAGTGGACATTCTATGATTGATTCTTCATTAGAAATATACCTCAGGAGCCTATTATCAAACTCTTTTTTTAGAGGAACGTATCTTTTGCAGGGCCAAAAGTGAGGGAGAGACTTCTAGTGGTTCTCAGCCAATTTCAATTTCCTTCGTCAAAAACCTTCCGGTCAGTCAGAGAAGACAAAGTGTTCCAGACACCACGTTTGCTCCGACACAGCACATTAACCCAACCAGGACAAGAAGGTGTTCTGTTCAAGTAGAAGATCTTGACGAACAAGGGTAAGACGCTAATTATTCAAACAACCTCAAAGTTATTCTTGGCACTCGGCTAGCGTATTCGCGCAAAATCATGCATAACGCGCTCCTTAATAAAATGAAAGTAGAGGATCTCCGTAAGAGAGAGATAATCCACAAGAGAAACTCAACATTTTTTGACAGTCCCCATGTTAGCTAGTATTTTCTCTGTGGGAAGGAGTCTGATGTCATAATAAAAATTATATCACCTATTTATTTTGATCATTGACCTCTCAATTCATTCACTGTAAAATCATATCTCTTGTTTTGTTTCAGCTATCAAATAAGCCCGCAACTTCGCGCGAGACTAAAAATGCGCGAACGCCCTCGTGAAAATTTACCATGGAACGAATGGAGGGCAGGCAGGAGGCGGTCTAGTTCCTTACAAGACGCTAACAAGGATGAAAACTTAGGGCAGGAAAACACAAATCAAGGAGAACTTCATAAAGACGAGCTGAGCGACAAACGCGCCGACATACGTGGTGAGACGCGCGAAGAAACACGCGTAGCGTGGAACGAAAAAAGGCGACCGGAGTCTGCTAGGTATGGGACGCACTGCCGAATGACGTTCACTGAATGGCTCAATAACAAAGAAGCGTTAGATAGGTCTAGACCAACCTCCGCGCAGAGAAGAAATGAGCATGCAAAAGACGATACTAATCACCAGAGTCAGACAGCGAAAGCGTACAAGGAATGGCTGCGGAAGAAAGACCAAGAGGCTTTGGAGAAAGAGGAGATGCTGGGAAGGAAAGGGAAGAAAAAAGTTCATAGGACATATCATAGAAAGTGATTGAGTAAAACTTGGATGGTATGCCTGCAATCACAGTTCCAATGCTATTTCTTACTTGACTCGTCATGTTATACTTTCATATTTGTTTGAAGAAAAAAATGCGTTACGCCTCCAAGCATATCAATCCAGCCGATTAAATTGAAGCAAATCTTGCCCAGCAATTTGACTCAGTGAAATTTAGTTGTCACTCAGCTTGTCATGACATTACTAAGAACAAATCACCCAAAAGCTTTTAGTAGAATTTGACTGGACTTTATAACAATTTATATGTAAAGTAATTTCGAGGTGGAATATGCTAATGAAGACATTGTCACGTCTGTTGCACTTGAACATAATTAGGAGAGTTTAAGGAGAAAGTGTGCAGTATTATGAAATATTACACTTTTTGCCATCTACTTCCATCCAATCAAACACAAAATGATTTAGATATTGGGGCAAAAGTAAGAAAAATCAGATTTAATTTCTCCCGTTACTGTTAATGTGATGCTTAAACTCACTGAGTGAGGTCAATACTGGACATGTATCTGATGTTCCAGACTAATAACATAACACAAAGAGGTTGATATTTGGCAAAATCATTGGTAAAGACAAAAATTGAACGATGTACCTTGTGTTCGATTCATTGATTCATGCGTTTACTAATAATTATTTTCCGGTTGAAGGTTTTAAATCCTCGCTATGTATTAAAAAATTGATACATATATCTATATTTATTATCCAACTGCACCAAGTAGAGTACAAATAACGCGAGAATAGATTACAAATATCCTGCGATATTTTACGGTTATTTAGACAGTTGGTTATTTTGTACTGTAAAAAAATCTGTTTAACCAGTCGGCAGCGCGCGCTACGCTTCTCTATCCGCTGTGCTTTTCCCACCTTTTGAGAAATGAGAAAAAAGACTTAGCAGAAAAAAGGCAGCTGGATAATAAATAACTTATTAGACGTTTTGATGTGTAGTATCGCTGAATATTTTTACGAGTTGTTTGTGTTTTGACTCGCCTTACGGGCTCGTCAAAATACGGCAGTACGTTTCATTATAGAAAATTTTCCGTTACAATGTATATTGAGTTTAATTATTTAATTTGCTTTTCATTCGTGGCTTGCCTCTCGCGCATTACGCAAGAAGTTGTTTACCTCAAAAAATTGTTTATTCACGTGAAAAACAACGAGGACACCTGTCCGACCATCATTTTCCTGGCCCCTAAGATAAAAATCTCGCCTGCCAACAAATAACACACACCCCGTGAGCAAATGATTGAACTAAATTTGTTAAGTCTCAAACTATTCTGAGTTTTCGTTATCAAGCCGTTTAATAACAATGTCAGGCGATGATTTTATGAGAAAAAATCTTTTAAGCTAAAAAACCAAGAAGACTTGACGAACATGGACAAAAATGACGGAAGCATTACTAGGCGCGGTTACTAAGGAGGTTCCCCTGAACCGAAACTGATCGGCCAGATTTGTCAACTCAAAACTATAGAGAAATTTCACCAATTTGCTGAAACGTTCATCAAGATAAGGCGGACACAGTCTAGGTAGGGTCTTTTCTGGCCAGTCATTTCCAATTATAGTATCAATAGGGCAACAATTTGGACAAAGTTTTAAATCCGCGTTACTATCTACTAGAGCTATTTATGACTAGTCGTATCTCTATCTCGCCAAAAAAATGATTTTGTAATTTCCATCAAGTTTAAGGAAGAAGATTTAAACGAAGGAAAAAGAAAAAAAACCCAAAAGATTAGTGGTGATGCTGCTCCATGGAAACATCCTTTTATTTTCACGGTAAACTGAAGTTAATTGTTCGCGCAAATTCAATCTCTCTTTAGTCATCTTACTTGTCATCATGTACTTCAAGGAGCCAGTGAACTGTACTTTCCTTGTCTATTACGTCTTGGGAAACTATTATTTAGTAATCAGATATCACAATTAATTAAGGAGGCTTTGAAATTGCTAAAAATTGGCCTTTTGCATTGATCTTTGAAACAACATGTGCTGTTTTTTTGTTTTGTTTACATTCTGACAAGAGTTCATATTTTCTTGATAATGAGTTATCGTCAAAAAGTACCCAATAAACCCAAAGCAATACTTAGCAGAATCGTGATTATGCATAAATTCAACAATTACCACGTATCATTCTTATTTGTGCGTGATACGCTCTGCTCCTTGACGACTACTATCGGGAACAACAGCGATTTAACGCGTCAAACTGGAAGAACCCAGTGCGCAAGCTCACAGCGTGACCTAGCCCCTTGAAGGATACGTTTTCGTGACAACTATCACATATCACTTTGGCAAAGTATAATAAACGACAAGCTCTTGAATGATATTGATAGCTTTGTTGGCAAAATTAGTAATAATTAAGTGAAACCTCGGTATGCGAGCAAACCAATTTGCAGATCTTTGCACGACCACTTCGTTCGACGTGATTTTGTGTCACAAACGAATGCCTTATCTTTATCATTAGCGAACAGATTTTGCATTCCCAGTAATTCTTTCTTCTATTTTCTTTTTCAGCGCTGCAACACGATCGAGGAAGCCCATGGATTTTGACCCGGTGAGGGATGCGAGCTGGCGAGAGGTAAACGAGGAGTCTGAGAGGTTTTTGGAGAGAGTGCCAGTCTCGCCCGCTCGCTTCACCTGCCGCCTAGAAACGCATTGGCTCGGAATTGGACGCTTGTGCCGCCTACCTAAAGGGCTATGTCTTTTTGCACGAATACGATCAAGTTATGACTCCCATGATCGCTCTATTTCGCTTAAAAACAAAGAAACTTTTAAACTCTTTCATTAGCTATGTACATAAGTTAATGTTAGTGCAAATCTCAAAAATCATTTTGACCTTTACCTTTCGTGTCAGAGCTGAAAGCGCTGTCACACCATATTTTATTTTACACCTTTTTGTTAATCATATAGAGGATGCCGTGACGTTACACCCTAAACTTGTAACTCAACTGGTCAATATATAATAATTTTCTTACCCAACAGTGGTCATATCAACAGAACCCAATATACTGTGTATTACGTCACAATTACGCTTGGATAGCTATGCTTTGTTTGTTTCACACTTATCGCTAAGTACCTTCAATCGCTTTATAAAGACTGCACAAGCAATAAAACAAATTTGAGAGCCCCTTGGGGTTTACGATTTTTTTTTTCTACATAGCAATTATCTTTTTATCCTTGAACCTTTGCAACTGCTTTTACGTTCGTACACAAACGCAGACGTCAATAGTACTTTGCAGCGTGGAAATTGCAGTGTTCTTTGAACCATCTTTCAACAGTAAACTAAATAAGGCGCTGAATGACACGGCAATATAATCTTGGACGTCTGGTATCATATTATCGGGAGATTCTTTCACCCCCTGGCTGGTAACATATCCAGACGATGTTGTTAAACGACGCCAAAGGTTTCTGATCAGCGACTGAAGGCACTGAACTAAAGCGCACGAAACCAGCGGCGAAGTCAGCATTCGTCGGTCAGCTTGAAGGAAAGAAAATCTGTGAAACATTTTTAAAGGATAGCGAAAAAAAATGGATGAACAAGAAGAAGGCAATGGAAGAGCGTCGATAGAGGAGGCCACAGATGTTCTTCAAGTTAACGTCCAGTTGCCAACAGGTGAAACCTTAACCCTTGAAACAAAAGGCTCGTCAAGTGTGCGTGATTTGAAAATTATAGTGGAAGTGAATAGCGGAGTTCCGTCTGATTTGTTTACTCTTGTACACAAACGAGCAGACGAGAATAACGTTACCAAGCTCAGTGATGAAACTAAGATGGCGGACATCAACACTTTCATAGATTTAGAAGCTACCAGCGGATCCGTGACATTCGAACTAAGTATTATTCCGTGGTGGGAACGATTCGTACACCGATGTATGCAACTTGACAACCGCCAGATTTTGAAACGGATCTGTATCAAGATGAACCAGATTTCCAGCGAAGATAGAGCGTTCGTGGCAGCTTTCATCGCAGCTCAAAAAGGCGATGGACAGCTGTTCCAGACCTTGTTAGGTGGAGATGTGAAGGTTGATGTTCAACGTACTGTCCAATGTAGTGGTCGCACTCTTTTGCATGCAGCAGTAGCAGGTGGGAATTTCTCGTGCGCAGCGGTTATTTTCATGAACGGTGGCTGGCCACTATTGTCTAAACCTGACCAGCAAGGTGTTACGCCGATGGACTTCGCTAAGAACACCAAACAGAAAGATCTGGTGGAGCTGCTAGGCCATTACGTCGAGTTACAGTCTCGGGAAGCTGAGGCAATTGAGTCGACTGCCGATGAAACTTCGGATTTTGACGTTGATGCTGTCGAGTTACGTGACAATGAACAAGATGAAGACAACATTAGACACGAAAGAGAGAACGATCTCTCAGAAAGTCCCCCGCAAGATCTCGTCATCCAAAACGAGGTGACAGAGAACCCAGGAAAAGGAACTGCTGCCGACACTTTGAACGAAGTTGTAGCCAAACTCGAGATAGAACGAGTTGATCAAGAAAGACAACAGGACGAGGAAGTAAGCGAGAGATCTTCCGTTCACGTACGAACGGGATCCCAAAGAAGGCTGTTTAGAGAGTCCAATATTGAAGGAAAGCTTCATAAGTCACTGAGAGCAAGCAAATCAGTTGATTCCCACGATGGATCTTCAGCCGTGAACTGTGTGGTTACTCGAATAGATGAAATACGACCGCTGAGCGGCAAAGCTGTCCCAGGAATCAGACAGCGCGAAGAAAAGCTTCCAAGGGTTAACACACCATCTTCATCACCCATGAATTCTCCTCGCACGCGTCGCAAATTAGTACCATCATTTCTGAACCCAGAAAGACCGGGAAGTCCTGTTCTCTACCCCAGGTCTCCATCATCTCCTCGACCCATGTCGCCTCTGGTATCTCGTTCAAGGTCCTCAACCCTTCCAGCAATGAGACCTAATCTGGCTCCTACTTACAATTCACCTGATCTCAGGAGAAAAGCCATGACTCTCAGTGGAGGCGAAAATAGACGCGAGAGGTATGTAGCAAATGGCGAAAAGGAGGATGTATGGGAAAGAAAAATAGGGTATTCCAGATTAAGTATGTTGATTGAAACCAGAATGTTTCTCATAGATCAATCCTTACCTTCTAAGTTTGATCGATGCTTAAATACTCGTTTCAGTACCTATACACTGTCGAGGAGGCAGGTTACGAGAATTCAGGTAATTATCAAGTTGGGGATAATGTTTGGATCGAGTACCACATTCTTAAGGTTAACCTTCAAAGGAAAGTTAAGGAAAACGAAAAGTTGGTCACTTTGGCGAATCATATTGTGAGAGGGTTCGTCAAAAAAAGTAATCAATCAATCAAACAGTCAATTAATCAGTTTGTCAGTCAGTCAGGCAGTCAATCAACCCATTATGTGCGCTAGCAGTCTCGTAGAGAAGTAAATGGACTCCCGCACGTCTTTAAAATAAATTCAGCTGGGTTTGAATGTGAAATGAAAAAGACCAAACGGCTTTCGCTGATTTAGTTAACTTTTTTTTTAAATTACAGAAAAATGAGCAAGGAAATGCAAGACTTTTTATTTTCACACTACCACGACCGTGAAAGCAAACCTTGGAACGTATGGAAGACAGTCAGGAAAAGCCAGTTAGACCAGTTTGACGTGTCCGACGATGATTCGTCTTCCGAAGAAGAAAACGAGAAGCTCGCGAAGTTTCTTAAAAACTCGAAGTCGGATCGCCGGAAAACATTCGAGGTGTGGTTAACCGATAAAGAAGCACAGCAAATAAGAAGACAGACAGCATTGGCCGAAATGGTAAAACAAGAGACAATTAGGAAAAGGAAAGAAGCACAGTGGCGACAGGTAACTGGCAAAACACATCAGGAGTGGCTTGAAGAGCTAAGAAGCGACGACCTGAGAAGCCCAAAACCAACCGAGGGCGAACAAAGCGACGAACGAAAGGCCGAAGCAATACGGAAATATCAGGAATGGTTACGAGCCAAGGACGAAGAAGCCTTGAAACGCGAGGATCAATTAAGGAAAGAGGCAGCTGCCAAGTTTACAGAATCGCAACAGAAACGAGACGAAAAATTGCAACGCGCATGGTTCAAGAAAAAACTGCTTAATACATCCTGAACCTCTTACTCTTGTGAGGATATAAAGCTGCAGGAGCAGAAATGACTCCTTTAAGCAAATTGAGATCATACAGAGAACGGTCGGGGTAACGATTTCAAATTTTACTCTTAGGCAATCATTCTAATCTTCTCGGCTTTGCGAATCTAGAATCCTAAATTCTCAGTTCTTTTGTACCTTCAAAATTGACACTGCATCGTTTTACTGTAAAAAACGAGGCACTGTTCAAAAGCTTTTTGCAGAAATTTCACTTACATATAAATATACAGAGGTAATTCCAAAGCTTTCCTCGCCCGTTAGTCTTAGAAAATTAAAGGAAACATGTTCAACACACATTAGTATGTACTAAAACAGTGAATAGGGTCTAAGACGCGCTCTGATTGGCTACTCAAATCCCGAATATTTTTTACTCTTTACCTCCGTGCGACGCACGAAAACGTTGTAATCGTTGCAGGATTAAATGAGTTAAAATTACCTTTTAGTGCTATATCATCTCACTGTTTTTGTATATCCTTAAAGGACTGTCTTAGTAGAGGTGGCTAGCATTGGATGTTTAACTCGTCGCTTGGCAGCTTGGTAAATATCCACCACTAGCCACCTCAGCTGAGATGGATCGTTGTTAAATATCCTTCGCAAGAAAAGAAACGTACGCAAATAAAAAGAAATATTTCATTAAATGACCTTTATTACGAACTAATTACAAATTTTGTTTAGGCACTTTGCGTGCAAGTGAAAATTATCTGTGCTATTTGGAATAACTGCTGATATTATTTGAATAAACAATTTCACTCAATTCGTATTTTTACCCATCACCTTCCTCTTTCAAATTAATTGTAAAAATGTTATTTTTCCTTTCATGTGGTTCATATTTTTTGCCCATATCCAGCCATTTAATTTTATTCATGTGAATGGTTCAAAAAGTAAATTAAGCATGATTATCAATTGAATAATTGCTACAACTACTATTACCTATCATGAAATGAGGACAATTTGAAATTCTGTCTAGGATTACTGTTGAATTGTACGATACGAGACGCAATTATTAATTATGAAAAAGGATACGATTGCTTAATACATATTTCATCATACAAAAATCGTGTCATTTCTTAATTACAGTAATTGAATATAATAATAATAAAACTTGAATTATTGAATTTGAATTATATTGAATCAAAGTCCCTGGAATGTTAATAATTTATCGGATCAATATCGGTATCTAAGCAACTGCGTACCTATTCCTCCCCTAGCCTCACCTACCCCTCCCCTTACCTAACAACAGTTAACTGATAACAAACTAGCGTTTATGTTGGGTCAGTTTCTCGAATACTGACACCGATCCAATCTTTCCATTTAGACTTTTGCACGACACGAATTGATCAAAAGGAGCTACGACGTCTCCACGAACTCGTCTTTCAAATCTCTGTTGAAAATCTGCACAGAAACAGGATATAAGGCACCAGCGACGTCAATCTCAAAGCCTCCATCTTCTACAATGGCGTCCAGTCCCTCTCCTTCTAAGTATCCTAAACACATTGGACGATCCAGTTTGAAGCTATGACTTGCGCTTATCGTGGACCCTACCGAAGAGCCATTTCTGAGAATCGGCTCCCCTCCCCACGGGTAGTTGGTATCGTCGCGTTCTTCGAGTGCAATTTGCACAAGATGCTTCTTTGCGGGTTGTTGATCATCAGCTAAAAGAGCTTGCTTTCCAAGGAAATCGCAATTCTAGAATAGATATGTTGGAAAATACAAACGGTTGGTTGAGCTGAACGGCACTAAAAATTTATAATTTATAATTTTTCTTCTAAATAATTAACGTTGACCGCGCCCAGATTCGACAAAACAGCTCAGCTTTCCTCATTAATGATCCTTAGTTTTAGCACAACGTCTAGCACATAATTTATCCTTTCAATATCACCCCTGAATCAGACATTGAGGTCACAAGAATACAGAACGTGATCACCAACTAAAGAAGCTCTTGATTGTAACAAAAATCAAAGAACCTCTTTCTCCTTGTCAGCACCTTACCAAATGTATAGTGAACAGTATGGAGAATATGCCTACTGATGGTGCAAAGTATTCATCCCTATTCTCCTCGGTTGACTTTCTCCCTTTATTTGGAAGAGGGACAGTCCATCATGCCTTTGAGCGTTCACGGTGTTTTCGCAAAGCGACTCATGTTTTGATTGGATCAAAGTAAGACTCCCACTGACCAATTGACAGGGGATTTGGGGAGATAGCATCTGAGCTAGGATTAGAGGGGAATTGGATACTGGAACATCAGGGAAAAAGAAACGAAAAATTTTTGAAGTTACTAATAAACGTTTACGCAAACCGTAACTTCAGTATTTCTTGGAAGAAGATAGTCTAAAAGTGGCCGGATCGGATCGCTCGTAGAGAAGAGAAAAGCAAATCCCGGCATTATAATTGAATTTCAGAGCTGCTTGGTTTATTAATACGGTTACCATGATTACCTTATCCAGTTGCACTCTGTCCATCACCCCAGCCTCCCTTGGAGTTACAAATGACGTCATCTCTTTTCCCATCTGTGGAATCAATCTCTCAATTCGCAAGCCATCAAGTACTGAGTGACCCGCGTTCCTTATACCCAGATCTCTCCCGGCCTCCATCATTTCACGGTACAAAGATACAGCAAACTGTAGTAAAGAAAGACGTAAGAGAAGAATTTAACAGTGTTTGTGATAGTTGTGCTGTGCTAAAGAGGTCACTACAAAAACAGGGTTCGTAGATAGTTTTTTGGATCTTGAAGATTAGTTTAATAATATCCAAACTTCTCCAGTAATTCAATACTCTATAGGAACCCGGTAACTAGCCTTGGAAAATTAAATATGAGTGTAAAATGCATCGGAAACCATAAGGAGACGCAAGGTGTATAAAGAGAACTTTTTATCGCACTTTTGCATCAAAGCGGCCCTGAATCCTGTCATGTGACCTTCGGAGGCGAGAACAGAGCATACATCACGTATGCCTACTCATTACTATGAACATGCGCCAAAATTAGGAATTCCCAAATTCACAGAATATACAAATAGGAGCCTTCGAGTCCTTTGTTGGAAAATGGAAAAATGAAAATTCATTATTAGTTACTGCACGGAGTAGGGGAGGGAAAACGGACTGAGAGCTAGGCTCACTCAAGCTTTAGATTATGGTTACAAATGCAAATTTTTGAGAACCCTAAACCAAAAAAAAGAGTTGCCTGTATCACAGATAACTAAAAAGTTAACTGAACACACAAAAGGTCTTCATATACAGGAACCCACCTCAGTAGGTACCAAAAGCTTCCAGTCGTTTTTCTGATCGCCAAAGTAGTTTGTTTTAAACGTCTTAACACCTGAGGCAAAGCCTAGGTCAATTTCCTGCGAAAAATAAAAATCCAAATGCAATTTAATGCGGAGGTCGGCTAATAAAATTCTTCTAGTTGTTTTAATTTTAATCTTTCTTGTTTTTACAGACTTCATGTTCTGTAAGAAAGGGGAAGACAATCAGTCGAAACGTGCTCTAAGGAATAAACTAAAACATGGCCATCTCCCATCACGTGGCTTTGTAGTTCAGTTGATAGAAGTGCCTAGCCAAAGTCTAGTGACTGCTGCTTTGTTTGTTTTTTTTGGTTTTGTTTTCAGGTATACCATTATGTCCTTCTTGCCTGTGGATTATGACTTCATACGTGATTCTCTAATTAAAGTACCTTTACTTACCTTTACAATGTTTGCCGGGAATAGGTTCTCCTTTAAGGGGGTCTGGGTCAGAGTTTGAAGCAGCTGAGTCGAGTTTGGGCCCAGTACTCCCAAAATAGCATACTGTGACTGAATGTTACGCAGACTGATCGCAGAGTTGGAGGGGATGTTATGTGAAATCATTGAGTGAGCAGCAGTTACTCGCTCTGCATCGTCCAGCATAATTATAAATCTGGCGATTTAAAAATGGATGAAGAGTGAAAAGTACGGCTGAAACACACAATGATGGAAGGATAAAGAGAAAAAACGAAGGCATACAATGACTCAAGGCAATTGGGGATCTAATCAGGGTAGTATCATTAGCTTTCTATTTTGAAGAAGTTTCCTTGCACAACTCCTTTTTCAAAAAGACAAAAAGACAGTTCAAAAGTAATTAAGGGGGTAAGTTTTTAAAGAAACCGTGGTGCCGCGTCGATTGGGAGTTTACAAGATAATTTGGTTATCAATAGAGTTATAATGTAAATTGGTCACCGTAGAGAGTTTTAAAAGCTGACGTTTCGAGCGTTAGCCCTTCTTCAGAGCGAATAGAGTAACTGAGGTTTGTGTGTAGTATACCAAAGTTTGTGTGTAGTATACCAAAAACTGGAGCTACACTCTTGGTGGGAACACGGTAAGGCGAAAAACAATAATAAATTATTTGAATGGAGTGCCCATTTGAAAGTTAAATTCTGTTTGAGAGTTTTGCGGCTTTCCAAACTGCCTAGATGTAAGGAAGGCCGCAGACTGCCATATGCTTCTTAGAATTTGAGTCGAACCTCCTGCAATAATGGTTGAAAAAAAGAGGCCCACCTATTTTGTGCTTCTCGTATAACGGTGCAGCTCAGCTCTATTCCCCCGCGTTTGTTCAGTATCAGAGTACGCACAGAGCAACCGACTGGTATAGCCACATCATTAGAACACAAAAGCTGAAGGAAATGCTCCACCTCGCCATCCGCACCAGACTAAAAAAAAATACACATAAAGTGTTACCACTTAACCCCATACTCCCTAACATCAACATTCATATTCTCCATACGGTCCTTTCTACATTTTCTATGATAATGGACAAGGAGAATTTATCTGAAAATCACGAACTCCTTAAACTGATGATCATTTCCGTTATTATCATGGTTATTAAATCCAATGGTGATACTGCGCGTATAAATTAGAAGTCAAAGCTTGTACCTCAATTTCAAACAGACCAAGAGCAGTTAAGTCCACCACAGCTACCCCCTCGGTACAAGATTTGTACTCCACTTCTGTACAGCTTAGCCAGCCGGGCTTGCCAAACCCATTCTCACTGGGGTGGTCTAGGTAAAAACAAACAAAATTCAGTGCTGCATACAAACCCAGACTACTTAAAGAAGTAGGTTGGGTTATTCAAGGAAGCGTTCAAAGCACATCCAAAGAAATCATGAACCTCTAGCCTACGTTTAGGCGTACCCTCCCCAAGGTGAAACGGAAGCGAGAGAACGTCTACGCAAACCATGGCATTAATCGTGTTCCGTGATGCTATTCGAATTTATGCAAATAATGCCATTTGATATTTTTTTTACGATATTTTTTTTTTACCTCGCCTCCGTTTCACCGGGGGGGGAGGAGGGGGAGGGTACACCTACACGTAGGCTAGAGGTTCACCCACAACTAACAAACGCTTGTAGCTCGCATTTTTGTGCAGTGTTAGGCGGCGGAGCAGCGAGAGGTTGATTTCCTTCCAATTTTATTCGGTTCCAAGCCTCTCCCAGCTTCGTAGCTGAGTTTCGCGGTTCGGTTCAACGCTTCGAAGTGCACACGAAACCACCAGCTACGCAAGTTCTCGCCATCAAGCGCTCACGGCACAAAAGACAAAAGTTGAAATAAGAGTGAATTGCGGCGAGTATGGAAAAGAAAGTGTCTGTCAGGTAAAAGTAGTATTAGCATTTCCCCTTAGTTTTTGTTTTGTTACCCTTTTTTGTTTTGTTACTCAGAGGTCCTACTTTTGAGTCAATCAAACAAATGCAAGCAAACTCGGCGCATTCCAATCAGTTTTTGGGCGCTTTCGATGCCGCGAGAGAATTGGGACCAGATACAGTAATTTGCCTATTGTCGCTTCATAGCACACACAAAAGCGCCACCTACGCAGACTAGCTTAAAATTACCTTACCTTCTCCCGGAAGTGCAAACCACTTGGGAACCTCCCACCCCATCTTCTCACTCCATGATGCACCAGCGGCGCTTAGCTCTGGGAACAATGGCGAACATCTGAGCCCGCGCGCAGCCTTTCTCTCTGAATACGGGTATCGTAGCAAGTAGTGCCAGGCGAGGGTCTCTTTCACGCACTCTCTTAAGAAGCGTTTGTTGTTGTGGTGAGGTGCAAAACGACGTATGTCTACACCTGAAAGATCCATTGTAGGTTCCCCTTCAGTGATCCAACCGGCAAGGGCCATCCCGGCTCCTCCCGCGCCAGCAATACCACTAGAATTAAAGCCAGCAGCCACATAGAGATTGCGTACCTTAATAAAAAAAAGTGTTCTTAATAGACAGCAATTGACTTTATTACTCCCAGTGACCAAATGGGAACTTCTTCCCACCAAATCGATAAGGTTTCAAACGGAAAGGAGACGGGAAGGAGAGAAATGTTAACGAGGGAATGATCCTTGATTTAACATGAAATTCTCCGGGTTAAAACTATTAGAAATGCGTGGCACAAAGTTGGGAGAAGTGCAATTTAGATCTTCGGAGTGAAAAGGGTTACTAACAGCAAAAAAGGGTCAAGCTTGACTTCTTTAAGCTGATAATAACCTCTCTCCTTTCGAAACCTACAGAATAGAGGTAAACCAAAGCATCAAGAATCAACGAAATTTATGAAAGTAACCCCATCGATGCAGACTCTTACTGCGGAAATGCGAGCATTCGTGTGTCTGAATACTCCAAACACCCTTCCAAAGAAAACCTTACACGGTATAACGCCAGTTACGACAGGCAACCGGAAGTTGATTGCTTGTTGGAGGAGTGTATCAAAGACCAGGTCTTTCCACGAGAGACGATTTTATTCTAATTAGGAACAAAATTCGCTCTTCAAAAACATGAAAAAATGTGTTTAAGAGACTAAAAATGCACACTGCCTGGAGTCTGGTGGAAACGACTGCCCCTTTGGAATTCCTGTACAAAAGCTTCCTTTTTTATTTAAATCCGATCATAGTAATTTCCATCTTACTCTGTTCCTAAAAAACTGTAATAGACGATCGTGCGTACCAGCTAAACATGATCTGTGTTCATTTGATTCCAAACCTACCTCAGGTACTTCCCCCAACAAGTATCGTCCATCCGGAGTGAAGCTCTCTGGACCATTGATCATTTGACGAATTTCGGCCTTCTCCATGAACGGGAGACGGTGAAGCATGTTATCCATTAGCTCGCCTAAAACAAGAGCAGTTGGGAGAAAAAAAACAGTTCGAGTCTTGTGCAAGGCCCCAAACAGTCCAAACTGCGACTGCACCGTATCACGAATCAGGTTCGACTCCGAGTCAAGTTCGAGTCACGAGTCAAGTTTTCTTCTATGTTTTTGCTACAACGTTTTTATGTGTCTTTTTTCGATTTCGGTGTCAAAATGATGCACCAGAGAAACAACAACACCTAGTTTTAAGCTTAAAACTTGTAATTTTTCACAGCAGTTGGCGAGTGTTATTCCTGCACTAGTTCACAGCTGCGATCGAAGAAGTGAACATAGGCATCTGCAAGTTGTCCTCACAGATTCCGATCTCTTTTAATTACACACACCAGAAGTGGTGATGAAGTGGGCAGAAGTCCCATCTCAACCAAAAACCTTCTAAACTGACTCAGAGTGTTAACAAGAATCTCAGCATTTCTCGTACTCGGCCGCCATTTTGTTGCATCCACTGGGCTTCCATTAAAAAACAAGCCTCACTGAGTTTCGAGACATAACGTCTGGAGTTCACTTTGTTACCGTGCATCGTTAAGACGGCGAAATTTATACGAGTCCATATTTTTGTAGTTAGCGCATCAGTTGAGGTTATCATCGGTGATCTAACATGTCCTAACGGAGAATAATAGCCTTTGAAAAGTTTTGTAAACTTAGTGAAAATTAAACGTTTGAACGTGTCCTTTAGTAGCATGTCGTAATGATCCTCCTCCTCCCTGATGATGCCGTAGAACGGCGAAAGCTCGGAGTGAATAAAGAAAGAACCACAGTAGCACTTAAAGGCTTCATTTGATCAATATCCCACTTCGTGAAAATTCTTTAACACGGTTACAGCGCCGAAATAATTTGTAATGCAGGAATTCGGACAGAATTCCGAAAAAGCTGTTCCAACCAAAGTAAAAGGTAAAAAACTTTGTTAACTGCACGGGTTTGCTTTTTCTGTTTGTTTTGTTTCTTTTTTTTTTCGACAGTTACAATAATAGTGTATTTTCTAAGGATATAACTATATGAAAACGAAAAAAAAATTGAGTTGACTCTTAGAACTTGATTTCGTGATACAGCGTAACTCAGGGATAAATCGCTATCCAGCAGACAAGTGTTCACAAAACGTACTGCACTGTCCACCGGATAGACATTTATCTAGTGGATAGCGTTATCCATCCTTCGTACAACCGAGACCTGGTTGAGATCATCGAACCGCCAAATCCATTCTCCCAGTTCCTCTTGGGAAACTTAGCTATTTTCTTTGCCCCAAGCTCGTCGAAAATGAACAATACTTTAGGGTTACCGGTTACCTCGCCACCAGGGAGACTCGCCACCAGTGAACTCGCCACCAAGAAACGATCTCGCCACCAACCACCAACAAAAAGATAAACTAGAATAAAGTAGTCGAGGAGATTAGGATGTTCGAACGAGCACAATTCAAATCGGCCGATACGTTCGTGCGCTTGTCTGTATTTAAATTATGACCTTCAGCGACGTGTTAGATGTGTTCCGTTCCTAACTCATTGACATCAAAACGTATCGTGTTTGTCTTTTGCACGTAAGCAAGGAGAAATTGCAAAACTCGATGCGAGGAATAAAAACTTACTTCGGTTTCGAACGTGCTATCGACAACATACATTTATAAAGTTTGAGTACAGACAAGCGAACAAACTTATCGGTTTCGAACGTGCTTTCGACAACATACGTTTATAAAGTTTGAGTACAGACAAGCGAACAAACTTATCAGCCGAACATCCTACTCTCCTCGACTAATCTCTTTATTGGTGGTTGGTGGCGAGAAGACTTCGCTTGGTGGCGAGTACGTTGGTGGCGAGATCGTTCCTTGGTGGCGAGATCGTTCCTTGGTGGCGAGATCGTTCCTTGGTGGCGAGTTCGCTGGTGGCGAGTCTGCTTGGTGGCGAGGTAACTGGATACCATACTATAGAGGTTTCATTTTCAAAATTTTGATCCCTTTCATTGTCTCCATCCCGTTATACTCACTGAAGTGATCCCAGTTCTCCGGGAGTAGCTGATATTCAAATCCTTTAGGGATTCCTTCGTGGAAGACGGGAAGAGCATTTAATTCAAAGCCTCCAGCCATCAGCCCTCCGCTCCATTCCCGTATATAAATCTGGCTATCATGATCTCGAATCACCGGCAACATGGAGGTCACACCTTCAATGGGCTTTGTCACGATGTAATAGTGTTCCGTTGAATGAAGAGGAAAATTCACCTTAGGCGCACATTTCTAACGATTGAAAGAGAAATTTGTGAGTCTTTGATCATAATTGCATAATTTTATACCTCAAAATCTAGGAATCTAAGAGACACAAAGCTTGGGAAAATTTATTCCAACTCACTCCTTCAGACAAATTGCTACTCTAACATGTGCTTGTCATAAGTAAGACCCAAGCATATGGAAGTTCTTTTCCTGCTCACATTTCAAGATATTTAACTAGTAATAGACAGAAAGGTTTCTGTCGTGGGTTCAGATTTAACCCTTTAACTCCCATGAGTGACCAAGACAGAATTTCCTCCTACAATATCAATACAATATCAACCAGAAAAGTGATGAGAATAAAGAAAAATATTAATTAGTGGATTATTAGTTGATCCAATACCAAATTCTCCAGACTAAAATTACAAGAACTACATGACAGACAGTAAGGAGAATTACTAGTGAGATCGTGGGAGTTAAACGGTAAATATACAGCAGAGCTTTATTGGTGCATTCAGCTTTATTTAGGAAGTTAGTTCTGATATTTATGATATTTGCATTTGCTCTCTCAACCCTTCACACCCTAACATCAATAAGCATATTCTCCATAATTTTCCCTACACATTCCCTAAGGTTCTGAAAAGGAGAATTTGTTTGGTGACAATTTCCTTTATTCTTGTGACCTAAATGTTTGATTCAGGGATGACATTATAGAAAGAAATTAGATGCTAGTCACCCTTGAGATTAAAGGTTTGACACTTTAATAAAAGAAAAACAAATTTCAACTTAAGAACTTGAAAAAAACACCAATCTAAACTCAGAGGTGACCACAGAGGACTTTCTCCTCACTAAATCAACCTGTTTTCTAGTAGATAGGTGACAAAATGAAAGAGAAAAATCAACTATGGGATATTGGTTGACTTAACCCTAAATTCTCAGAGCTATAAACAAAACAGATGTAAAGTAGACAATGTGGTAAATTGACTTTCAGATGTTGAGAGTGATAGCCTATGCATAATATACAGTGACAGCAAAACAAGATGATTCAGAAATCCACTGGTCTCTTACCTGTCCTAATTCCCATGCCCACTGCATTTCAAAGAGAAAAAAAAAAGAAAGCATTTGCTACATTAACCCTTTACATGTACACCAAAACATTTGTATGTATCTTCTTCATACTGTTCTCTATACATCTCTTACTAAGATGCTAACAAGGAGAATTTGTTTAACAATCAAGAGCTTCTTTAGTTGGTGATTATTTCCTCTACTCCTGTGACCTAAATGTTTGCTTGGTTGTAGGGTTACGGGTTTAGGAGAAACCAGATGCTCATCATTCTTACGGGTTAAAAGGTTTATTCAGACTTATGTGCTGCACACCTGAAATACTTTCAAAAGATTTTCTGTGATATGACCAGTCACACTTGAATTAAAAAAAACCACCCTGTGAAAACCAAAGAACCCCTTCTTTTATGTCTGTTTGGGTTATTCCCCTAGAAAGAATGACATTCCAGAAATATTCTTGGTGTTCAAAAATCTTGCAGTTTGATGTTAGATTAATTTTTAGAGAGCAAAGTTACAGTCTACATCACAAAAACAAACACTGAAATTTCATTCTATTAATTTTCCATCAAAGAGGAAAACTATGGGTAAATTATACAAACACGAGAAAAAAAAAAAAAAAAAAAAAGCAAAAGTTCTAAATGACAACCTAATCATAACTTCTGCAAACAAAACAGTCAACTTTCTAATGAGCCAAATATATTATGAGATGTTGTGAAACATACAAGTACCTTTGTCCTGGAAGGCTATTTTTGACAATCATTTACTCATCGCTTTACCTGACCAGCACAGTTGACCAATATCTCACACTTGACAGTCCCATTGCTTGTTTTTACACCAGTGATAGATTTCCCATCTGTAATAATGGACTCTACCGCAACTTTTTCAAAAATTTTGACTCCTAATGAAAAAAAATCATTTCTTTACTATTGTGTTGGAGACATGGTGGTGAAGGTTTTCACGCTGGAATTGAGGTCAAGAGGTCTTCGTCAGTGCTATGACAGAGTCATTGTGTTGTGTTTTTTAGCCAGACACTCTTGACTAACAGTGTTCTCTCCACTCCTAAGTATTAATTAAACTGAATATAAAAATTTTCAGTTCCACCAAGTATTATAATTAGGAAAACTAGTCAACATTGGATTGAAGTCTTAATTGTCATTCACACTTAATAAGTGACTTTAAAATCAATAGCATCAGTCTACTTCTTTAAACCTACAGCTGAGCAAGATTCACAGAAACAAATCTTAAAAATGAAGAATTTAGGATTGTTTCATCTTTTTCTCAGTGCATATTTATTCCATAGTTACTGAATCTAACATGATTCTGTACCATTTAAAGTTGCTCCTCTAGCCAACGACTGACAAACATCACTGGATGTTGCAACACCTTCACTAGGTATCCAAAGGCCTCCCTGAAAAGTAATTAAACAGGATTAATTTAAAAAAAATCTAACGCCACCAACAAATCATAATTAATAACCATTACATTGCATGCTCATTGTTAAATATTTTGATTTGCAACCATGCTGAGACTGGAGGTGCATGGCAAAACCATGATTTGATTGTATATAATAAGAGTAACTATAGCTTGTGGTCTATCCTGTTTAGATCTGAGGTTTGTGTTTTTTAAAATATACACTTTTCAGACAATCAAAAGTCAATCTGTGACAAATTGTTGACAGACATTAATTTTTTTGCATGAAGGTTGATAAGCAAGAGTAAAATGTTGTAACTTACCAGCACATCATCCAACTTCATTTCCAGTGGGATTAGGTTCTGTATTTCTTTTCTTGACAATATTTCACAGTCAACATTCAAAGTTCTTCAGCAAGAAAAATGATAAGTCAATAGTGGCATGATCTATTACTTATGGCAATAAATGCTGAACTTTTCCACTGTTATAGAATATGACAGGCCAAAGTAAATTGATATCTCTTCTGTAGCTGGTTCACTTGCTGCCACATTAAAGTTACCTTTCTGTGAACATATTCTCCTTCTTTTTGAATGGGAATGGTTGCATGAAGTCAATCTTGTTAACAGCTTATTTCTATGTTACTGGGTTAACGTGAACTTTCAAATGAACATTTAATTTGTTTTTGGATGTAAAAAAGGGAATCAATCCATGAGAAAATTTTTTGTCAAGGTATTTGTTTGCTGATGCCATAAGCATACGCAATGTGAAGAGGAAACACATTTACACAATTGAATTAAATAAGACAAATTTACTAGTTATGTGATTGAAAATATCAACAATACCTTGCAATGGACTGCCTCTTTTTTAAAAAAGTCAAACGCTCCTCTGTTTGTGCCAAGGCCAACCCACCACATCGTTTAAAACCTAAAACAATTAAAAACAAGAAACAGTAACATGTCTCTTATGACTTCAATCACAGGGAGGACCAATCAGAATCCAGTTACTCGAGACTCACTAGTAAATGTTTCCATGGCCTAACTCAACAACAGAAACAAAAAGGAAACTGTACTGTTTATGCTGAATTTATGTTTTCCAAACTGTGTGCTATCTGAATTTTTATGAAATTGACTTTGATAGTGTAGTAGAAAAACCTAGTTGAAAGTCTGAACTGAAATTTTTTTTAAACATGACAAAAGAAGGCTTGTTATGATATTTAATTAGATCATAATTTAACCCTTTACACCCTAATATCAGTATCCATATTCTCCATACTCTATTCTATATGTTCCTTTTGATACTGACAAATAGAATTCATTTGAAGATCAAAGCTTCTTAAGTTGGTAAGCATTTCCTTCATTCTCATGATTTTAGTGAATCATTCAGCAGTTTTACTGTAAGGAGAAATGAGATGCTGGTCATTCTTAGGGTTTGAAGGGTTAAGAAGATGAAAAACTAAGAACTGATGATAAATGACTGTGAATAAATGAAAATTATATAATTATGTGAACTGCAGTTTAAGAAATGAATATAAAAGCCATCTGGCAGTAATGAACACTACTTAAGCAGTAGAGCGCATTTGGTAGTGCACTGCACTGTTATTGCAGAGGTCACAGGTTCAAATTCCAAACAGACCTGAACCTTTTCAGGCCTTATTTTCACTACTGCTTAAGTAGTTTTCATTACTGCAAAGATTGCTTTCATATTCATATCCTTATTATCAGCTACAACAATTTAATTTATAGCACAAGAATTTCAACAATACTTGCCATGGCTCAGCTTAAGTTTGTTAAGCCTAACAATTTAATTCTTGAGATTGGGGCCTCACTGACATGACAGCAAGGGTAGATTGTTCCAGAGTCTTTCACAACAACAAAGACAAGAAATCTGTAAACTAAGAGACAAGTTTATCAGTCTGTATCTCACCTGTGCCCAGACCAGTTTCCTCTTCCAGGCTACTGTAGAGTTCAACAGAGTAACTGAGGAGTTTACTCTCAATTGATGTGGAGCGAAGTTTACCCACTAAACCAGCCGCATGCCAAGTGGTTCCACAATTCAGTCTGGTGAAGAATGTCAAAGAGATAATTCAGTTTAAGAGATCAAAACTTTAGATATCTCAATTCTTAAGACATATGATTTTGGATTACATTCCAATAAGCACTTCTTAATAAACTACTTCATTTTATCTCCTCCCAAAATTGAAAGTTCCAAATCTGGATGATGCACAAGAGTCAAAAGAAGCCTTTTACCGGCAGTCTATTACAGCATTTAAAACCTCTTACTGCTGTCTGTTTAGCTTGTGTGCAGGCTCTTGTGTTTGGGTCTTGCCCTACAGCCCCTGGTCCATGCACAGCCTTCTATTAAATCATTGGCAGCTGCTTAGGGAAAAAGTGATCGAGATGTTTGTCCATGCAAATAATCCAAAATCAAACATGAAAAAGGGCACAAAAATCAACCATTGTTTGAAAGAGGACCCACATTTTGCTTAAATTGAAGGAAAAGTTACCAAGTTTGCCTTTTTTTAGAGACAATGTAAGTTTGCACTCAAGCCAGGAGAGTCCATCCAGCCAGAGTGTATCCAATTCCTGTGGCAAAAGGCAACTAGGGGTATTGCTACTCCCCAGGGATGGAATGCCAGTCATTGCAGGCTACCTACATGAAAAAGTCAAGCTTCATTTCAGTCACCATATAGTGTTACTTACGTTCCTTGCTCCAAAAGAAGGACGTCTTTCCATCCCAGTTTGGCAAGGTGGTAGGCAACTGAACAACCAACCACCCCTCCTCCACAAATCACCACTTGAGCTTCTTTAGGTAATGCTGAGTCAGATGCTAGGTGACGAACCCTTGGACAAGTGTTGGAGTCATAACTGGGAGGAATAAATCATATCTTGAAACCTTGTTCTGATTCAGGGAAGATGGTTATGAACTCCTCATAAATTAAACAAAACAGCCATGAAACTGTCAACTAAGCTAACTAAAAAGAAACAATCAGTGACAAAATTGTTGACACTGATAACCATCCAAATAGGTAAATTCCTCACTAGCAGATTAGGTTTATCCCTAAAACCCTCTTTTCCACCCCTTCTGCTCCTAGTATTATAGCAAACTGCAGTTAAATCTATACACCATTTGTACAGAACTACTTCCTTGAAAGTGCCAATGTGGGAGTTTTCTGTCAAATAATTGTTTTCATAGTTCCTAAAATGAGATCATGGAAGTCAAATGGATTAAACTGGGCATAACCTGATACTCAAGTCATATTGTGTGATTTTAAACCATTAACTTCCAAGATTGTATTCTTAACTCTCCCCTCTGGTTGTGACACATTTCTTTGTAAGTTAGTTACAAGAATTTGGTATTCCATCAAGGTGACAACTGCGACCTCACAAGTTTAAGGTTTCTCATCACCTGTTTGCTGAACAATGTATAGATGTTGTAGGGAGAAGTTACATCCTAATCACTTCTGGGAGTTAAAGGGTTACTCTTTATTCAAACAAGGCCCCTTGCATTGAAACAAAGACACACTGTCAAACCATGGGAACCCCATCCTTGAATGATAAACCTTGTACTGGACTAAAAACCAACAGAACTGACTCAAATACACTCTTATTTCAAAAACAGACTTTAATTTTAACATAAACTAGATTTTTCCCCCCCAAAAAATGCAAGATATGAATCAAAATCACTCTCTCGTGCTCTCCTTTTATTTTTGTACCACTGAACTGACCCAAAAGGGAAAGAGTATTCCTGACCAAATTCTAGTAGGGCACCCTTCTTAAAAACCCTTTATCTATTTCTGACCAAAATAGTTCATTTCCCCACCCTATTTGGAACTCCTTAACTTTTTACAAATAAAACACAACTATGGAATAAACTAAGTTCAATTTGATTGAAGGAATTAAATCTACAAGTAAAAAACTGATGTTAAAAGGTTTAGTATTTCTATGTGACATTTTAAGAAAAATCTCAGAGAAATAAATACATAATTTGTCTTTCAATATCTTATGTTTCTCACCTGTTGTAGATGAACTGTTTGGGTAGAACCTCCTTTGTCTTTGATGGTAAAAAGTGATGCCTAAAGGACTTAAGCACTGCAAATCGCCACATTATGTTTCTGATTCTTATTTTTCAAGGAGTATGTGTCTTCCAAGCTGTTTTTCTGGAGTTTATTTCTAAACAAGAATAAATAATGAATTATCCACAATAAGACAAACAGCCTTTTGGAAATCAGCATCATTGTTAGGGGCCTTGTAATCACTAGCTTCAATTTATCCTTAAATCCATTATTTAATTATCCATGAGGGTTGGTATTTGTCCTCATTCCTAGTCCCATGATTATATTCTATACTTTTTTAGAGGTGTCTGAGCCAGAATTGGGCAGAAAATGCCTATATTATCTTTGTCAATTAAGATAGACACACAGAAACAATATCTAAGAGCTAATTGCAAGCCATAGACATCCACAAATGCAAATAAAATGATGTTATGGGAAAATAGGAGAAGATGAAATCTGCCAAAGTTTTATGACATGCAACTAACTTAATTTATGTTTTATTTCCTATTGTTGACTTTAAATTTGTTTCTGACAATTTTTTTAGCAAAGCCTCAGAGCTGACTAGTCTGTTCACCATTGATTTCTTTTAACAAAGAACTGTTTAAGGTTGATCTGTCTGCATATAATGATGGGTTTGTTTGGAACTTTCGCCACTTTCTTCAATACCTATACTTTGACTTTTCAGTGACTTCAAGAAATAATAATAATAATAGAGTGAAAACTTCATGATTTTTGGCTCAAAGTTTGTGAAATCAGGGAGGAAATTTCATGCGTCATTAACATATACTTCTGCCGTAAATTACCACACCCACAAAAAATTGATTTCACTGTCTTCTTAAATGTAGTCACCTGGTATTCACTCATTAGTTGCTAAGGGCCACAAAATTTATCAGAGAGGTATTCTGTTTCATGATTTGTCCAATGGGATGAAAAGTGCCAAAGGTAATTTTTTTCCGGCCAGTGTAAAATGCAGACTTTGAGAAAGCAGGTTGTTTTAGAGCAGAGTCTGCATTTTACCCCTAGTCTGCAGTCTTCAGTCTGCAGACTAGGGGTAAAATGCAGACTCTGCTCTAAAACAACCTGCTTTCTCAAAGTTAGGCGTGCAAATTCTTTAAATTCAATGCAAATTTTTGGTGTGAGATAACAGTCAGATAAGGGTATAATTAAAAACCTCCAAACAATATCGGCAGGTGTTTGCCTTTCTTATTCCACTAGGTGTTTCTCTTCAGTATCAACGTGGTCCCAGTTCAGAAGATCAGATAACACTATCCACTGGATAAATCTCTATCCATTGCGGTCTGCAATCTGCAGTCGGCAGTCTGCAATCTGCAGTCGGCAGTCTGCAATCTGCAGTCGGCAGTCTGCAATCTGCAGTCGGCAGTCTACATTTTACACTGACCGTCAATCTTTCGGACAATTATTTAAATTCGTGTCTGCATGGAACGACGCTCAACACGCTGCTCTTTTCCATATTTCAGTCTTGAATCGAAACTGGTGTAAAATAAGGCTATAGGAAAGATCGCCTGTTTCCATCATTTTCCCCTTTTTTCGAGGTTAAATACCCTTTGAGTATTGAAATGCTCTTTTTCGACCACTATTAAATAAATATTATCTGTCAAAATCTTCAACGAACGCGGAAAGTCGAGTGCGTCAATTATTACGTAGTTTAAAAGGCAAAAAAAGTTTGAACATTCACGGCACGTTTTTGGCCTTAAAGATCAGGTTTAGTTAACTAAGAGTTAAAGATAAAATAGGAAATCAAACTCACGTGACGTTATCACCACAAGCCGTCTGTAAAGAATAGCAAGCGCACAGAGGTTAATGTTTGTTACCGGATAAAAACAAAGCAAGGATAGCAAGGCATTGTGGGATGCAGCCGGCAAATAACGTACATTTGTTTAAGAATTTGTTCCAGCTTAGCGTATGGATGCACGCGGAGAATTTGGAGAACACTAAAAATGCGTAAGAGTAAGGCTTTTTTAGTGCTCTCCAAACTTCCCATGTGCATCCATAACTCGATATACGCCCGTGCGTAAATAAGATTTTGTTCATAGCGGCTCAATAGGACTTATAAAGGGCAAGCACGCGCGCTATGTCCTAATAAGGAATTATCATTAACTAAAGAAGCGCTTGATTGTGAAGCAACTTCTCCTTGTCAGCACCAGGGACGTTTGTTTACTTTTTTTTTGTTTTGACATTTGTTTTACTTTTTTTCAATGTGCTCTCCGTGACATCCCCCTTCTTGATATTTGAGCACGTAATGATTTTTCAAAAGTTGATGACGCCTCCCTCTTTAAGATCTTCCAATTTTCCTACCATCACGGAGAGCACAGAAGGTGTGCCATTGCACTGTCTCTGTTAGGTCTCCAACACAACCGATGTAAACTTCTCTTTACGGATAAAGTCTGGTTTCGATTGAATGACTTTCAACGAAGATTGCTCACGTGTAGCCGTACCATCCCCCAACCCAAGCGGAAATGGAAAGGAAGGGACGACATTCCCTTCTTGATATTTGAGCACTTAATGATTTTTCAAAAGTTGATGACGCCTCCCTCTTTAAGATCTTCCCATTTGCCTACCATCGTCCATTCGCCACTCTTTGCATTGGGAACACGAAGTTAATAAAGGAGATTAAAAATATATTGTTTTCTACCTGCTTACCTTCTTTTCTAAACTGTAATTAGTCTCTGGTTGTCTCGTAACGTGATTTCCAAGTCATTAATTAAAAAAAAAAAAAAAGACTGGAACGATCCAGGCCCAAACCTGTTTTAATCGTCACTTTTAATATGAAACGCTAACAAAAGGCGCTCTGCGTCAACAATTTCACTAATCTCAATGAAAAGCATAAGCTTATAAGTACTTACTTATAAATCGCCATCGCTTCTCTGGGCACACCTGACAATTTTCGCCATCATCGCGATTGGCGTATAAAATCGCCAGGTGTGTCGACTTGAGTGATTTGACATTAGTAAAAGTTACTAATCACTCTTAAAATTATCAATAAAAAATACACCAGGACGTTTACTTTTTTGAAACGAGGCAAATTTAGCGAGTTATTTATTTCTAGGTTTCCTATTCCTGAGAGGTCAATTTAGCGAGTAGGAGTAAGAGTAGCAAAACGATAAAATAGATAAACTGCCGGTGATTATACAAAATGATTAACTCACAGCTGGAGCTTGGGCCACCTGTTACACACCAATCTCTAACCAAATATTCCGTCCCGCCCTCCCGAGTGCTTCGATGTGATGTTTTCATCGAGTGAGTTCGATGAAAATATCGGTTTTTTTTGCACGGGAAAATATCCCTCATACTTCTCTTTTTAGCGTAAGATTTGATCCTATGAATGGAGTTTTTATACTAAATAGGGGTAGATGGGACGCCAATTTTTCGTTTGGAGTTGTGTGCAGTTTGCTCTCATAAAAGTCAACAGCTGTGATAGTTCTCCACGCAAAGCAGAAGATACTATTGCGAGGGTTTTAATGACTTGTTCGATTTTTAAGTGTAATTAGCATGAAGCGATACGGGTGAATTTGAACTATTGTTGTGTTGTGATAAAAGCTCATAATGTGGTTATGTTTGCGAAGGGTGTTGAGAGCGAAAAAACTGTAATTTGTTGGCTGCTCTGAGGGCTCGACAAATATTATTTAAGGCGATTCATTGAAGACGATGAAAGTATAATATTTAAGACCGCCGAACATCATCGGCTCATTAACAATTTTTTTTTTTTACATATAGTCTTTCAATCACTGGCGGCCCAAGCTCCAGCTCTGAGATGATCATCTTGCGAACTAGAAGTCATGGCAATGTTATAAGAGTTTGTATAGGAATATATGTAACCACTCTTAGGAAAAACAAATAAACGTTAAAGTTGCGCAAAGACCTTTTTAGAATTTAGGGCATATTTTCGCCAAACCTAAGGATCCTATCACCAAGGCCGTTAAGCATTTCAATTGATGCAGCAGTCTTAGATATGCCACGATACCCTGTGGGCCATTCAGAGTTTTGGTAACTTGGCAACTTAGCTTAACTTAGCTAGTCTGATATAATTATCATTCCCGCGCAACAACTGAAGAGTGTCGCTGGACAGCCCGAACGCCACTTGAATGCTAGATAGCTTTTACGCCTGGCGCCTTTCATGGACTGAGAAGATAAGTTTCTTCACAAATTTTCGCCATCGGACATCCCGGTCCTCGGTTGGTTTAAGTGATTATTTCCCGAATCCTGCTCCTCAAAATCGCCGATTCTCGTGTCGCATTCATGATAGCAATCCCGCATCTCGCTACCCTCTTACTTGAAATTCCCGGAACCCGGCCTCTAAATAAGCCCGGATCCCGAAAAACCTATTGAGGACCCTCCTGATTGTCCACCTAGTTGCCTTGTGAACTTTAATATGGTGATAATTTTATTCACACCAACCTACCTTAAAAATTACGGTATCATTAAAATTGAAATTTAATAATAAAACGTATCTCGGTTAGTTCTTCCTTTAGCAGGTAATTTAGTGTTAACAACTGAGTTGAAAACGTAAACTAGCCACCGTAAAGGGTAAAAAAGCTGACGTTTCGAGCGTCCCTTTACGGTGGCTAATTTACGTTTTCAACTCAGTTGTTAACACTAAATTACCTGCTATACTCTCCCGCCGACGCAGCACCACAGTTTCTTTAGAAACTTACCCCTTCATTCATTAGTTCTTCCTTTAGTTGAGGTCAGTATTCGTTGTACCTTTTGACAGCTTCAGTCCTACACATGTTACTCTAGTGTGTTTCAGATTTAAACGTAAACTGTTTTGGCCAACTTGATACAGAATTCGGTAATATTGAGTGGGGATAGAATGGCCGTGAAACTTACGTCGAACGACACGAGCGACATACAGATAACAACGACACAGCGACACAGCGGCAAAATGAGTGTGCATGCTCGGCGGATTTGGCGCGATTTGTGATTCCAGTATGGACGAACAAAACATCGTTATACACTATTTGGGACTGATATTGATGTGATCCGACCGGAAAATTGAATGGATTTTGTTCTTATGGAAAAGTCCGAAGGGTAAGTAAAATTATTTTAGACATTAATTTAGACATAGTTCAACCAGAGCTGATTTAAATTTATCCAGACAGCTCGTTGCGTGTTCCCGTTCCATTCACCAATTTTATTTACAAAACGCATTTCATCGTCGGTATTTGTTCAGTACAAGCTTTAAACTTAAAAAACTTTTCGATGTAACCTCTTACGGTAGTGAAAGCTGTTTTACAATCGAAATTAGTCTTGAATCTGTCGGTCGATTTGTTTATGTGAACGTTCTTTTGATCGACATAAGCTTAATCATAGTTAGCTACTAACTATGGCTTAATGTAACAGTGTACCAAGCAATACCGCCCGATTGCTTCCCCAACACAACTTAAACGTAATGGATGCAATAGCATTTATACTTGACACATATCTTAATCTTCATTGCATCTAGAAATATGTCGATATAACTTTACGATCAACCGCCGCTGCTTGACGTTCACATGCATTTCTTACTACACAGTGTTACCTGAAGGTGATGAGAGTAACCGTACACAAATTCACCGTAGCTGATAGCCAGTTTAATAGTTCTTCTATGTCACTGCGTTGAGACTGTGTAAGTAAGGAGCCTTTTGTTAAGTGTGGAGATGGCTCTTTTCGGTTTCTGGCTTCATTTTCTTGCGTGATGCATGTTGTCTGATGGGGGGGGTGGGGTGGTAGGGGTGTAAATCAAAAAAGACATTTTCGGGGGGCGGGGGATCGCATTGGCGAATTCGGTCGGGGGAAGGAGGAAGTACTGGTCCGAAAAAAAAGTCTCCAGATTTGAGATCTCCTGAGGTTGGCATTTCTGCTTTTGTCCAATCAGAAAAGAGATAGTGAGTTGAATGTATAATAACTGGAAGGATATTTGTGTTCACTCGGGCTCTCTGTTGGAAAGAAACGATGAGATTTGCGTTTATGCTTCTCTCGATTAACATTAGATAGCTCAGTTGATATTATTATAGCATATTTCTCGATGGAAGGTTCACTCATAAATGTTCACTTATCGAGATCTCTCATAAGGTTCGGAAACGCTCGAAATCTTTTAGTGTGGGTCTACCGCGAACGTTGTGTGCGTATATTTTTATACGTTTTGAGCGTATTATACACAGTATCTGAGCTGATTTCGCACCGCAAAAACCTCTCTCCAGCCGCCTTTACACCATGCCATGTGCCCCCAAGTCAAAACGTCGCGCATGCGTGTTAAGGACTCAAGTGCGATTTCCAACTGAATGAAAAAGAAAGACGAAGCCGGAATTTTATCTCGAGCGTTTCCTTTGGACAGTCCGAATGAGAAGAATCAGGCTTGAACATTTTATGGTTTCGTTTGGGTGTCTGCTGACTTTCACCCTCAAAGATTTTGTTCATCTCATGTCAACAATTATTAACCATGAACACATAATACAGTAGTTGCCAAGATTTGAGGAATTTTTATTCTTGGGAAAACTCAGCAGATCAGTTCCACTCATCCTTTAATAAACTTGTTAATTCACTTGATTCATTGACCAACAAAATGCAAGCAAGCGAGGACCTCGAAAGCCCTCAATAAGTTGCTTATTTCACAGTAAAACACAGCCCGCTAATTTTAACCAATCATGGCAACAGCAACCCAACTCAAGTCTAGGTGCAATATTTAAACCTTCAATTTTGATTACTTTTGTACTTTGCATACAGCCTATCAAGCCCTCTGAATACCAACGACAGTTCTTTCATTAGATTTAAGGTTTGACAGCAGTTTATCCAAAAAAAGACATTATTTATCAAATATATAAATACCTTGTTTACCTCACGTGCACACTATGGTCAAGATTAACCAAAATTGGATTAAGGAAGCCTAAAATTTCTGCACAGAACTTTACATTGAGAAAAAAACCATCTTAAGTTTTTTAGTATTTTTTTTTCCCTTAAACCTTTTCACTCCCAGATGTGATCCACATGTAACTTCTCACTGCGATTCCAATATGTTATATTGCAAATAGCTTATTAGAACAGACAGGGTTGGCAGCCAAAGGGTATCATCAAAATATAACAGCCAACTCTCCCCTTTAGTGTGGTGGTCAGAGGGGAAAATTGCTAGTTGGATCTTGGGAGTTAAAGGGTTTAGCCAACTTTGATGCAGGGATGTTTTGGAGTGATGTGTGGAACCTCAATGGCAAATTTTCACCTAACTTTCACTTACTGACATGCACAGAATCTTGCATTCTTCAATGTTGATATCAGTGTTGTATCACATTAAACATCCTTCTAGCTTACTATGATAATAAGAACAACAATAACAATATTAATCAGTAATATTGTGGGCTAGTTTTAAAATTACAGAATTCACAGAAAAAAAAATTTTTTTTTGCTGTAGAATTTCTCTTGACCTATAATTTTCCTTATTAGATCATTCATTTTACATAAAAGTCATTACATCTCCCTGCCTTGGATAAATAATTATTCCACACCTTTAAGCAGGTTACCCAGTTAGTGACCACTCTTGACAAATAGTAAGAGATACTTGTCAAGGCCATTTTGGAAAGGAGAATTAACACACCTAAAAAATCTAATGAAGGCCTAATGTAACTGAGGTGTATAAGCATGGTACAACCAAAAAAAGAACTCCTGAGCGCTTAAGTCATAAGTACATACATGCATAACAACACTGCAAATGTTTGAAATAAGACCTGACACAATTTAACCAATAAGGTAATGATCCTAACTTGTGTCTGGTAAGATTTTTCTCAGCAGTTGTTCCATGTATGAAAAATGTTCAGACAAGTATCTTTTCTCCCACTGTGCAATATTACTTTAAATCTGCATTTCTGTGTGGCTAGTATCCTCTAACTTAAATTTGAAAAAAAAAAAAAAAAAAAAAAATCACAAGTAATCTCAATTTGCTTTTGGCTGTCTGTCTGTCTCTGTTGGAGTTTGCTTATCTGTTTCTCTATTCTGAAAGATTACTGATCTTGACAAATGGGATCAAGCACAGGCAGAAATAAAGATTTGGATAGTTTCTGCTATAATTTTAATTAAAACAGAAACAGGACAATGTAAAATTATAAGTGCATTACTAGAGTCTATGTGGGTAGACCAGACCCATCTTGGTATATTACCTACCCTACACTCACCCACAAAACATAATTTCACACTTTTTAGATCAGTTTTAGACCAAAATTTGATCAAATTCAATTGGGTTTCCCTGCCCATTTCATGTCATCTGATCGCGGCTTCACCCCGGTTGTTTTCTCAATCAACCACTCTAAGGATTGCCAGAATCTGATCACCTCAAGAGGATAGTCAAGCCAACCAGTTGTGATGCAGAAGTATGTCTCATGGGGAGAAACATGGTGAATGCGATGATGCTTGCGTGGCAAGATAATATGCCAGTCCTGAAGTTTTTGTACCCACATTGGCAAACCAAAGTAGGTGTGTGACCACTTGTGGATTTGGTTGGTTAAGGTAACATACACAGCCAAGAAGAACACAAAACAGTCTGTTCCATAGGATGCTTCAATTGTTTCTTGGTCATAGATGAGAAACTTGTAGACCATGTAAGATAAACCAGGTAAGGTCAACAGACAATTGTCACCATTTGTTTCAATCAAATCATGTCTTGTTATGGCTGTGGGGTCCACGTGATGTTCTCGGAAAGGACGGATGAAGGCTTTGCCAAAAATAGGGATGTCTACCGCTCCCCATGTGTCTGCCCCCCAATGAACCAGCCCAGAGAGGAAGTCTGCAGTGACTGCTCCTGCAACTACAAAGGCAAAAAGACAAACATTGGCATCGATGTCATCATGTCATCTGATTGCGGCAACTACTGAGGTAATTGCCTCCATAACTAAAAAGGCATAAAAACAAACATTGTTATTGAAAAATACTGATCTATTTTAATACTAGAGTCAATATGGAATAATTAAAAAAACAAACATAGTGGAATGATGTTATTTTCACTTTGATCTGATAAGATGAAGGTCAATTTCATTCATATCATAGATTCTTTGTTAGGACAAATAAATCAATAAATTTTACTTTTTAGAACTCGGTAGCTTGTGTAAGTAGTGGTAGTTCGAAGATGTTTTTCAGAAGATAGTGACTCGAATACCCTAAGCTTAGTATATGACGGCGATGGGGATGGTCTAGAATCTTTAGGAGAGTCTGGGCCACGTCCTTAACAATATGAGCTGCGTAGGGTTCACCGAAGCGATCCGCAAGAACACAGTGTTGACAGCAATGCGACCTCCTCGGAAACTCAGACTGGTATCTAATTTACTGTGTGATTTACTTGTATTTGATATGAAAATCCAATAAAGCAAGGGCACAATCTAAAAGAATGCAACAGAAATTTTTTAAACCCGCTGAGCTTCCGAGGGCGTTTTATACAAAATTGTCAAAGGTGCGAGTGTGGAACTTGTCAACCAATGCCGACAACTCGTGAAAGTGTTTGTTGTACGGAAATTGGGCAATTGTGGCAAAAAGTAGAGGAGCGAGGGTCTGAAACCCAGATAAGTTGTATCACTGAGTATCCAGGTTTTTAGTCAATTTGCCTTGATTTCTGGGTGCTAGAGACGGCCTATTACATGTACAGGCAGCAGTAAGGCACAGAGAATCACACCGGAAACGAGTAAGCTAAATGTTTTCCGTTTCATTTGTTTCATTACATTTTGAGATAGATTTGCTTGAGTTGTTTCTGTCATTGATTTAATAATACAGTACTACAGCTAGCTGTTTATAGTTCCGAATAATTTGCTTCTGGTAGGGCCTGAATTGTTGGTACAACACCAGGAAGAAAAACGACTGCTACAAACAACAGAATGTTCGAACAGCTCGATGAAATCAGCTATTTTCATTTGAACAAGTTTCACAAATTGTGGCTTCAAATTTGCGTCATTTGGAAATATTTGAAACATCTATGTGAAAAGAAAATGAACGTTTTTTGGGTTTACATGCCCTTTAAATTGGACTGCTTAGTTGCTGCAAAAACTACTCATAGACGCTTTGAACTTTTGTAGTGCACTAAATGTATGGACCTTGTCCAAAAGATGCCAGCTACACCTCATGATAATCACCTAGTCAATAACAAACATGACTGGTAGAGTGCTACAATTCAAGCCACTCACCTGCAGCAAACACAACTGTTCTGATTTCAGAGAGTTGGAAATTCTTACACAAGTAGAAAAGAACTATGCTGGAAAAAATGGCACATGATACTACACTAAAGGTCTCCAAGCATCTTTTCCCTGAAATTCAGAGCACAGAAACACTATTAAAATAAAATATAAAATATTTCCTTACACCAGAAGAAAATTTTCCAGCTGTTCTGATATATATGAAGAGACAAATTGGACATGTCATTAAGACCCTTTAACTCCCATGAGTGACCAAGACAGAATTTCTCCTTACAATATCAATACAATATCAACCAGACTAGTGATGAGAATAAAGAAAAAATATCAATTTGTGGATAATTAGTTGATCCAATACTAAATTCTCTGAACTAACATTATAAGAATTGTATGTTTGACAGTAAGGAGAATTGCAAATTTGATCTGGGAGTTAAAGGGTTAAATTGCTTTTTCTCATCATGACTTTTCAACCCTTTCACTCCCAGAGTTGACTTATATGTAACTTCTCCCCATAACATCCATACAACATCTAGTATCAAGTAATGAGAATACTCAAACTTATCAGGTAATTCTGTTATCTTGATCTAATATCAAATTCTTGTAACTAATTTACAGGGACCTTGGGGGTTTAAGGTTAAGCTGCTATTAATTTTTCTCAATAAACATTTCATTTAACTTGAGAGGCAATCTTCTCCAACCCTTGACACCCTAAAATCAGTGAGCATATTCCCCATACTGTTCTCTATACATTTCCTGAGGCGCTGACAAGGAGAATTTGTTAAACAATCAAGAGTTTATTTGTTTATGATCATTTTCTTGATTCTTTTGAAGTTTATGTTTGATTTGGGGGTGATTTTGAAAGGAGAAATTAGATACCAGTCACTCTTAGGGGTCAAAGGGTAATTGTCATCTATGGAAAATTTATTTAAAAGAAGTATGATAATGGTTAAATAGTTTTGACAGCCACGCATTTTAACAGTTAACTGGGCCTTGTAAACTTAAACCTCTATAACAAACAAGGACTGATTGGTAACTCTATTTCCTAGCTGGGTTATATGAATCTGATGTTCTCACAGGTGAATCCCCTTTAGCTAAAATTTTAATGTGTTCAAGAATTCATTGAGATTGTTAACAAGGTAGATTTAAAAAACCAATAGTATCCTTGAAGGTGTTACTTCCCCAGCTTCAACATATATTAAATTTAACCCTTTAACTCCCATGAATTACCGCAACAATGTCAAGCAGACACATGATGAGAATAAAGAAAAATATCACTAGGGAATTATTAGTTGATCCAATACCAAATTCTCCCTACTAACTTCATAAGAATTGTGTGAGAGGCAGCAAGGAGAATTACTAATGAGATCTTGGAAGTGAAAGGGTTAAAGGAGGAGCAGGGATGGGAGGGAATGGGAGAAATGTAACAGATGGAGACAAAACAAGCAAAGCAGCAAAGCAAAGGAGTAGTAAGTAAGCAAATGCACATGGAAATGGTCCTGCAAACTTTCCTGAGATCTCACACACTTATTAGAGAAACTACTGAAATGAATTCATTTTAACCTTTCCCAAAATTACATTAATCCTCATTAGACAGATTGTCCACCCAAAAAAAAAAAGCTTCAAATGAGTCTTCACCAGGGAAACCTTATGGATTGCATAGGAACTTTGAAATAAAACCGTCACTAACTTGACCATACTTCATTCACATCAGTAGGCTTTATATCATGGGGGAAGTAAGAATATAACAGCTTTTGCTCACTCTGAATTAGCGACAGTTCACTGATTCATTTTGTGGGATGTTGAACAGATATGTACACATGCATGTACAGGACATCACAAGGAAATTGCAAAGCTTAAACAGCTATAAAAGAAGGGTAACTTTTACCAAGGCTACTAATAGATGAATTCGACGCTATGATTATCGAAGCCTGTAAACTGTATGACAACTTGATCATACTTGACTTGCATAGCTAGGTTTTGTATCACGGAGGAAGTTGAAGTAAAACTGACTTATGCTCACTGTTAGTAAGTGACAGTACAGTTCGCTGAATTTTGCTCTAAGATATTGAACGGTACATATGCATGTACAGTACAAGCGAAGCTTAATCAGCTTTAAAAACAAGAGTCACTTTTAGTGAGGCTCGTTATAGATGAAGCTTCGAGTTAATCGAAGCCTGTGAGCTACCTGACAACTGGATCACACTTGATTCAAATCACTAGACTATACATCATTGAGGACCGTTCATTAATCTTTGTTATGAGATGTTTTAACATACAGCACATTACGTAACGAAATCCCAAGTTTGAACAGCACTAAAATCAAGAGTAACTTCTACAAAGGCTCCCAAAAGATGAAGGTTTGAGTAAATCGAAGCCTGAGGCTTTCTGACAACTACCTAACGGAAAACTGTTATGCAATAAACAAACCTTTAGTATAGCCCTCAGCCAAAGTCTTCGCATTAATCGCTTTTATTGAAGCTGGTGATCTTCCTACTCCGTTCTTCAGTTCAGAAAAGTCAGTAAACCCTTGATTGGGTTCATCTGTAGCATCCTGAGGTATGACCATTTTAATACCGGTACATTTTACTCCCAAAATAACTGGAAAAAAATATATTATTTCACTCCTCCCATTATCTTCCAAGTTATGGCCGCTAGATGGGGTGATGTTCTGGCCTGATGTGATAAGGCGTTACATTGTGTAATCATACACGACACTCAAGACGACAGCTGACCTTTACGCAATCGAGTCATCAAACTACACCGTTCAGTAGAGAGTCTATTCAGATTTCTTAAAATGAATTGCTCGATTGCATCCCGATTTTCAGCGACGTTGGGTGGGTGTGCGACTAGAACAACTTATTTAAGGATTACCTTGGTTCGATTTTATGCTGCGAAGAAAGGTAAGGGCCAATACCAGAGCCCATATAACTTCAGTGGCTGTCACGTGTACAGAATAAAATGAACTTGTCAAAATGAATTTGTACCTCTCCGGTCCTCCCGCCCCCTTGCCAAGGAAGTGGAAGAGTCTACAGGGAGTTAGGAAAATGAAGATGTTTCTGTGCACAGCATAACCAGGCCTGATAGTGGATTGAGTCCCAATGAGTCACACCTCCTTTTTAAGTTTTCAGTGTGACAGAAAGAAGTATCTCAACCAATCAGCCAATCACTGATGGCTACATACATGTGTCCAAGTGGTATGCAGTGGCCCAATGGTTGGTACACTAGACTCTGGGTTGGGTAGGTTGGATTTCAGACCTGGCTGGGTCATTGTGTTGTGTTCTTGGGCAAAACACTTTACTCTCAAAATGCCCCTCTTCACTAGGAGTAGAAATGGGTATTGGTGAATTGTCAGGGAAGTCTGATGAAATGGCAGGGGTAGCTTTGCAGTGGACTGCCATTCTATCCAGAGAGAGGCAGGGGGGGGGGAAGTAATAGTGCTTTTAGTTTCTTCACTCTATGGGAACCAGGATAAGCTTAAGTTGGATGGACCTCTTGGCTTGGGTGTAGACTTTACCTTACCTTTACCCAAGGGGTTCAGGAGGTGATGGAGATTGGAGAATTCTCTGGCTGCCAGGAAGAATTAACTACTGTGGTTCTTGGCTTGGAAAATGTAGTTGTTATAGCCAGTTATTATTATTTTATCTCTTAATTAGTATGTGTGCTATGATTGGTCAATTCAGCATGCTAAATTTCACTGTATGGCCCACATAAATTAAAAGTTTCTTTGAATCGAAATCTTCCCTCTATTTGCACCCACAGATAGGATAAATACCTTACTAACCTTGTTTTCTTTGCCCCTTTTGTAAGTTATGGAAGCTGTTTTTTTTTGGCTTGGATTTATGGCCTGCTTGCTTTGTGCTTGGGCCATAAATCTGAGTGGAAAACAAAACTTGGTCTGTAACTTACTGTGCAGACTTCAAACTCTGTTAGTACGAGGTATATGTAGCTGACTCTTCATTCTGACTCAACCTGATCTTTTCAAACAACCAGATTTACCTGATTTCACTGTTACAGCTAGTCAGCACTCATGCTCAGCTAATGTAATGAGCTTATAATTAACATGCAGAAATATTATCCTTGATATTTCTCCACAGGAAAAAAGGCCAAGTCAGCTGCTGTTTCATTAGACCATGATTTAGCAGATGGGTTAGTTGATTTGGAAAAATTAAAATCAAACATGACAAGTACAGTGACAAGACTTAAACTTGAGTTTAAAGACAAAATAACTGTCAAAGTCAAACCTGGTAAGTCTAAGCTCAATTGTCTCAGACTCCTCTCCAATATATCTACATGTACAAATTCATTATGAATGACAAGTAATAGTGGAGCTCGCAGAGTGTAGCGCATAATTATACAAAATGGTAGTAGTAACCCATCAAGCCGAAAAAATTTGGACTTACGACCACACGACCGTATGACCATATGACTGACCGTACAAGGTGCTACTTTTAACATGTGTGGTCAACTGTAACACGGGCACGCCAATGCCACAGCTTTGTCCAGTAGTCCAGTGGTCAGTGCACTGGGCTCCGAGTTGGACGACCCGGGTTCTAGTCCTGGGTGGGGCAAGGCGTTGTGCCCTTGAGATGTGTGAGAAAAAAAATGCGAGCTCCACTTTTAGGCTTGGCTAAATCTATATATTATTTTCAATCTTAAATCCTTGAACTCCTAGAGGTACTTAACATTTAACTCTTTTCCATGATGTCCATACATTATCCAGGAATCAGGTTATGAGAACACCAGGTACATGCAGAAGTTGTTATCTTGATCTAACACCAAATTCTCATGACTAATTTGCAAGGAAATAGGTAGTAGCTGGAGGGTAGACTTAACAATCAGATCTATGGAGTTAAAGGCATAATATTGGGAAGCACTGCATTACACCTTTTGATTACAAGCTGCAAGGAATAATTGAAAGAAACAAATGATGAGGCAGTATTACTGATATTTATCTGTCAATCTTGCTCTGCCAAACCCATTTAATTTTCAACCTAGCATTCTTGTATACCTGCCAGATATTATGTGGTAGGTAAGAGTCCTATTCCTGCTCAGGAGCAACACCACTGTTGAGTCAACTAATGCTCTGGAAATAAATTTTAGGTTGAAGTAATGTGCTAGAGTTTCACTCTTTTGGCAGATGTACTTCACAAAGTAAAAGTGGAATCAGCAAATGGAAAAGAAAAGTTTTTGCTTGGTGAAGTTGCACAAATCAAACTTAATAACAGCATGTTCGTGGTGGACTTAAGTAGCTTACCAGAGGTAGGTAAAATATGTACAGGTGTAACTAGTACTTTATTTTTCATCCACAAATGGTCAGTGTCTAGAAACCTTGCTATGAGGAAGAGAGAGGAACCCATTACTACCATTAGAAGGTCACATGCTATAGAATTCCAGTCATTGGTCTTGAGAGAGAAATTTCCACCTCAACAATTTGAATTGTGCTATTACTACACTTTAAAAATAGAAAGTTTCTCCCCTTCTTCCCCCCTCCTCTTCAGGCATTGGTAGCTTGTCAGCAGGGGTCTTCCTTCTTTCAGAATCTAAGTAATATAATGGATTGCAATAGTCTTCATGGAATGTGGTAAAAACATGTAAGGTCAGCAATGTGGTGGATTAACACTAATCCAGTTTTATGTTGTCAAATTTTTATGGCAAAATATCAAAGATCATGAAAATGAAAATTCCATCGTACATTTGTGTGACCTGATTCCTCACTTGTTAAGTTCCTTTTGTTTAATGGCCCATTTCAGGCATTCAGTTAACCCCTTGATCCCTAAGAGTGACTAGCATCTAAATTCCCCTTACAATATCACCCCTGAAAAAAACATTAAGGTCATGAGAATAAAGGATATGATCACCAAATAAAGAAGCTCTTGATTATTCAATAAATTCTCCTTGTCAACACCTTAGGAAATGTATAGAGAACAGCATGGAGAATATGCTTAAAAGGTGAGGTAGTAACAGTGTTGTGAGAAAAGGGGGTAGGTTTGGGTGTGGTTATGTAATGAACTACCGATAACTCCTCCTTTTCTTGCTCCATTGCTACTATCATGCTCTGTTTTACTAACTACACACTTTGGATAGGCTACATGCATATGTTTGATAGTGTGCATTCAAGTTTAAATGCTGGTTATGATAGACCGCAAATCAATAATTAGGTTCCAGAGTCTAAAGCTAGTTTAGACAAGGACTCTCTCAAGAAACCTCCTAAGATGTTTATGTTTATTTGTTTGTGTTTTTTAGACCATTGGAATATTAAAAAAAAATGTATGATGGAACACCACAATGCTTTTTCATGATTAATATGGTATTTACAATTGATATTTCTCATTTAGCTTGTGCCTCAAGCTGCTGAAGCAATTAAAACATGGAATACAAATTTTGAGCCCACCATGTCTGGTCATGTGATATCTATATCCATTCCAAAGTAAGGCTTTTTTTAGCTGTACAGCATTCCTTTGATTATTTTTTTAATGGAAATTGCTCTATTGTTTCCCTTTTACAGGAATCTCTATAAAAACTTATGTATTTGACTTTAATCTTGGACAGATAGAGACCATTGCCCTCACAACCTCCCCAACAATTTTCTGGGTAGCTTAAAAAATGCTTAGGGAGTGGAGGGGAACTTGTGATGAACTGGCATCCCATCCAAGAGGAGTTGCAATACTCCTAATCCCTTCTTGAATCAGAAATAGGAATAGACTCTTACTGGTTGGGCCATCTAGCTTGAGCACAGAATTTCCATCACTTTTCTTTTTATGGTAGGATATAGAAAATCAGTAACCCTTTTTCCTCTACAGAGTTACTCAGGAATACCGTGAAAACCTGGTCAAATTGGCCAAGTCAACAAGTGAACAATACAAACAAAGCATTCGAAAAATAAGACAGAAAGGAATGACTGACATTAGGAAAAACAAGAAAGGAAAATCAGAAGATGATGCAAGGATGGTGGAGAAAATGGTATGAACAATTTACTACAAAGTGTTTTGCCTAATTTTCTGGGGTTTTTTATCCCCATTTTTTGCCTGAATATTTTGATTTTGAAATAGCACATATTTTCTCTCATCTATTTCTTTGAACAGATTCAACAACTTACAGACCAGTTTTGTGGGGAAACAGACTTGCTCCTAGAAGAAAAAACTAATGAACTTTTGAGAAAGTGACTGTGAATATGAAATTTTTTTATATAATAAGAATCAAACATAGCATCAATACGGTATCTGACATGTCACTCTTACCTAAAGTGTCAATGCATCACATGACATGTTATGGAACTAATTTGCAACAATGGAGGCTGCTTTGTAGCAGATACAGGCTGTGTTCACAAAACAAGGGAAGGGGAGGGGTTTTTTTTGCACAATAATATGCTTGGATATATTTGTCTGATTTTTAAATCTTAAAAACACTGATGAGTAACAGAGTCTTTTCCCTTGTGTTCTAATATCCCACTCTCAGTTTTTGCTTAAAATTTCCTTATTATCTGAATAAAGTTGAGTCACTTTGGGTCCTGACTGGATAAATGATGCTTTTCAAATTGGTGTCATCTGCCCTTTGACTCATTAATATTCAAAAACTATGTTAAAAAATGAAAACTTTGGATTCATGTTAGTATCTGAGGAAATGTGCAGCTACCCCTTCCCTAACCCAATATTAACTGGAACTTTTTATCAGTTGGCTGGTGTCGCATCAGGTGTGGGGTAGGTACACAGTTGTCCCGGATGCAGACAGTGACCAAAAACTTTCATTAGATGGAAGTTTTCTGGCCATATATCTTACGGATGGGGAGGAAGAACTGCCAAAGAATAATTACTTCAAACCCTTGTGACAAGGTTTAAGATTTGAATAGGTAATAACATGATTTCAAGTGCAATTTAGTTTAAATAACCACGAGTAAATTTTGAAAGAAAACAAAATTACACAAGCATAGGGCTCTTTCTTTTCTGCACATTATTAGACGAATTGAGTGTGTGCTGTACATATTGAATTCGTCGAATTGTCTAAATCGCAATGCGCCGTCGTCTAAGAAACTCGAAAACTAAGGTTAGATGAGGGCAAGAAAATATCAACTGTTAATTTTCTCTTGATAAGGACACGTAAACATAGATAAACTGTTACCGGGTTGTTATGAAGATCTGTCAACGGTTTCTGAGTATTTGATCACCATTAGATCAGCACAGGAATAAATAAATAAAATTGTGTCTTCTCAGTTTTGAGATACTTTCAGCACGAGAAGATAAAATCCGTATCCCTGAGCGGCCATGTAATATCCTCTACATATTCACAGATCATGAGCTTGATTTCATGAGGTCAGTTCAATCGCTCACAATGCTACAGTTGAGCAATCAGCATTTTTACTTTTTAAGAACCTTCGTCAAAGTTAGAGATATCTGTTTATTCAAATGTGTGTGGCATCGCTGACTTTCTGCGAGTTCCCGGGTATTTAGACGATCCTGCAGACGAGCCAAAATAAAAACAACGTAAATACGTTCAGATATTCTGAGACGTTTGATTACTTCGACGGCTGACATAAATAAACTCTTGAACAAAAAAAGAGAGGCAGAATTACCTTTTAAACTTGTAAATTTTTGGAAAGGAGCAACAAGTTAAATTACCGGTACCGTTTCAAGCCATCGATCATTTGCCCTATGTTATTGTTTTTGTTATTACTTACTCTTTCAAAAATGTTCAAGATTGGTATTTTCACAAGTATTTCGTAAACTCGCCAAATTTTAGGTCTGTCGAAACGCTAACTCTTGAAAAGTCAGCTTTAGACTGACTCTCTGCGGTGGCCAATTTACTTTATCAACTTAATTGATAAAACCAAATCATCTTGAAATACCCCCAACGACGCAGCACCACAGTTTCCTTATTAAACTTTTTCCCTTTATGGATATATTTCGCAATGTCAAAGAATGTTCCTAAATATCTCAATAATTAAATCCTCTGATAAAAATATATCTTTCCGCTTTGAAAATACAACTAGTTTGAATTATTAAGGCAAACATTTTCACGTTCTGGAAACGAAAAGGCATGTCAGAGACCGCTGAATTGAATTTATTTTTCACATTGAGAAATTTTTTTTCACGAAATAGCGAGGACACCACAACTTTCAGCTGAAATAGCTGCTGGGAATTTTCTCATGATTTCTTAATAATACCTTCGAAATGCCTCGAAAACTTCCGTTGCAACCGAAAGTATTAACAAATCTGAGCACAAAAGTATATTTATTTATATTTTAGCCTCGTAAGTTTTACTTATTGCTTTCAGAATTTCATTCAACATAATGAATTTGAATACTGCATATTACACGCAATATTTAAGCGAAATTTCGATAGAGATACTGAAGATTTTCGTCATCAAACATTCCTAGCCTTTCTCAGTTCCTTGGTAACTTTATTTAGCAAAATAAAACTTGGGAAGCACAAATTGAACGTTAGAATCATGTTTTTTCCATCTACCAGACTCTTACGCACTGTTAAGCGATACACCAGCCCATGTTGACAGCATCCGAACATTGTTATTATTAGAATTTCCGTTTTATTTATAACTTAGGAATTTCGTCGCGTCAGTTCGTGAGTACTTGTGTCACAGAGTTTGAAATATCTGGTTTCATACGCATATATATGAAGTAGAAGACAGATAGCAACAACAATTTGGCACATTTTTGATAGGGGTGACGCCTTTAAGTTACGATAGCAAGTATTGTAAACAAAGACGTTTTTCTTCTTTTTCAGGGCTCATTGTCTGTAAAACCTTCTTGCGAGAGGATGAAATAATTAAAATTATATTACACATTCTTATATGATCGGCGCGCTTATTAGTATAAAACGTTCCTTCAAAAACTATGACAATACCATACACTATCTGAAAGTATTTTCAAAAGCAGCAATGCATAAATGATGAACATGAAACGTTCTCGCCATAAGATACTGATTGCTATAAGGCTATGGTTAGTAGTGTTTGTCGTTCAAGCTTTATATCAATCCCTCTCGGCTTGTCGTGTCTTTAAGGTTTGTACAAATGTTTTTCGCGGCTAATCTTGTCCATGATCGAATCGCTTGAGTGCCGGACTAATCCAGTTCGGAATATGATACCCTTATTGGTATACCACACTCCACTGAAAAAAATTGATATTGTCCTCGGCGTTCTGAGTGAATTGATAACCATGAGGAGTTAGTAATCATTAATTCTGCTGCACGCAACTTTCAAGGTCGTTTTACAATTTCTAAGCTTATCACTGTGAGCCCAAAAACGATGAACCTGTAAGATGAATTGGAAAAAAAAAAGACATTTCAGTGGCTCAGGTTAAGTCCAAGTGTATTTTATCTTATTAATCCACTCTACCCACCCATCCCTGCTGGTTACAAAAGGCTGTATAATTATGCAGACGATGCTTCTCTCAGACGACTATTGCATTCATAAATACCAATTTTGCTGGATCTCAGCCAGGGAGATTATTTCCCACCGCTAGCAATACCTAAAAGACTGTTTCTTCACCTTGGAAACAATTGTACTTGTCTTCAGGTTGTAAAGCACCCATGTTGTTCCGTCAAATAGCAGTTCCAGTCGTTTTAAGCTTGTTTTTTCATTCCGCGTCAATTAATTTTCTTAAATTAAAAGTGACCATCATTTGCAAATGATTAAAAATTAATTTGTGCTATCTAATTGAGTTTCGTAAGCTTGCTATCATAATAAACGTAATTTTTAAACTTTGCCTTGGTGTGAAACCACAGAAAGGGAGTAATCGAAAGAAAATGAAAATTTCTCTTTCGAGGGGGTGATTGGAAATCTTTTAAAAAGAACTCAGTTACAGAGAAGCACATCAACGGTAAAGAAAAAAGGGAAAACAAAAAGAATAGGGCAAATCTAGTTAATATTTAAAATTCGATGGGATTTGGCACGAATTGAACGCACGAAAAAGGAAATCGCTCCTAGGTGAGAAAAGCTTATTAAAGTGCTGAATCTGGTCTAACGGTTTCCTCGGTAAAATTCTTGAAAGACATTGAAATGTGAATCTCATCCATATACCCGCACAAAGAGCCGTTTTTCCACTGTTCAAAAAACTGAGTGTAAATATATTTCCCCCGTTATTTTGACATCAGAAGTAATAGTGGCTATTTCATCAGCAGATTTAAGGCTTCACTGAAGTCGTTTAAAAAATTCCGGTTCTCAGCGGCACATCAGAGGATCTGTACTGTTGCCGTTACGACTTATTCGAATGAGCTCAAGCGAGGGCGTGATTCGAGTGACAGGCACAAAGCACAGGCTGTGAATCACTCATGCTTAAATTAAACGCTTTGTTTCCGGAGTTTTCGATCTATTGTTTACAGCGCCATCTTAACAATTGTTCGAGCTTTGTTTATGATCGTTAAATCTCTCTCTTATGTTTTGGCGTGGGAAAAATGTGTTGAATGTTGTTTTGCTAGTTGATGTGCCAGAGTAAGAAGATGGATATTTCACCAGCTCTAGATATCAAGACAGAAGTTGTCTCAAAGCCAGAACATTATTTAGAGGTTTGGCTTGGAGATATGTGGGGAATGTAAAAAGACTGCTCTTTGCGTATGATAAACACCTTCATTAATGAATTCCCAGTTGTCTCCAAAGGTGAATTGATTGGCTGCCTTGAATCGGAAGTGGGTAGGGTTGGGCATACAACGTAACTGTTCGAGTACTCTACCAGAAAAGCAAATTTCTTTAGTTGCTTCAAATCTGTTGATTGTTTGACGCGGTTACATGGTACCTTAGCTTTGTTTTCGACATATGAACCCATGCTTAGATAGATCAGGATTACAAGTTTTAAAATCAGCTTGAATCCTCGCCACAATTACGAACTTTGAAGGGCATTCAGTATACCCCGCTAACATTCCTGCTCCGTGACTGTGTTGTTAATTTCGGTATGATGATTGACGTCCCTTTCATCAAACCGCTCTGATTGGTTAGTACATCGAACACCGCATTATTCACTGGCGTCGAGAACGAAAAACTTCTATCTTGTGGTCGTTTGACAAATAGTTTTTCGTTTTTTGCGAACAAACGATACGGATTCTTGCTGGAGCTTGTGGAGATTCTGGTTTCTCCAATGTTTCGGTATCGATAATCACATCTGAAAGGGTCAAGAAATCAAGCATAGAGAGGTAGTCCGCGATATCGGGACGCAGGAATTGCAGTTAAGCATGCGAGACATCAGCGTGATCGTTAATTTTATTTTATTTTACTTCTGTTTATTACATACGGCTATCGCACAGTCCTTCGACTTTAGAGTTAATCTTGAGGAAGGCAAGGACGCAGGGCAGCCAGTGCATTCATTCCCTTCACCAGCGAGTAATGAAGTTTACACCTTTTTTCCGGCGCAAGATGCCGATTCAAAAGCTGCTCGAACCTTGTTTCAAATTTCTGAACAAGGGGTCGTGACAACAACAAAACCGATCGACTTCGAAATCGGCAAGAAAAACTTCTACGACTTGGTGGCTGTGCGGCGTGATCGAGGTGACAAGGAAGGAGGGGTTCCCTTAAGCATCCGAATCTCTATAACAGACACAAACAACTTCGGTCCCACTTTCCCTTCAAATTTGTATCATGGTAGAGTACAGGAAGATTCTCCAGTAGACACTATCGTGTTGGGTCTGGAAGACTGTTTTGCTGAAGACAGAGACACGGTGGGCAGCCTGACTTATTCTATAAGTGGCGGAAACGAGAAAGGGTACTTCAAGGCGGACAAAAGGACGGTTAGCGGCATTAGCCGCGTTTTTCTTGTTTTGAAAACTACAAATGTTAAGATTGTAAGGGACGTCAACGCACCTGAAATAACCTTAACCGTTCGTGCATTCGATGGTAAACGATTTGGAACTACTAAAGTGACCATAAATGTCCTCGATGTTAACAACAACAATCCGGTATTCGACACGGATAGCTACTCGGCCACTATCAACGAGGATACCCCTCTCATGACATCTGTATTGCGAGTTCGCGCTACCGACAAGGATGTTGGTACCAACGGAGGTATTTATTACTACATCAGCGGAGGTTCGCCATGGTTCTCTGTCGATGCTATCACAGGAGTTATGAAAGTGGTGGGTCAGCTACCCAATCAAGCAGTTGTCAACATGGAGGTTATTGCTCGAGACCGAGGTAGGGATAGGACAAGAACCGACAATGTAAATGTGAAGGTAAACATAAATCTTATTGCTGACTACCCCCCAGCTGACACAGCCAACCCAGGTGCAAATACGGCTCCAGTGTTTCCAGAAGGAAGTTACTCAGCAAATGTGCGTGAGGATTTCCCAGTTGGTGCTGCCGTTCTTGTCATCCACGCAGTGGACCGTGATCCTCCAGGCAGAAATTCACGCATACGGTACCGCTTAAGTGGAGATAATGCTTTCCAAATCAATCAAAACAATGGTGTGGTTTCTTTGAGGAACAATTTAGATTTTTCATCTAAAAGTAGTTATGACCTTAATGTTATTGCTGATGACGAAGCTCAAAGCCCCCTGAGTGCAACAGCTTCTTTGAAAATTACTGTACAGCAAGTGGACAAAAATCGCTTTGCACCAGAGTTTCAGGCTCCAAATAAATATCAGCGTGAAGCTTCAGTTCAAGAGAACAAGGCAATCAATACAAAAGTTGGTAGTTCTATCATTGCATCTGATTCTGATGGTAATCAAAGGCCCGAAGGTCAGGTTGTATACTCTATTGCATCTGGATCTGGCCTACCATATTTTAAAATTGATGAGAACACTGGTGATTTACGCTCTGTTGCTGTCCTTGACAGAGAAAAGCAATCTCAGTATAACCTGTTGATAGAGGCTCGTGATAAATCCCTTTATCCACTAAAATCTAACTTATACATGGTTATTACAGTCAATGGAGTGGAAGACAATAATCCTGACTTCTCTCAGCCTGTTTACTATGCTAAGGTACCAGGAAATGCCCCTTCAGGCACCTTTGTGACAGCCATCCATGCCATTGACCTAGATGGAGATCCAGTAACATACTCAATTGAAAATGCTGGAACTGTATTTGCTATCCAAACAAATTCTGGGGTGATCTCCACAAAAAGACCTCTAGATCCTGCCAATGAGGAGAGGAAATTTGTGCTTTCTGTCCGGGCCTCAGCTGCAAATAAGGATTCTCGTGCCCAAGTGATTGTTGATGTTGTTAGTAAAGCAGACTCACCTCCAACCTTTGTTAATCTTCCATACAAGGCTACTGTGCCAGAAAATCTCGGACAGATTGATAGCCTGTTGTGTTTAGCTGCCAAGGATAGTCAAGAGAAACCTGTGAGGTACTCTCTTGTGAGTGATACTGGTGGAAAGTTTTCAGTGGAGCAAGATTCTGGTAAGAATAACAATAAAAATGATAAGGAAATGCTATTAATTTTCAGTCAACTTTCTCTTAATGACTTTCCCATAGGTAGCCACTTTGTGAGTAACTGTTTTGTTTCTCGGTCTCTTCTTGGTGACTAGGACCACCATAAGGCCAGAAATTTTACAAACTCTTTTGCTTAATATTTCCAAAAAACATACTACACTTAAGATTAAAGGAAATCACTATGTTACTCAGATTTTACAAACATCTGGTTTAAAGGGGAAAAAATAGATGAAAAGAGTACCAATACATCTGTGTTGTGACAATGCAATTAGAAGTTTGTTAGGTAACCTTACTTGACATGCTGTAACAAGGAACAAAGTTAGAACAGCAAAAGGGGTATTACACAATAACCAAGAGTGAGTTAGCAAATGGTATACAGTCATATATTGCTTAGGAAAGAAGATGTTTTTTAACTTTGTCCATTTGCTTCAATTAAGCGATAAGACAAGAAACAGAAATAACTAGTGGATTCATTCAGTGTTCGACTTTTTCTATTCACTTTTCTCTTAAATCACAATCTCTCTTAATCCTTTAACTCCTATAACTGCATGACTTAAACTCCTATTGATGCAGATTGCAGATTATAATCCTGGAAACTTGGGCTAATCCTTGACAAAGTGCAAACCATTTTTCCTGTAGTTTCAAGTTATTACTACTGGTATACCCAAAGTTATCCTTTTTCATGTTGTCTAAAATGATTGTTTAGTGTTCTTTCCTTTAAGAGGTTCTCATTTAGGCAAAATTAGTTACAAATACCCATTTTTACTTGTTTTATTGCAAGTTAACAAATATCAAAAAGCAGTCAACAGTTTGGTTGATAAATTTCATGTGACCTTTCATGTTTTGTTTTGTTTTGTTTTTTTCAGGTCGCCTTTCTGCTACTGGCTCTTTTGATTATGAGGTCTTTACAGGAGGAGTGTATCAAGTACAAGCTTCAAGTGGACCACAACAGATTGCTACAGAAAGAGTTACCATTACAGTCACAGATACAAAGGACCCACCCAAGTTTAGCAAGAGTAGCTACAAATTCTTTATAGATGAAGACACCAAAGCTGGCACTACGATTACGGTAACAAATCAAGATGGTTCATCTGGTGGATTAGTAATTGAAGATGCAGATACACAAATAACAAATTTTAGGTGTACAATTGAGAACATACAGTCCCTAGATATAGAAAATCACTTCAAGATAAAATTAGTGACTAGCAACAACAACAAAAATGGTGAATGCAAACTAACAACTCAGTCACCATTTGATCACTTTGACACTCCCAAATTTACATTTGAGGTGCGAGCTACTGATAAAAATTATCTCAACATGTATGCCTCAGCACAAGTTGAAGTTGAGATAAGGGACAAGAATAACAATTTCCCAGAGTTTTCACAACAAAATTACTTGGCTTCTGTGGACAAAAATTTTCCTGTGAGGAATTCAATCCTGAAAGTCACGGCAACAGATAGAGATTCTGGCTCATTTGGAGAAATCACATATGAGTTAACTCAAGATACTCAGGATAGAAACAGGTAGAGAAAAATTGCCTTCAATTATTTTTGAACTCAGTTCATTGTTATAGTATTTTGGGGTTAACCACTTCCCTTTAGAATGAGTTTCCCTGCATCAGCACAATATAAAGCAAAATATTAATTAGAACCTCTCTCAGATCAGCACTACATCTAAGAATGAGGCCATTTTTCATGGAAATGAGTAGGGGCAACATTTGTCGTAAAGTTTTCCAGTTTAAATGCCCCTAGTTTTCTTCCATTGTATCAAGATCATGAAGGTGGAAAGCCTAGATGTTTTGAAAACACAATTCAGGCTAGCCCATTTTTTTGGCCAAAATGAGAGAATCAATAATACACATTTCTGTATTTCTGTTGAAATTTCTGTGTTCTGTACTTTTCAAGAGATATGCAAATTTTTAATGAAGCACTTTCATTGAATAAAGATTGTAACAATGACAAAAATTGAAAAATGCTGCAAAGTTTAAGAGAGTAGATACATTTAAAAATTCAATTTTTTTTTATTTACTGGTGTGAGTATTCTTATTTGTTTTGCAGATTCAGTTTAGATTCTAACACTGGTGTGTTGTCCAGTGCAAGTTCATTGGCAGTGAAGACATACAATCTGAAAGTTCGGGCATCTGATAGGGGTAGGTGAAGGAATTCAGGAAATTGAGCTGTTCCTTTGACATACAGCAAGGTGTTGCATTCTTGGTACTAAGAAAAATAGCCATGACCCTATTTCTCATAATCATTAACATGTATCTGATCAAGTGTCAGGTGCAAATTTTGGTGGAAAGATTTACATATAAAAAATTTCTTGCTCTTTCCCTCTATCTTGCAGTAGATAGCTATGACTAAATTTCAATTATAGGACAGGCTAATCTTTTATATTGTGTAACAGCTATTAACAGGATATTGTGTCAGACAATGCAAAGATGATCAGTAGTTGAACAAGGCAATTTAAAATTGTCTCTTTGATATTTTGCATAAGTACCCATCTAAAGATACTCTCTTCAATTGCTATTTCTTACCAGTTGGATATGATCTGGAACAAAAATTAGGCTGATGCTATGTTTTCCTTTTTTTTTTTTATTTTTTTCAGCTCAATCTGGTAATGTTAAAAGGAAGGAAGTTACAGTAGCTGTTCATGTCTATGCTCCTGGAACAGCATTTGTCCAGTTTGATCCAACAAGTTACTCTAAAGATATTGCAGAAAATGCAGCAAAAGAAACTCTTGTATTCACAGTAACAGCCAAGGGACCAAGTCCTATTAAATATTCTATTGTTGGTGGCAATGTAAACAATGCCTTTAAAATTGCGCAGAATGGACAAGTCCGAGTGGCAAATTCTCTTGATCGTGAGACACAGGCAACATATAAACTGGTGATTCGTGCTGTTGTAGGTAGCACTACATTGGGTTCAGAGGTGACCACTACCATCAATGTGCTAGATGTGAATGATGTTGCACCAAAAATAACATTCATGGATGCTGAACCTAAAGATGTAGCAATTGAAGACTTCTCACCCAAAGGAAGCTTTGTGATAAAGGTAAGTTATTATCCACTAGCAATAGCAAGGATTTTAAAAATGTTAAGGGCAAAGTAAAAATTGTCTCAGGCTTTCTCCAGGTTAAATTTTTTTTTTTTTTTAGATTGTAGCAGCCAGCACTTTTCTGTCTTCAACACATGTAGTGGTTGTATAGCATTTATTTAGAACTCAAGATAATTTTTAATTGTAAATCGTTTAAGAATGTTTTTAGTGAGTGGAAAACACAGGGTTTGACAGGAGCTTTTCCAGTCTGTTTTGGATTTGTTGCTTTCTTTATCTGCCCAAAGTGATCAAAATGGAACTTCTTCCTACAATACTCTATCTATACATAATCCAGTAAACAGGTAATGAGAATACTCAAACTTATCAGGCAGAAGTTGTTATTTTGGTCTAACACCAAATTCTTGTACCTAATTTACAAGGAAATGCTTTGCAGTACCAATCAGATATTGGAAGTTAAATGCTTGAGATAACAAAAGTAATTGTACAAACAATTAACTAGTAACACAAAAAGATTTGACTGATGCATCCATGAGAATCATAAATGGTGCAAGTTATGGAAGTTGGATTATTGTAAGATTGGCAGAAAATGATCATGTGTTGATTCCTCGTGCCAGCCAGGGTTGAATAACATGTTGTGAGAGTTAGCAAGGATTGGAGTTCCTGAGGATAGAGTTGTAGTAGATGTACAGTGCATGGAAAATTGAGTTGAAATCAATTTTTGGTTGAGTTAGTTTTCAGTTCAGTTGTCAGGAGTCAACTGAAACTGTATTAAAAAAAAGGCTTTTAGTCCTGGAAAGTGGTGGTGCATTGTTTTTGTTCTCTGGCACTGTGGTCTGTGCATGTATGTTCATACGATGAATAGAAAGGAATCAATTCCATCCTTTTGATTTGTGAAGTGTATATTTTTAAATATAATTTGTGACCAGAGGCCATGAACAGTCATGTTACATTCCTTACATAATTTACTAGCTTCTTTTAAATCCACCAGATATGTTGTAGCTTCATTTTTAGTGGGAAAAATTAATGCTGTTGATCAAAGTAGGCAAGGACTGGATCATGGGAAAAGGGGGAGGAGCTCAGTGGAGTGGATATCGTTGAGTTTTTGACAGCTTGTTTCTCTAATTGTGAATGTACTGTGTATATTTAGGCTTTCTAGTCAGTTTCTATTCAGAAAACAAGTTCGTGGTTGTTCTAGAAATATATATATTTTGTTAACTATATTGCTATTATTTCAAAGAGGTTCTAAAAACTTCACCATATTTCAATATTGTTTTAGGTAACTGCCATTGATCGTGATGCAGGTGCCAATGGACAGGTCAAATATAGTATCACCACATCAAACACTCCATTTCAGATAGATCAGAATACAGGTGTCATTACAGCCTCACGGGAAATAAGGTAATGCTATGAATCTTTGGACCATACGTTCATGACCTCAATTGTGTTTATGCTGCTGACCCAGCTTAGATAGTGACGATGCTAGGGTAATGGACTTGTTGGAGTTCCAACATATATGTTAGTTTTATGTAGTCCTCGGCTACAACACAGAAACCTTGTTATATCAATGATTTAGGTATTCTTCATTTTCCCTCTTCTTACATGATTGTTCATCAAAGTATTGCGGGTGTTTCATTCTGTTTCAATTAGGCGATCTGAACAGCTGGCGTGGACTATTGCTGTTCAAGCTAGTGACAGCAAAGGCAAACAAAGTCTTGCTTACCGCCTCCGGGTCACCGTAACAGAAGGATTACAAGCACCACAACTGTCTCCAACTTTTTCAGTTTCCTTGGATGAAAACAAACCTGTTGGTTTTTCAGTAAAAGATATTTCACCAACAACACCGAATAATAACTACAAGTACAGAATCCTAGGTGGAAATACCGACGAAGCATTCTGTATTAATCACGATGGTGTTATAAGCGTGGCCAGACCCTTGGACAGGGAGAAAATTTCCTCGTATTCATTAAAAGTGTCCGTTTCTGTGGGAAATAAGGTCAGCAACACGACTGTTGATGTGAGGGTTAGAGACAAAAATGATGATGCTCCTCGGTTTACTAAAACCGTCTACTCTTTCGAAGTTAGCGAAGACAAAGGTAAGTAAATTAATAAATGGGGTAGGTTTCTAGTGGTGCTGGGTCGGTGGGCGGTACTATAATATATAATTTTAATTTATCCACTTTGTTGATAATGGAAATTGGTCACCATAGAGAGTTTTTAAAATTGATGTTTTGAGCGTTTAACCCTTCGTCAGAGCGCTAGTAACAACAAAGAGGATCAGCGTTCTCTAGTAGTCAGCGGTTTTTTTGCATGTGTCGCAATTCGATATGCTCTTCGTTCGAGGCGTTCTTGCGTGTGCTTTGAGCGTGAACTTGCAGCGTTGTGAGGAGTGCCAGCTCATCGTCCAGGCAGTTTTCCCCACCCCTTCCCTCCCTCTTTCCACCGTTTATTCAGTGACAGGTGCCTGTTTCCCTTTCCTGTGTGGGGGTTCATTGGTGGGTTGCCATGATTTGCCAGCCATGGGAGAAGTCTCCATCTAGGAGCTGGCTGCCAATAGTGGAAGCTCGTGGATGTTTCAGGCAACCAACCTCCTCTTAGCAATGCAGTTGTTAATTAGTTATTTTGGTAGCAATCAGCTAGCTTTCCTTATTCATACAAGATTTGTTCATTGTACCATAGAGAGCAGAGGATTTGAATTTTACCGAATTTCCATAACCTTAAAAGTTGCAGTGTGACTGGCTCTTGTAGTTATAAAGTTGTTTTCGTAATTGTAAGACTTCTTTTCACTGGAAATACAATCAAATCTTACTCCTCTACTCCCTGTGATTAAACGGTTCTGAATGGTACATACAGCTTCTATCTGTCAGGCGGTACGAATAGCTTCGTCAGTCTTTGGTAGTGCAGGATGCACTATAGGGACAGGTCGTGTATGATGTAAAGTTGCCTATCATCCACGACCTTTTCATTCGAGAATGTTTGTAGTATTGTGGAAAGTAACCACAATTTCAATGGAGGGGGAAGGAGAACTCTGGTATACAATGAACATTTCAAGTGATAGAGCTTATCTTCGCATTAGGCCTTTCTGAAGCTCTCTCCTCTTAATTTCGCAAATGAAAATCGCTCCATGGTATGTGAACTGTGTTGCTTCACATGCATTGCATTGCTGATTTGGGTGGTGGGCCTTGAATTTCATGCTGCATTTTGATTTTTTCCCTTTCTGTCAAAGGTTTTGCTCAAGAAGTAGGCAAAGTGTCAGCCGAAGATAAAGATACTGGAGATAATGGAGAAGTCGAATATCGGTTGTTATACGCTGTGAATGTAAACTCGAAGTTTAACGTTGACTTGAAGACTGGCTCCATTAGTACTATCCCTGCCCCGGCTGGCACCCTTCCCTCTGATAGGCCACTTGACTTTGAACAGATCAACCAGCACGTTTTATACATCCGTGCAGCGGATAAAGGATTTCCTTCTCTTTCCAGTAAGTCGCACGCTTTTGCATATAATGCCATAGTCAGTAGAGCTGAATTAAATTTTTGTCTACCCTAGTGATGATTTAAGCAGATAGTAGTGATAAGTTTCGAACTCTAAGACACAATAATGTAAAGGTTTGTGAGTGTGTTAGTTTGTTTTTAGTTTAACCAGATGTCGAAAACGATTCAGGGAGATAATACTTAACTATCATAGCTGAATAAATGAATACATATTGAATAAACAGATGAATCAGTAAGTGAAAAAAGACGCATTAGAATATGCTTTGTAGGGAAATACTAGTAGACACAAGCATCCATGAGCCAAAAGTCACGGAAGATTTTTTATACATCATTCTTCTTGAGGGTAAATACCAGAAAAATTACCTAATTTACCCTTCAGCTGTCAACTCTCCTTTCTGCCTGCCGTACAAATTTTATGATGATAGTTCGGAGAATTCGTTATTGCTCGTTTAACAATTCCCTAATTGATATTTATCTTTATTCTCATCACTTGTCTGCTTGATATTGTATCGATATTGTAAGGAGAAATTCCCTACTGATGTCTCATGGGAAGTAAAGGATTAAATTGTAGCGTTGTAGAGCTTGCTATTGATATGACTATGCTGATACAAAATTATCGTTCATAATTACTTATGAAATTCCGAGGGTGCAACTCAGTAGATTCAAAATAAAATATCCAGGAAAGTTACAGGAATGGACCACTGAATTCTGAAAAACTGCTCTTGAAATCGAAATCTGGAAGCAACAGTTTATTTACGCTAATCACGTGCTTACCAGCGTGCTTGTGGGCTCCATACCATGCCCGTTTCAGTGCACGATCACAGCTCGGACGCTTCTTGCAAAATGTGATGACTGATTCTTCAGTTTCCAGCTTTAGGAAAAAGAAGTGTCGTATCGCTGGCATGTTCATCATAAACCCGAGAATGAAGTACGTTTTACTAGAGGTGTTGTGCGAAGAGGAAGTGGCTCCATTTTTTTTGAGACAAACCATTTCCTTTAGTTCGAACGAATCGAGTAGTAAGCATGAAAACATAGCGTTGAAAATTACGATGACCAAACAATTTGCGTCATGTGCTTTTTTTTTTTTCTTTCAAAGCCATCGCCAAGGTGATAATCAACGTCAAAGATGTGAACGATCAGACCCCTAAGTTTTCAGCGGACTCCTACGTCTCCAAAGTAGCCCTCGATGCCAAAGTGGACTCTCAAGTCTTATTGGTTGTAGCCACGGATTTGGATAGTGGTGACAATGGTAAAGTGGTTTACAACATTACAGGTGGTAATGCGGAGGGGGCCTTCAAAATTGATCCTGATACTGGTGTCATTAAGGTGAAAAGGTCTCTGACAACAGTCTCGGCTTCTACTTTTACACTTGATGTTGAAGCCAAAGACAAAGGAAATCCGCCGAGAAGTACACTCGCTAAAGTGGATCTGAATGTCTTTTTACCTGATGGACCGCCCAAGTTTGTCGTTAAACCAGTCGTTCAAGAAGTCAAAGAAGGCATTAAAGCGAACAACAGAGTCATGGTCGTGAAAGCGGCCACCTCTGAGGCTCTCACCTATGAAATAGTATCTGGTAACGAAGATGGCTTGTTTCGGATTAACCCTTCCACAGGCGAAATTATGGTAACAAGGGAGCTGGACTACGAGGAAGCTCAAGAACGTAGGCTTTTTGTGCGAGTGATGGACACTAGAGACCGCAGTGATCAAGTGACTGTGATCCTTCAAATCAAGAATATTAACGATAACGCGCCCACGTTCCCTGGGGAGGTCGATGGTTTTGTGGAAAGAAAAGTAGAAGACGACTTCCAGATAGGCGACTCTGTCGCCCGTCTGTCAGCCTTTGACGGTGATGTAGGGGACAAAATCACCTATACGTTATCTGAGAATGCACGGGCATCCTTTTCTATAAATAAAGAAGGTTTCTTGATAGCCAAGAAACCTCGCAAGGATTTCTCATCTCCTGTAACTTTCAAGTTGACCGCCAAAGACAACGGTTCTCCCCCACGCGAGAGCAAGGTTGATGTGCAGCTTGTGCTGGTTAACTACAGACCGGAGCAGCAGCATCCAGTTAGGGTGTATGTAAGAGAAGACAAAGAGGTCGGTAGTGTGGTCGCTATAGTTCCAAGATACTTTCCTGGTGGCACGCTATCAATTATCTATCCGCGGAAAGCCAACTTCACTGTGGATAATTCTGGCCGAGTTCGCATGACGACACCATTTGATTTTGAAGCGAGGCAATTTTTTACTTTAACTGTCCGAGAACAAGAGCCTGCCCCGCTCAGTCGTACAAACGATGTAGATGTAGAAATCAATGTGATAGACATCAACGACAATAAACCTGTGATGAAAATGGTTGAGTACTTTGGCCGTGTTAACACTAATTCGCGGCCAGGAACGAGCGCGTATCAGCTTAAGGCCGAGGATAAGGACGGTGGTTCGAGTGGGAGGATTGGCTACCAGATGGTATCTAGAGGAATACCTTTCGCCATCAATCCTATAACTGAAGTTGTGGAGACGGGCGGTATTCTGGAAGACAGGGGAGGGTACAATGTCACTTTGTTTGGCTTTGATTTTGGCATTCCGCGTCAGTTTGGCGATTCGGTGTACCTTGATATCAAGACTGTCAATTTCAAACCACAATTTTCTGAAAGTTCATACAAGTTCGAAGTGTTTGAGAATGATCTTCCCGGTAAGGTGATTGGTGTTGTCAATGCGACCAGTGCTTCTGGAGCAAGACTGGGTTTCTCAATAAAGCAAGGTGACACGGAAAACAAGTTTTCCATTGAATCTACTGGTGAACTTATAGTGAACTCGAGGTTAGATCGAGAAAAGACAAGCATGTACAACCTGAAAGTTGCAGCAACAGAGCAGATTCCTCGTGGGTACTCAAATGATGTAGATGTTCACATCTCGGTGAAGAACGCTAATGAGTACTATCCTTACTTCCCTCAGAAGGTGTATGAAAAATCCATCAGTGAAGATGTCGGATCAGGCGCATCGGTGCTTGGTATCACTGCATACGACTGTGATTGCACAGGTTGTAAATGCGAAAACGCCGAGCTGAAATACTCATTGGAAGGTACCAGTGTTTTTAAAATTGATGAAGTCACTGGCTTGATAAGCGTTGGTGATACGCCGCTTGACTATGAAACTCAAAGGATACACTTATTTAAAGTTGTCGTGGAGGATTTTGGCGAAAAGAAGTTCTCTTCTAGGTCGTTTGTCAGGGTAACCGTACAAAATCAGAATGACGAAGAACCGAAATTCCAGAAAGGAGAATACAGCATTGATATTGCAGAAGATGCAACGACTAAGAAAGCTCTAGCAGCCATCCTTGCCAGAGATGCTGATGGCGACTCTTCAGTGTACACGATAACCAGCGGCGATGGCGGCGGCATCTTCGACATTAATCGAGACACTGGTGTGCTGTCACTTAAACAGAGTGTTCAAGGAAAGCAAACCCAGTACTCTCTCACAGTGCGGGCAACAGACACAGGTAGAAATCCGAAATTCGATGAAGTGCGTGTTGTGGTCAACATCGAAGACATCAATGACAACCGACCAGTCTTCACTGTTTGCCCGGATGAAGTGACCGTCGAGGAGAACAAACCGAGAGGTGAGAGGGTAACTCAAGTCACTGCTGTAGACAAAGACAGAGGACGGAACGGGGAAGTGGAGTACAAGCTTGTTACAGGTGGTGAAAGGCTATTCGAAATAAATAATTCCACTGGTCTGATTACGACAATAACCAGCTTGGACCGGGAGAGTGAAGATCGTCACACGTTAATAGTACAAGCCGAAGATGGAGGACATGGAAGAAATGAAGCAGAGAGGCTTCTCTCCTATTGTATCATAGAAGTCAAAGTAGCCGACGTTAACGATAATTATCCCGTGTTCTTCACAAGGCAATATTATGGCAGTGTGTTTCAAGGAGCCCCAATATCTACGACCGTCTTGACTGTGAGCGCTACGGACGATGATGTAGGAAGCAACCAGGAAGTGGTGTACTCCTTGGTTGGCTCCAGTGACAAGTTTAAAGTCGATGGAGCTACTGGTAACATCATAACAATCGCGGACTTAGCCAATTTCCAACAAACCGTACAACTGAAAATCCGGGCATCGAATCAGGCTACCCCAACCGCTACGAAAACAAGCTCATCGGAGACTACAGTTGAGATTAATGTTGTAAACAAGCAACCACCTAAGTTTGAACCAAGTAGTGTTTATACTTCCGATATTCAAGAAGATGTGAAAATAGGAAGTGCTGTGGAGACGGTGAAAGCGGTAAGCCAGGTCGACCCCACGAATGTGATTTCGTATAGTTTGGTGAAGTCATACTTCAGAGCTGAGCAGAATTTCAAGGTTGACCCAGGAACAGGAGTGATTTCAACTGCAAGTACGCTTAACTTTGAGCAGCAGAGTAACTACAAGCTTCAGATTCGCGCTCGAGAGAATAAGAATAATCTGTATGCTACTTGCTCTGTCATAGTACGACTTATAGATGTAAACGACGACACACCGACATTTAAACTTGAAGAGTACTCCGCCAGAGTTCCCGAGGAAACAGCTGGAGGCTTCAATGCGATCACGGTCAAAGCAGATGACAGGGACACCGGCCTGTCTGGTCAAGTCTTTTATTCCCTTAAGACGTCTCAGAAATTCAGGATAATTCAAAGCAATGGCACCATCTTCAGCCAAGCGAAATTTGACAGGGAGGCGCAAGGGACTCACACTGTGTTCGCGACCGCCACAGATAAAGGCACGCCACCTCTCGAGGCCAGTGTTGCTGTTTCCATTGCAATTGTGGATCAGAATGACGAGCCCCCCGTCTTTAAACAAAGGTCATATGAGGCTACTGTTCAAGAAGATGCTCCCATAGGTACCTCTATCCGTGACCTATCGGCAACGGACGCTGATATTGGAGACAATGCAAAGTTGGAGTACTTTATATCCGGCGGAGCACAGTCCCAGCTTTTCAGAATGGAGACGGTTTACAGTCCCCAAAACGAAGGTATTCTCTATCTTGACGGCAAGCTGGACTTCGAAAGCGTAGAAACCTATACCATTAAAGTAACGGCTACAGATAGAAAAAACAGCGACACTGTGGACGTTGTCATCAAGGTAAGCAAATCATAAATTTGGGCTTACTGTACTGACGAAATAGGTTTAAGGGTGTTAGATTAACCCTCTTACTTCGAAGATTGAATAGCATCTAATTTATTTTTGCATATCACCCTTGGGTCATACATTAAGGTCGTGAGAATAAAGGAAATCACAGTACATAGAAGCTCTTTATTATTTAACCAATTCTCCGTGTCAGCACCCAAGGAAATGTTTGGAGAACAGTATGGAGAATATTCTTGCTGATGTTAGGGTGTAAAGGGTTAGGTAATAACCGCAACACGTGATGGCATAGAGTTTTGGAAGGGTTGTTCCCGAGCTGTTTGCAACCAAAGCTCATGATGTCCCTTGACCTTTGCATGTTATGGGCGTAGCAAGCCTATAGGTTCTCTATTTTCTCGCCAGTCACGTTTCGATGCTGAAGAGTATTTCTCATATTTAATGAAATGCAGCAGGATTTTTATTGAACTTTTGCGTTAAAGGACTCTTATCACGTTTACATAGATACATAGCCGGTTAAGGTGCTCCACATTATCCGAAGCTGATGGGTTAGTTAAGTTATCAACGCTTGGATTCTTAACGGATGTGGTTATCTTTGTTTTGGCAGGTTATTGACACAAACGACAACGTCCCAGAGTTTACTACGCTGATCTATGAAGCAACGATCAAAGAGGAAATTAAGGCTGGTGAAAAGGTGGTACAGGTTTCTGCAACGGACTTGGACAGTCCCAAAATTCAGGATCCATTGGCTTACTCGATTGACAAGACAGGACAGAGGTATTTCTCAATCAACTCTGAAACTGGCCAGATTACCACCGCCAATGAGAAGCTTGATCGCGAAAAAGACCCAATTGTTAGCTTTTACGTCTTCGCTTATGATGGGAAACATAGAGGAGAGGCCCTGGTACGAGTCAACCTAACTGACATCAATGACAATGCCCCGTACTTTCCAAACCCTCCTTATGTCGGCTATGTGGAAGAAAATAAAAATCCAGGTACCAGTGTGATGGTTCTTCAAGCAGTTGATTTAGACACTGGTGTAAACGCAGCAATACATTATGAACTAGAGGACGATGCTGGGGGCAAGTTTAAGATTGATAAAGACACCGGGCTTGTCACCACCCTTGAAACTCTGGAAAGGGAAGGCCCCGAAAACGAATTTACTATACGAGTGAAAGCTACGAACAGGCAGGCCGGTGGTAACCCACCTTTGTCTGGTACTGTTACTGCTACAATCAAAGTTTCTGATGGAAATGATAAGAGTCCAGAGTTTAATCCCTTAATTTACAAAGCAAATGTTCCAGAAGATGCCTTGCCCGGGTATTTTGTTACCAAGGTGGTTGCTACCGATAAAGACGTTGGTCCCAACGCTGAATTAGAGTATACAATTAAAGCAGGCAATGACCCTTACGAGTTTTACATCGACCCAAGGAATGGTCGCATCCTCGTGTCTGGGCTTCTCGACTTCGACAAGGGGAAGAAAGCCTACAACCTGACAGTTACAGTTAGTGACCGCGGAAATCCACCCAGGAGTGCCCCTAAACCAGCGTTGGTTTACATTAACGTGATCGATGCCAATGACAATCCTCCAATATTTGTGCCTGCTGAGTACGACAAGAAAGTATCGGAGAGTGTAAAACCGGGTGACACTGTTTTACTGGTGACAGCGGTTGACAAAGATACCGGCACCAACGCGCAGTTCCAGTTCTCTATCACAGACGGTGATGACGCGAATATGTTTGCTATCAGGTCCAACGCTAAAAATAGTAGTATTGGAGAAATTTACACGCTACTGCAGTTAGATCGAGAAACTGTTCCTCGGTACAATTTGACCGTGACAGCTACTGACTCTGGAGGGTTGGAGGGTATCGCAGTGGTGCATCTTATTGTAACCGATTTTAATGACAACGGCCCTTGGTTCAAGCCCCGATACTATGAGGGTACTGTCCAGGCGGGCATAAATCCCAGCCAAGGACAACCTGTCTTGACTCTTGAGGCATACGATCCCGATGAAGCGAGTAACGGTCCTCCGTTTACATTCTCCCTTGTGGATTCGAACCTCAACAGTCGTTTCAAACTAACAAGAGCCACAGATAAGACGGCCGATATGGCTGCTTTCGGAGAATTCAACAGGGAAGTAAAGCAGCTGTGGAAAGTTGAAGTGAAGGTAGTTGACAGTGGAGTTCCAAGGAAGGAGAACAAAACTTTTGCGTACATTGAAGTTGAAGATGAAGATAATAAAAACGAACCGTTCGACGGAAAGCTGACCATCATTGTGAACGCGTACAACGGCAGGTTTGCCGGTGGAATTATTGGTAAGGCTTATTACAAAGACAACGATTACAAGGGCGACCAGAATAAGTACAGCATGGACAACCAGAACTTCTTCACCCTCAACTCAGCAACTGGTGATATCACAGCCAAGGCTAATATACCAATGGGTACGTATACATTCAGTGTCGAAGTCGAAGAACAAAAGCAACGACCTGGTAATTTCCCGAAGACTGTAACCTCTGGGGTAACAGTCATAGTACAAAGTGTAACAAGTGCAGCGATCCAACAAAGCGTGGCCATACAGATATTAAAGATAAGGAAAACGTCACTTTTTGTGGGTGACTACTACTCCGAAGTTCGATCGGCGCTGGCGGAAATTCTGGCTGGTGGCGAAACAGACCAAATTTTAATCTTCAGTATCCAGAAGGCTCCTGTCAATCGTGTTCCTCTCTCGGATCTGTTTGGAGTGGAGATTTACCTTGCTGTGAAGTCGTCTGGTAGTGGGTTTTTGGATCGCCTGGATGTTGTAAGGCGGCTGATACAAGGGAAAGAGAGACTTGAGAAGCTAGGTGAGTTGAATTCAGTAAGAATAGGCCAAGAATTCGCGTCTTCTGACTGACAAGAGTCTCAACCCCTTTAACATATCCATTAAAGACAAGCGAGATTTGTAAAGAGACGAACCTTAAGGAGAGTGTTATGTGTTCATTTGAGGCCATAGATACCCTTCGCTTGTTGTGAAAGTGTAAATTTGCTGTTGTATTCGTTTGCCTTGCTGAACACTTGTGAAACGCACGCCTATAAACCCCGTATTAGTGTGTCTTTATTCCTTATTTCATATCTTTTTTCCGATGTACAGGACTAGAGATCGGAAGCATTGGTATCGATGCATGTGCATACGAACAGCAAAGAGTTGGGACATGTAGTAACGTTGTTAAAGCGTCTTCAGCTTTCACCGTAGTGAGCGGTGATTACGGTAAAATTCCTGCTCCTGCGAGCTCTTTGACAGTGGTGGCTATGAACGTCAATCTTCAAGCAGAGTACACATCTATCATCTTACCGGATATCAACTGCACTACGGGCACGCCCTGCCTTCACGGAGGAACATGTCATAATGCCGTTCCCAAGGGAATTATCTGTGAGTGTAGTCGAGAATATCGAGGGCCGGAATGTCAGAGCACCACCAGGACATTTAAAGGCAATTCGTATCTCTGGCTGGAGAAGCTGGCCGCTTATGAACGCAGCATTGTCTCGCTACAGTTCATGACCGAAACGGCAAATGGGCTGCTTCTCTACCAAGGCCCTGTTTTTAAAGGTAACTTGTGCAAGTTTGTTCTCGGAATTCCTATTTAAAAATGGCAACGAATTTCTAGATCGTAGCGGCTTCGAGTTTTTTTAGTAAATGAGACCATTTGGCATTTGGATGGGGTTTGGTGTGATGTCATTGTCAATCATACCAAATAGTAAATGAAGTAATCGCATTTGGCTGTATTTAATACTTATGATATAACAGGTGGATATTATGCTCGCTTGAGCCTGTAACATTTTCTTAAGTGACAGTAGTAGTACGACCGATTTTCGTTTTGTTTTTATCACTCAGATTCCAACAATGGTTTACCAGACGTGATGGCCGTGATGATGGTTGAAGGATACATAAAGCTTGTGCTCACTCTTGGCCCTCATCCGAACGCTCCGTTAGAGCTGTACATGAACCGAGGAGATCGGCTGGACGATAAGCAATGGCACACGGTGGAGGTTATTCGAGAGCTTAAGGTGAAAAAATTATTGTTCGCCACTAAATTATCTACTATTTCGGAGTGTAAGGTAGACCTGTTTTGTTATTGCTCGTTTGCAATAAATTAATTACTTTTCCGATCTGTTTCCTCCCCCCCCTCGCAGAAAGTGACTGTGAGGATTGATCTGTGCTCTAAAGCTCAGGTTGTGGAAGATGATGGACAAGTTGTAGAGAACAGAGCGTCGTGTGAGATTGAGGGCGAAGTGTGGGGCTCCAATGTGTAAGTAGTTTAACTCTTTTACACCCTAACATCAGTATTCATATTCTCCATACTGTTCTCCGTACATTTACTAGGGTGCCGATAAGGAGAATTTGTCCAACAATCAGGAGTTTCTTTAGTTGGTGATCATTTCTTTTATTCTCATGACATTGATGTGTCATTCAGTGGTGATATTGTAAGGAGAAATTAGATGCTAGTCACTCTTAGGGGTTAAAGGGTAAATGTTTACTGTTGGAAGGTATCTTCATGATAAAAATGTTATTTCCGACGAAGTTTGAACCAGGAACGATGTCACCGAAGTGTTTACTGGGAGTCAGGAGGAAATGCTTTAGTGGACAATGGCAGATGAATCTTAAATATAACAAAATTTCTTACGGAACACGATAGATTTCTGACAACAAGGCAAGGCAGTGTACATTTATTCCCTTCAGAAACACTATCATATAATGTTTATTACTCTGGTAGAGAAATAAACTTTATGTGAACGTGTTTTAGAGAATTTACTGCAGCAGTCAGGACGGCAACGCCAAGGAAAAAGTCGATTAATAACATTTATTTATATTTTTAGTTAGGATTTAGCGAGTGACTTGATGTGTTAACCGTCTCTTATGACACCACACCCCCAATGATGTTTTGTTTGGCCACATTGCCGTCGCCATCGTAGTTTACCGAAGCCCCCTACTGTCTTCCCCGACAACGTTTCTGCAATGATGTTTTTATTACCTCATATATAGCAATAAGCGTTCTAAAACCTCTCAGTCATTTCCTCACTTAGTAAACGTTTAATAACTAAAATCAAGAGCGCTTCTCATAACTCGATCTTGATCGACCAGACAAATCAATTAATTCGATCAAGGAGAATATCATATCTCTGCAGATCAAAAGGAAACTAACCGAAATAACCGAAATTTACCAAGCTTGTCGGCAAGCTTTGACTTAGTTGCGAGCCCTCACTCTTTGGAGATGTATCCACTTTCGGTTCCTCCCTAAGTGCTTCTTCAAAGAATTCGATCCATGTAATGTAGACCACTTGTACCGAGGGCTTAGCCGTGTTACTTAGTACCTAACCTTAGGCCAGGGTGAACACAATTCCTCTCGTTTGTCTCCTTCGGGCGTTCCAATCCCAACGCTTATAAACGCTGAGTACTACACTGGAATCTTGAGTAATTTTGACTTACTATTTTCTTGCTCTATATTACAGGTACCTTAATGGATTTGGCCCACTTCAAATTGGTGGAGTAGAGAACGCGCTCGAAAATGCAAAGATCAACTACGCTGGGTTTAAAGGCTGCATAAGGAATATAAAAGACAACGAAGTAATGTACGATTTACTGAATCCTCTTAAGGAAAGGAACACAGAATTGGGATGTAATCTTGAAAACAATCTGTGTCCGGATTGTAACGATCATGGATATTGCGAGCCTTTGTGGACCAACAGTATTTGTGTGTGCGACCTGGGCTACAACGGGCCCAACTGTAACTCAAGTAAGATATGTTGTATTAGATTAGAGTTCGTAAGACACGCACGAGAGGAGTTATCGATTTACCTTTCGCCACGCTTAGCTTTCCGATGCTCTGGAAAACTTTGCTGTGTGTACTTGCACCGGTGCGAATCGCTTGTAAAACAGCGGGCGGCAGACCTTTGTTGCTTGTAGTAGTGTTTCACGTTACTTTCAAAACCGAATACATACATAATCGGTAAATAACAGGAGAGGGGGAAGAAAAAACTACAAAATATAACGAAACGTGCGCCTTTCCGGGCTCTGAAACGCACCGCGTAGTTTTTACGAACTAACGAATCAACGCGCATGTCGGAGAATGCTGACGTATTGGTAACGCAACGTAACGGAAATGTTAACAGAAATACTGAGGCAGGCGGGTGCCAATATACTGTGCTTTCAAAGCATTTGACTTGGTGGAAACAGTTTTCTCTTTCTTGACTGCAAGGTGATGTCTTTTTATTCTGTAGTTACACGAAGTTATTCTACCGCCGGAAAGGCAAATGTTGCTCGAAATGAAACAAAAACTTTTAGACCGTTGACGGCGGTGATAGCTGCGAAATGGGTTCGGTAGCACTGAACATCGAATTCTGCTTTTTTAGATAAAAATGCAAACTGAACTAAATTCTGAGGACTACTGACTTTACTTTTGATTAACATCACATCAGTCGGTTTTTGTCTTCTGGCGCCCTTGTTTAAGCCCTACCTATGCTTGTAAGTTAATCTCTTTTTTGTTTTTGTTTTGTTTGTTTGTTTTTTTACAAGGAACGAATGCAAACTGGTATAAACCCAACAGCTTCACTCAGTACCGAATGAGGCAAACCAAAAGAAAACGCCGCGAACTTGTTCCCCCGCCAGTTTCAATGACAAACGAATTCTACACTAACATTGCCCTTCAAGTTAGGATCTCTCCCAATTCTTCCAATGTGGTTGTCTTCTTGGCTTCTAATAGCCTGGGAACAGAATTCAACAGGATTGATGTAAGAGCTTTGTTATTGTTCAAGAAGTTACTGTGTCGCATGAAAACTTGCGGGTTGCGAAATACAACGCTGTAAAAATGTACTATCTTTAGTCCAATAAAAATTACCTTAGTAGTAGTCAGATGGTAAGAGTAAGATTTCTGTTTGAATTTATTATTGTTTCAGCTCTTTGGGAAGCAAGGCATTTTCTACTGCAATTTTATAGAATGCATAGTAATATTTTTATTTGGAGTGTTTTGTATGCAATGTTGAACTGAAATATTACACTGTTATGCAGCTCGAGTAGAAAAATCGAAAATATAGTTCCTTTCAACAATTCAAGGTACTTCGAATCACCAACACTTGTTCCCGTAAAACTGGTGTTAAGTCTGGGAAATGGTCGACATTTCTATTTCATTCACTCATTCCTTTTGTGAAACGTTTTATAATTAGACACGTTAGTCTGTGACTAACATTGTAACCTTAATATATTACAGGTAAAGAATCACGTGTTGCGTTACGTCTTCCGGCTTGGTGACCGTATGAAGATCCTCAGTATTCCCCAACTGAACATAACAGATGATAAATACCACACAATTGTAGTCAAGAGAGTAGGTAACCGAGCAAGGCTTCAGATCGATTACAATGGTAAAGTGGAGGGGACTACGGGTGGTATACACAAACTGCTCAACATGGGAGGAGGAAGCTTCTTTACTGGTGGCTTGCCTAACGTTACTGAGGTAGGGAAAGTCCTCTTAATCTTGACCATTTTACTCCCAGGAGTTACCGATGAGTTATTCCGGATCGATGTCAATATCTCAGCAACTGCGTACCTATCCCTTCCAAGCCCATTATTAATCCGATCTTGTCATCATTTAACTGTTGAGGGAGGGTTAGACGCGCAGTTGCTGAGATACTGACATCGATGATATAGTTTGATTTGATACCAATTTCCTGGATATAAATCTTTTAGAATGTGTGGAACACGATAAGAAGAATTGACGTTCGGATCTAGGGAGTAAAATGATTAACGCGGTGAAGAAAAGGACACAGCAAATAGTAGAGGATTCCTCGACAGTTTAACTTTACCTCGAATTTTGTCATAACTGTTCGGTAACTACTCAAAAACCTTACCCGGGAGAGACAAATTATGTTCACCGAACTGCGTTAATGGGATAATCGACTAAAGCAAAAAAAAATCAATCTTGCCGAAGAAGACCGGGGAAAGAAAAATTGCGAGCACAGACAAATTGCTCAAATACTTCACTCCAGCAGAAAAGTGTTCCCCCATAAAGATTCGAACAAAGTAATTTTCTCTGCCAGCTTGATAGACTCTCTTTTAACCGTTTTCTGGAGTCCTGTCCTTGATCCTTTGGTTTGGAGGAGGGACGGAGGGACGCAGTAATATGATAGTGGGGATAAATCAAAGGCATACTGTTCTAATATGTGTTTTTTACCGTAATAACTTGAACTAAATTAGCACAGCCGATATACACATGTTATCTAACTTAATGGTTATTTTTTTAACCAGGAATTAAGCATTGCATAACATTTTTTCCAGGTACGAGTCGTAGAAGCGTTTGTTAACAGTGGCGGTAACGCCATCTTGCGCACTGCCGACGGCAACATCATCTCAAGCGGAATAGGAAGTGGATTATCAGGATACAGTTCCTCGGATGCCGAACTCATGGGCACCATGATAACTGTTGGTCTTAGAGGAGAGGTGTACTCCTCAAGTTCGTTCATGAAATTGTATTCCCCACTTGGAATGCGAGCTCTAGTGGGTTCGTCCGGCCGTATATTTGTGGGACGTACTGCAACAACAAGTACGAGAACATCTATAAGGACTTACTCCTATAAGTCATACACGCCCATCGGCGTGAAAAGTGGGGGCAAGATTAATGTTAGAGTCATATCAACGAATTACAACCCAAGTGGAAGCTCTGTCGTTATTAGTTCAACCACAGGCGGTAGTGCAGTTGGGTCTTCTGGTGGAGGTGGGTCATCTGGTGGAGGTGGTTCTTCTGGTGGGGGTGGGTCATCTGGTGGAGGTGGTTCTTCTGGTGGGGGTGGGTCTTCTGGTGAAGGGGGATCTTCTGGTGGAGGTGGTGTTGTAACTGGTGGGGTTGGTGTTGTTGGTGGTGGTGGTAGTGTAGGTCGTGGTATTGGTGGACAATACGTCACTGGAGCCACGGTATTAGGAGGTGCTAGCTCTGCTAATGCATATGGACAAATCAATGCTTATGGCACCACGCTTAGTGGATGGACACTTCTGGGGGCAACCACTGATGGTGCTAAGGCAGTTGAAGTGATAGGAGATTTCGGAGGTGAGTTCAAGGTTCTTATATAAGTGGCTCTTAAAAGCACCGTTATATTTATAGATGGTCTTTGTCGATTAAGAATCACGTCTATGATTAAAAAGAATGCGTCTCCTGCCAATCCACGCAGCCAACGATGTCTCTGAGTTTGCAAGATGAACCAAATATTGTGTTCTAATTGGTTGTGCTAGCAAGCACAACCAATTAGAAATGGAACTATTTTGGAGGCTTTTCCCGCCGAAAATAATCGCTCAAAGCAAGCATTTGGTCCCACTATAAATTATCTATTGATCAGGGTTTTTGGTTCAAGCTAGCTCAAATTTGGCCAAATTCTTATTTTGCGTCCAAGTGGACCGATAGGAACATCTCTACCTGATGCCTGGTTCCTTTCCATACTTATATTATTAACACATTTTTCTTAGGATGTACGGCGTCAAACAGTTACAATGGCGTAGATTTGGACAACGATAACAGTATAGAGGCACGGCGTCAGAATGTGGAATTCGGTTGTCCGTGTTCTTCAGGTTTCTGTTTGCACGGCGGAACATGTGTGGATGCTGTACCTCCTTATTGTATGTGCCCGCCTGGTTGGACTGGACCACGATGCGAGACTGTTGTTACCAGCCCTAATCCAGGTATGGCAAATACTGGTTTATCCTATAGTAACACTATCAGTATTTCTGCATTCTAATTTTAGCGTGAAAGTTCTAATATATGGGTGGAACACTTCTATTTTTCCCGCTTTTCAAATTTTTCTGTCGTCTTTGTGCATCGAACTCTTCATCAGACGGACATATTTCTAACACGGACTCTTGGTGTTGGCCCTGTTAACGCCTGTCTCAGGGGGGGTTGACCTCAGGGCTTAGATTTTCCAGAGAAGCAAGTAAAATTAATATACTCTCGCTCTCTATTCAGGCACACGTCCAGGAAGCAGGTGGGCGAATCCTGCAGTTATCGCAGTTGTCCTGGTCGTTTTGCTGGCCATTTTAGCAATTGTCGGCGCCGTATTACTGAAAAGGCGACCAGTGCCTGCTGTGGTGGCTGTGGTTGAAGATGGGCATGTTCACGACAACATTCGACCGTACCACGACGAAGGCGCCGGCGAGGAAGATAACTTCGGTTATGATATCACAACTCTTATGAAGTACACTTATGTTGAAAACGGTATAGCTGGTACAGGTGGCGCAGGAAGTGGCAAGTTCAAGGATGCTGGGGGTATTGGCGAAGAAGAGTTCACCGTTGCAGAAAATAAACCCCTTCTACAAGGAGCGATGCCTGGTGCTGGTTTACGGCACGGGGTTACAACCATGACTAAGCGTCGCGTAGTACATCCTGAAAGCATTGACGTGAAACAGTTCATCGATACGCGCGTTCACGAAGCGGACGGCGAATACATCTTATCCATTGACGAGTTACACATTTATCGGTACGAAGGAGATGATTCAGACGTCGACGACCTCAGTGAGCTTGGAGATAGTGACGAAGAGCCGGATGAGGAGGAGGAGCAAGAATTTGCTTTCTTGCAAGAATGGGGCAAGAAATTCGATAACCTTAACCGTATTTTCAACGAAGACGATTAATTCATGCAGCCGTTTTGTACATAAGCTGATTTTTTAAAGATTAAATCAATAGGTTTAGGCACTTTGTTACTCTGCCTTGTTCAAGCTCGTCTAACCACCTCATATTTTTGACTTGGAACGTCCATGACCTCATTTTGTGAAGAACTGTTCGAATACGCAAGTTAAACGAGAAATTCTCGATGAGACGAGAGTGCTTTTAATGTGTGTTAGTACATGTGTAACTCTTATCGGACAAACTTGGACACTAGCGAGGTACTCGCTGTTAATTTAAATTAGCAAAGGTGCGGTTAGAAAAAAGGTTTTGTATCAGAGGGAAAATTTAACTCTGACAAAGAAGTTTTTTGTCATTACCGTGTAATAGTTAACATTTATGTCTGAAGGTTTTCGGTGCAAAAGACGAATTCAAGTAACTTTGCCGTAAATTGGGAAATGAACTTTCTTTGTTTTAGCACAATAATCCCTCCTTTACCTTTGAAGTGAGGGGCTACTCGCGCCGGTAAGAACACATAAATCTATTGCAGAGGTCCGTTTTCAATAGTGTTACGCCTTCTCTTCCGTGTGTACAATTGGAAAAGTTTAGAAACTTCTGAAGGGAAGGGAACGTAGTCTCATGACTGGCTAAATATTCGCGTCTAATATTGAACTAAAAGTGTACACCTGGTGTAAAGTATCATTTTAAGATTTCTTCGAGTTGTTTAATTTCTTCATTTTCGTCAGATAAAGATGGTGATAGTGCAATAACTTGCTAGATAGAAGTCAATAAATTATGTGTTTGTAGGAAAAAAATGGAAAATTATGGTTGTGTCTATTTCTTCTTCTTTTTTCCCTCTTTACTGAGTATTTCGCGTTTAAAATTAGTTTGGAATGAAAAACATTATTTTGAACCTTTTTAGAAGCCCTTGAAATGGCCACTCGCGATAAACCTAACCCTCTAGGGATTCTACGGAGCCCAGTTAGTACTATCTTGTAGTACTCATCAACTTTTGTTTCACTACCTCGACTTTATGTTTCACCACCTCAGTTTTTTCCCGGCACAACTTCAACTTTCCGGCACGGAAAGTTAAGTCGTTCAGAAAAGTTGAAGTCGTACCGGAAAGTTGTAGTCATGCCGAAAAGTTGAAGTCGCGCGGAGAGTTGAAGTTGTGCCGGATGTTTAATTCGTGCCAGATAGTTGAAATCGCGCTGGAAAACTGAAGTCGTGCCGAATAGTTGGAAGTCGTGCAGGTAAGTTGTAATCGTGCACGACCGTTGAAGTAGTGCCGAAAAGTTGAAGTCGTGCTGGGAAAAAACTGAGGTGGTGAAAAATAAACTTGATGAGAAATATGAGGTGGCACTAACTGGGCTCCGTAGGACTCCCTATTCCACGCAGTCAATGTTAGATTCTCTACTGTCCTCTACCTGTCCTCTGCACTATTTGAGCGTGAGGCGGTTTCACCGAGAGCGGTCATACGAGATTTGGTTGGGACATATGGACAATGTTCACTTTCTGTCTGCCTGTCTGTATAATAGGACACGATTCTCATTGATTGAATGCTTTGGTTGAAAGAATATTACCAGAACCAACCTCATTCTGTTCCTAATTATTTTGGAGAAGATTCAAACAAAACTGTAGAAGGAGCACAATTCAAGCAGTTTCTTTGCTGATAGGATAAAAATTGACCATAAAGGAAGAACTGTTGTATTTCCCAATATACATGCCTTTATTTGTAAAAATCCCTTTAGGGTGAACTCAGAGAGGATCGACAAGCCTCTTGTGTGAACTAATGAAGGGGAATAAGGGATTTTCTGTTCAAAGATTTGACCATGTTCGTAGGTTGTGAGGTGTATCCTGAGACCTTCTACTTAATAAAATATTGCAGTACTCTCCATGATGAAATTAAAACAGTTTCCAGTGAATTTTAAAGGTAAGAAATTGTTTCTCTGAGAAACCTCCTCTCCCAAGGTGTCAAGTATGTGGGGATGTGAAATTCCAATCAAATTGGCCCTAAGTCTAAAGAAGTTCTTTATGTAATGTTATTTTGTACAAATTTGAAAACTTAGTTATCTTTTTTTTTTTAACATACATTCACTCCTTATTCCTTCAGTTACTACTATAAAGAAACAAAAAAGAGACAGATTCCAAGAAAAACTCCTCACTATGTAATATCAAGAGACAACTTGAGAGCAATTTGAAGCATTTCCTCCTCTGATAATTCTGAAATAAGTAAAAAGAATCAAAAAACGTTTACTAAGGGAGCACCAAATATGTCTTGCACAGTTGTAATTGTGCAAGGTAACAAAATCACATCCCTCCACTGGAGTTAATAAACTACCAATCATTAAATTAATGAGGGGGGGGGGTTACAGTGCTGCATTGGAGGGGGGGGAGGCAGAGGGATATTAAAAGATAACTTGGTTTAACAACTGCATGAGTTGATAAGGTACATTGACCACTGTAGTAAGTTTCTAAAGCTGATGTTTTGAGCATTAGCCCTCTGTCAGAGGAGATAGGCAGTCAATTGACAGGTTAAGCATGATGTTTATGACAATAGCAAACAACAAAATGGCATCTTCTTGTTGTCTGCTTCCAGAATCTTGAGAATTCACAAGAAACTGGACACAAGCAAGAGAGCCATCTTAACATGAGGGAGGGAGGGAGGGAGGGCGTTTCCGAGCCCAAAAATTATTTAATCCTCTTTTGTCACACTTCCACACCTTTATCCCTTTACAACCTAATATCAGTATTCATAATCTTTATACTTGTCTCTTAATACATTTCCTTTGGTACTGACTAGGAAAATTTGTTTAACAAGCAAAGCTTCATAGGGAGGTGACCTCCTTTATCCTTATGATCTTAATGAACAATTCAAGAGTATTATCGTTGGGAGAAACTAGCTGCTGGTCACTTAGTGTTTTAAGTGTCACAAAAATTTTCTCATGCTTAAGTTGAGGGAGAAGGTAAAAGCTCACATTGTGAACAGTCTAACATCATTTTCACCTCTCATGTTGTCTAATATATCCCACCTTATGAACCAAACCAGTGAGAACCCCTCTTATTCTGTACCTGATGATTCTTCTTGATCAGCTGGTGGACCAGGTGTTGTTACAGTTTCTTGAGATGTATCTGCTGTCTCTGAGGTTTGTTCTGTATTTGGATTGTTGGCTTGGGTGTGGTTTTGTCTAAAAAAAAAAAAAAAAAAAAAAAAAAAAAAAAGTTCAACTTCAGCTAGGGTTCCAATCCAACAAACTTCCAATTAGCACATTAACAATTCAGAATATATTCCTTAAGACATTAATCAATGCCAGGTGTAACTTGTAATATTACATGAAAAGAAAAGACCCAACTACAAACTTCACCACTCAAAGGTTTGTTCAATGAACTAGAATTTTAGTATAAACATAACCTGCACACAGAATAGCAGTATGCACACACAAAAGATGTAAACAAGTCATATTAGTACATATTATAATATTAATTTTGTTCCTCAGTGAAGCTGAAAAGTCTCGATCACTTAAAGAGCATTGATCACATGCTTAAACATAGCAAGCTGATCCTTTGGGTTTTTCCTGTCCAATTGCAAAATGATAAAAGAAGTATCTTAAGTGGAATCTAGAATTCTGCCATACTGGGCTCCTTCTTTAAAACACTTATTGTCATTCCCTCAACACTTCTTTTTGAATAGAATCAACTGCATAGAGAAAAAATACAAGAGAGGTTGAAGTGAGTTTCCAATCACAGTGGTGACTCCAAACCAAAAAGGTCACCCATTGTTTTAAAGTTAACTTACCTTTGAAAATACAATTCTCGTTTTCTCCGAACTGCATCCATGTCAACTGGTTTATCTGATGACAAAATAAGATACATTGCTGTATAATACACAGCTCATCTCTAGAACTAAATATAAATATTGTTCAGTTACAGTGAAACATAAATCTGTCAAAGTCATGAAATAATGTAGTCGCATCCAAACATAAGTTTGAGATAACAAGAATGCTCAGGTAAGTGACAGATTTAATTTTTAAAGCTTAAACATACCATCACCTCCTACAACACCACTGGCCTGTTGAAGCGCAGCTGTTAGATCTGTTTTGTTCACCAATTTGTGTGCAGATGTTTTAAAAGGTTTCTTCTGTGATTCAGCTGGACAAAGCTTCAAAAGTTGATCTGCTTCACTCTCTGGTAAATTTCCTCTTACAACAAATATTGAATAACCTAAGAGGCAAGAAATCATGGGTGGTAATGTCTGTGTGTTTGAACTGATAATGTCTTGAATTGGAGATTTTTAATTTCAAATCATTTTTTGCAGCTCTTTTTAAAGTCTACAGATACCACACAGTGGGTCAAGGACTCTGAGCTACTTAAATATTACAAAATTCTAAGTCTATCAACATAAGAAGCAGAGGGCAAGGTCTTGAATAAGACACTAATGACTCTTTCACTCCAAGAGGTGATCACTGTCACACCTCTCTTTACAATAATAGCATAATGTAAAGTATTTGATGAGAATTTAGGAGCAAATTATTGAAGCTAAAATTATATAAATTATATTGTGCCAAATCACTTAAACCCACATTATTTGCCCCTCTATTTACTTTTACTTCAAAGATCCAATTAGTATTTCTCCTTTCTAAGTGCCTTTGAATTCCTTGTAAACTAAACAAGATAATTTGGCATTGTATTCTACGATGGCTAAGCTGACCAATGTGCCCAGATATCATCACTTTGTGTGCCTCTTTGAGTAGGGGAGGCACAACTAATACCCTCTAACTGATAAGCTTGTCTGTTCTCATAATCTGTTTGAAAGCTAATATACTGGAATCAAAATGGACAGTTACATGTAAATCAACTCTGACAGTTGAGTGCATAATTTGCAAGCTATGAAAAAGAAATTGTCATTTGACAGGGAAGAGCAAAATTAGTATATATTTTTGTTTGCTTGGCCACAGCATTTAAAACACCTCAAAATTAATGTAGATACAGTCACTGTGAAAATAAGATTTAAAATTCTGCTTGCAAGTACCTTCTGTCTGTAATTGGGTAAGAAATAGTGACAAATATGTCTCAGTTATCAGCGCTGGTTTGGACAACAGAGAGTTAAGATTAAACCACTGCAACAAAAAACACGGACACTTTAATTTGATGTGGTTCTCTCAATTTTCACGTTGATTACTCCAGATTCATAACTCTAGACTAGCTTTTTTACATTCACTATCTTCATATTTTTCTTCATTTAGTTTTTCCCTCTGTGGCAGCCAATGGAGAGGCAGACGAGCCTGCAACATTTTACTGCTATACTAACTTTGTTAGATATTATAATATAATAATAATATTTGGTTTTGTCAAATGAGTTGACTATGTAAATTGGCCACAGTAAAGAGTTTCTAAAAATGATGTTTTGAGAGTTAGACCTTTGTCAGGGCTTAACCCTTTCACTCCCATGAGTGACCAAGACAGAATTTCTCCTTATAGTTTCAATACAATATCAAGCAGACAAGCAATGAGAATAAAGACAAATATTAATTAGGGGTTTATTACCTTATCCAATATCAAATTCTCCAAACTAATATCACAAGAACTATATGGCAGACAGTAAGGAGAATTAAGGGGGGATAACATTATCTAACGGATAAGTGATTGCAAAATGCATGGCATTATCCACCAGAGAGAGATTTATCCAGTGGATAAACCTTTGAACAACTGAGGCCAGCTTTACAAACTCTTTTTAACCCAATTGATAAATCCAAATTGTCTTGTTATACCCCCAACCAACACAGCACCTTGGTTTCTTTTAGAAATTTACTCATTTTTAATTATTTGTCTCATGGTATCAGTGGAATCAACTCAATCAAGCTCTTAATGAATCCCTCTTTGACAGACAATGCCATTTAAATCAGGCTTTTCTATTTTTTTAACAAAGTTAATTAATATTTCCAGTACCTGATGGCCAATTTTTCGTATAGTCAGCCAATGTTGTTGTAAGTTACATATAAAAGCTTTCTGGTACCTAGTTTAGAAGAAACAAGCAATTAAGAATATGTTACTCTTTCTAATCATGCGTCACTTAATAATGGAATATTCATGTGGTGGCTTTGTAGAAATTCAGTAATAATTATGTATATATTATAAAATTATTAAATTAATAGTATACCAAGGCTTACTGAGGATTTTCTCGTGCCTCTCTGGCCTCTGGACTCAAAAATGGTATCAGCTCTAACCCCCACACTCTGAGTGCATTGCATATAACTTGAATGGAGAAGAATCCACTGTCATCCATATTTGAAGAAGGTTGCTGTAAAAACAACAAGAAAAAAGGATCATAATCACAGAATTTCAACTTATGTTGGATGGTTTCAGAAAATATCCCCTGTCACCCATGGGACCTTTAACTTTCATGGTGACCAGGACAGAATTTCTCCTTACAATATCAAGCTGACAAGTGACAAGAATAGTTATCAATTTAAGGATAAGTAATTGATCCAAGTCCAAATTCCTCAAGCAAACACCATAAGAATTGTGTGGCACACAGTAAGGAGAATTACTAATGAGATCTTGGGAATCAAAGGGTTCAATGACCACTGGAAATTTCCTAGGCAACATAAGATACCAAATGACATTTCCAAAAGGGTAGGGAGAGAGGGGGAGCTCAAAATAAATCCCTCCCATTGGAGGGATATGGATACTGCTGCCCTCTACTGGTTTTGATATATACTGGAAACAGTCAATACCCCCCCTATGCCTTGTGGCTTAATAGATATATCCCACAAACCACCTCTGTTTTGATGAATAATTGTTGAATATAATGTTCTGTTGTTGCTTATAACATAGTGCTTGTTTGATTGTCTGAAATTTTTAAATGCATCTTTTCGTGATTGGGTATTATAATGCAGATATTCCTTTACCCCCTGTGCTTTGTTTAGTTTGTCTTTCTGGATTTGTTATATCAGCTTAAGGTTGGTACCTACTAATAGGGATTTAATTTGCCTGGCCATTGACTGTCAAGGGCAATCAAAATATAAAAAAAGAAAATTGGGGGTAACTAGGTTTCAAAACTGAAAAAGGTGCTGACATTGCATTTTTTAACAAAGTGAAGGAAATATAATTCCTGGCCAAGACAAACCAGATCAATAGTAATAGTTAAAATCTTGGAACTAACAGTGAAATGTAAATTTTGATTATCAAAATGATTACATTTTAAAATCCATTTTTAACCCTTATCACTCTCACTTTACAACCAACAATACTGGGTAAATACTGAATGAAAAATTTATCAAGTGGTTACTAAAATAAAGGTCACTCTGCATTTTTCTGAATTATTTCACTTGATTGAATTTGTCAGCATACCTCACTCTACATGTAGCTTTCCTAACTCCTTCCCTGAAAGTAAGATATTTCTCTTTCATTTTCTGAAGTTTTTTATGAACAGAAGGCAGCATGATTGAATTGATTTTGCCAATAAATATGAGGGAAAAAAGCCTTTTACAAGTACCAAATGTTGGCTTTTTTTGCTCCCATTTACCACCAAGGCATGATATATAGCTTGTGTATACAATAGCAAAAGCACGCACTGTTCTTAAAGGCATCATATATGAAGCTCTTATGGTCATGAATTTTCTGACGAAAGCAGTACCAAATCCCCACTCTTCTCACTGTGATAATGTCTTCTGATCAACTCATCCCCTTTATGGTAATAAGTTCCCTTCAAAAAATGAAAACAGTCACCTTAATAAATTCTTGATAATCCTGTGATGTAACATCTCCTTCTGCCATTCTTGCTCTCTCAAGCTCATCCAATTCTGTCGCTATATCCGCCAGAACTACTGGGTTTAAGTAAGGGCCTATGAAAAAAGGTTAGGTTGGTTTAATTTCTCAAGCCTACTGGCCCCTCATTGCATGAGCTTATCCCACTTTCCATGCCTAAAAGCAACATGAATCACTGCCAACTCTCCAATTTAGAATACTTGTTCATTGTAGAGAACTCCCCACTTACCCTTTGACTCCTACAAGTGACTAATACAGAATTTCTCCTTACAGTATTAATAAAATATTAAGCTGAAGAGTGATGAGAGTAAAGAAAAATATAAATTAGGGAATTCCTATTGATCCAATAATAAATTATTTGAAGTAACATAATAAGAAGGTGAAGTTTCTGCACAGCCCCATCCTACATTATGCATTCATTTCTTGGATAGAGAAAACAATGACAAAAACAATACATTGCCATTGGGAAAACAGATTTGTTTTACAATAGTATAGGGCTGTGCGGAAATTTTATCTCATAAGAATTTTATGGTAGATAGCAAAGGAGGGTCTAGGCCACTGGGGGCTAAGTGTAAGGCAAAGTAGTTTGATCACGATCAAAAAGCAGTGAACTCCCAAACAGTTGTCTGGAAAGATCACATCCCTAAAAAATTACACCTCTAGAAGTTTTCAGAGTCCTGGAAGAGAGATGTGCGACCAAAAGAGAGTCCTAAACTAACTTAATTTAACTATTGTTTTCATGTGGATCAATAACAATAAAGTCGAGCTGTCAAAAATAAAAATGAAATTATTCCAAGGTATTCCAACAAGCAGTGCGATGTCTTTCCTACAAATTGCAGCTTATTAGAAACTAGTTATGTTTGGCTTTGAATTAAAAGTTATCCTTGACATAAACGTCAAAGGATCTTCCTTACAACTCAATCACAAATTATAAGTTTAACATTTGACGCACTGTTCTCTATCTGCATTAGCTGGTACAGTACCTTGTAATAAGGCATTGAGGCAGTGTTGGGCGCAAAGAGAACCTTCTTGCTGCAAAGCAAAACAATAGTAACATTATTAAATTAATTTCTTATGGATTTAAGACCCTGAAGGCTGGCAAAAAGGCAAGATTCGCAGGAAAACATTTACCTTCTCGTGAAAGATTGCATCCATACTGAAACCGAATCTGCGTGGACTGGGGCGGGGGAAATTTGTATTGCCTCACAACCAAGAATAGTCTTTGACCAAACGAAACAAGATGGACGACGATGCACACGAAGGTTGATAGAAGTTCCTCGTTATTTGCTCTCCTATTGCATTTTCTTAAAATTAGTGTAACTTTCCTTCAAGATTTTTATAATAATTACCTGGAAATTTTTAAATAACACCACGAATCTTTCCTTTTGATGTGGAAAATGAAAGGATTAATTTAAGGTATTAACATTCGCATACAATCTGTCTGTTCCTATGTTTCTCAGTGTTTTTGTTTTTCTCTAGGCGATATCTGCAGGGTTTGTCGCGCTGAAGGGACACATGATAAGCCTCTGTACCACCCATGTATATGCACGGGAAGCATTAAATTTATACATCAAGAATGGTACGTATTTTGAGCTTTTTATCCAGGTTTTTTACAAGAGCACCATACTGGAATGTGGTAGACCGGCGAAGCAGATCTCGTGATCTGCATCAATATCTCTTGTATTTAGTGCTTAACATCGTTGATTGTTTGCACAAGGCCGAAAAATTACGCTCAGAGCAATTTTTGCTCAATCAAAGGGAAATATAGAATGGATGAAAGCGAGATGTTGAATTCACTTACAGGAAGATTACAGTGTACATGTGCGTTGTATTTTAGAATTCTGTTTTGTTTTCAACGTTGTCTAGACCGAAAGATGTCAACTTACGTAAGTAGCGATAAAAAGGAAATAGAAAGTTTCGGCTTGTTATCTATGATCGGTAAAGCAGTACAGCGGTTTGCTTTGTTAGTGCAGTGCAAAATTATTATACATTTCTAGTTTCCTTGTATAAATAGCTTCCTCCTTAGTCTCTTTTGTATTATGACATTTTTAGAGTCAGTATTTAGTTACAGAAAATTGTCATGGTGCTTTAATTTTATAGTGTTGGTAAGCTACAAGGTCAAAGTGTTTTCACAATAATAGTATTTAAATATGTGACTTTCATAGATCCAGGCATTGAAATGATACTATTATTATGGAGCCTTAACTAAACCACTACAGTTATCATTTTAGCTAGTGTAAACAAAGTATTCTATTTTAAATTCCTTCACTTTTAATCAAATAATAGTTAAATTCTCTCAATATGGTGGGAAATTAAATGGTCAGATGAACAATTTTGTCTCTTTGGTGGTATGGAGGTGAATAGTACTTGCCAGTTACCTCCAAACTTGCCAATCAGCATGACTGTGAAAAGTACCTTTTATTTGTGTGGTATATACTTTTAAATGTTATTACTTAGTTAATACCAAACAAGTGAATAGTGCTGTTTGATGTACTGATTGGCTAGTATTCATTAGTCAATATTCACCCTAGTGCTGGTGAAAGAGGTGGATATTTACCTTGCTACTTCCTAGCTCAATGAATATGCACCACTATTCACCTCCACTTGGGTGAATATTTGTTGATGATGTAACAAATCATGTTATTTCGGGGGAAAATCCTGAAGTGGCTGAACATTCATTCCCCAAACCTCACATGAAAATTGTAGAATTGAGTGCTGTATCATATTAACACCATTTGAATATCAGCTAAGCCCTCTTGCAAAATCATGATATCTTCCTGCTGGAGATACATGTAACATGTTATCTTTGCATACAAAAAGATTATGTTATGGTTACATAATGAATCACACCTGCAGTGGCAGTAGTTTCCTATTTCATTGGTGTTAATATCGCAAATAAAAGATTAAATGGCTGCATTGTGATACAAGGTTTCTCTTCATATTTTAGGAAATATTTCACTTGTCTGCTGGGTTCACTTGTAAAAATATTCTTCAGCACTCAAACATAAAATGTCCTTACTTCACAGAGCCATGTATATGTATTATTCCCTTTGTGAATTTGCTAAAACATCCAATATTGACTTCTTCTGATTTTACTTCTTTTCATTCATTGGTTCCATTCACTTATTTGCAGTTTGGTACAGTGGCTTAAACACAGTAAAAAAGAGTGAGTATTAATGTCATTCTATTCAATAATCTGGAATACTTGTAAGTAAACTGTTGATTCATTTCATTTTACATTAAGACTATTACACAAAGTTTTGGCTAAGAGCCAACTGCTGGTGAAATTCACCACTGGAAATAGCGGCAGTTGCCAAATTGAACCATAAATAGTGGTATTCCTTATAGTGAACTTTTTTGTCTTTCCTGTATCCATTTCAGATATTGTGAATTATGCAATCACCGGTTTGCATTCAAACCAAGTGAGTGTCATTAAAATAGCTTTTGGAATATTTGCTATATAGTATTGTTTCCTGGGAATTGTAATTTCTTTTTTATAAAAGAATGATACATTCTACCATAAATTTATTTGCTCTTTTAATTTGTCTTCTTTGATGTATATGTTTGAACCTGTCTCTTTGTGTAGCATTTCATAAATTCATCTATTTTATTTTGTTCTTTGAAACTGTCAATATATTAAAATGTGTGTTTTAATGAACAATTTAAAATATGTTCATTGTGGTTCTATTGCTTTTTTTGTTGTTTTTTCGTTTTGTTGTCGTAATTAATCAATCATCATCTTATACATGTTCAAACAAAGGAAACAAAAAAGTTGAACATTATCATATTTTTTACTGACAACAATTTTTTGTTTGTTTGTTTCTGTTTTGTCATAGTTTACGCACCAGACATGCCCAACAGACTTCCTGTCAAGGATTTTGTTGGTGGTTTAGTAACAAACATTCTTAGAGCTCTAAAATATTGGCTTCATTATACACTGGTTGCCTTGGCATGGCTGGGAGTTGTACCTATTACAGCATGTAAGTCAATGCAGTTTCATTTTCTTTACTCTAAGTCTCTGTCTGAATACAAGATGTAAAAATCTTCCCTACATGAAGGCTACACAGTCATATATTTCCATTTTTAAAATTCTCTCTTTCATAAAGTACTTGTTTCTCAGATAGGGATAAGAGTGACTTACACCAGATTCAAAAAATGAAGGATGTAACTTTGGTAGTTTAATTTTTCCCTGGTTCAAATTTACTTCCAGCTCTGTTTTGAAGTAATTGTGATATATTACAGTACCCAAATAGACAGGACAAGAAAATTTGAACCATTGATAAAATTAATCAAAAGTTGCACAACCAACTCAATCCGTTTACGTTTCCTCCTTGTAACAAGAAAAGGGCTTTTTCACTTGATATAAATGTACCCCAAATGTTTTAACCCCCAGGAAGTCCTACCTCCATAAACTTTAAGCACAAACAAAGCCTTCATTCAGTGTATGTTGTACCTGCATGTACATAGAACTCTTCCCTATGGACTTGAAATAGGTTGTTCTTATTCCTTTGTTATGAAACTCTAGTTGGATCACTATGGTGATGATCCAGTTTTATATGGTAATTCAATTTGCAGTAGGATAATGATCCCTATTGCCAATGAAGTGAAGGGATAAAACGTCTCACCAAAAGTAATATAATCTTGTTATTCATTAGCTGTAAGCTTCCAACAACAATGTTTTAATGTTGATTCAGTCAGGTCAGAACTTGTTGGACTAAAAAAAGAAACTTCTGATGAGCAAGGCAGAAATGTTTGGCAAGAGCTGATTGTGAAAGCACTTCAATTTCTCTTTTTCGTATTTTAGATCGTATATACAGATGCTTATTTGCTGGATCTGTCAATTCTCTTCTTACTTTGCCATTAGATATGTTGTCCACGTAAGTACTTTGTGCTCTTCCCATCTCAAAAGTACAGTGCAATGTAACAACCACGTGCAAGGGTTCCAACCTCACCCTTTTTCTAAGTTGTGATTTGGCAACAAAAACATTATGAAATGGCTTCCAGAAAGATGGTTGTGGTTCCCAGAAATGTCATGGAAAAGCACTCTTTAAACTGCTTTACTTCCCAACATAAGCAGCCAAATTGGTGACTTTTGCTGCAGATTTAGTTTGACACCAAAACCTTTTTCTTCTTGCCATGGTGACTAAAGTTGTGGCAGCTTGGAACTCTGAGTGCATTTTTGAAAATGACAAATACGGTTGAACCCTGGTAACCTGAATTGCCGAGGGAAACTGAAATAACTTGGGTTATCAGGGTTTTGAGTTAGAGGGGTTTTGAACAAAAAGACCGAAACACTTGATTAAAGAGGTTTTTATGCTTGTACATGTTTTATTGTAAGATTTCTAGAAATGTAAGAGCATGAAAACAAGAGAAGAAAACAAAAGAAAACAAAAGCCTTTTTTTTCAAACCCCAAAAAATATTTAAAGCTATGACAAAATGAGGTAGTTTTAGATTTCTAATAATGCATGGTACTTGGGCTCAAATTATTGCAATTTCTGTCTCTCTGCAGAGAAAATCTATTTTCAGACTGTATACGAGGCTGTTTTGTGGTAGCCTGTACACTGTGCGCATTCATCAGCTTAGTTTGGTTACGGGAACAGATTATCACAAATGGTGGCCCTGCATGGCTGGAGCCTAATGCTGATCCTCTTCCTCAACTTAATGTTGTAAGTTTAAGCTCAGAATGCTTGAAATTGGCTCTCATTGTAGCAACTTAATCTCGTACTGTATGTCTGCCATTCTGTAAAATGGATTTCAGGTCAAACTGGTGTTAAAGATTATAAACAAAGAGAAAAGTCTAATCACAACATATGCTTTCACACTTTCTTTTAATTTAGATAAACAATGATCCTGGGGGTGGTGCTGAGAATGCAGCTGCTGAGGGAGGTGGGGGTGGGGAGAATGTTAACCAGCCTCAAGATATTCCAGAAGAAGAAGGGAACAATGGAGCAAATCAAGATGCAGAAAATGGAGCTCAAAATGGTGATGGTCAGCATAAACAGCAATAAATATTTTTTGTTATTGTAATTGAAAGGAAAAAAAAATTTCTTTGGAATTTTCATTGAAGTTACTTGTAGTTTAATGATGACACTTTTGTAATTAACCTTTAAACTCCCATTAGTTACCAAGAAAGAATTTCTCCTTACAATATCATTATTATCTCAGGCAGACAAGTGATGAGAATGGATAAAAATGTAAATTTAGAGATTGTTAGTTGATCCAATGCCAAATTCTTCAAACTCACGTTATAAGAATAAATTTTTATTTTGGACAGTAAGGAGAATTACTAAAGAGATCTTGGGAGTGAAAGGGTTTAAGACAGCACATCCAAGTTGGAGTTTTATGGTAACTCTGACACCCTAAAGCTATTTGTAGAACAAGTTAAGGTGTTCTGGCAAGGGAAGTTAGTATTATAATGACAGACCAAGTCTTTACTGTTGACTTGATGCCAAAGGAACTGCTTTAAACCTTATATCAAACAAAATCATTGGCTTTTCTGTCTTCAAAGAAGCAAAACATACACCAACTATTGTGGAATGATTTATGCAGTATTGAGCCACACAGCTGAAGCATACTCCAGTTACATTACTGAATGCTTGCATTCTTCACATGTTATAAGACACAAGAACTTATTTGATTTGAAGTTCTGTTCTTGTTTGCTCTGAAGACTCTAATGATGGTGATGATTTTGTCCACAGATGATGCAAATTGGAATCCTGTGGAATGGGAGAGGGCTGCAGAAGAACTTACATGGGAGAGGGTAAGATTTTTGCTTTTTTCTCAAAATTAGCCACATATTACACCAGATTATGCTTGCATGGTGATTATCACAAAGAATACTACATTTTGTACACTTGCACAAACTGACACTTTGAATATCACTTAATGTAAAGTTAAAGCCTAATAACTGGCCATGAGTTCATCAGATGTAACGTTATGTGTTACCCTCAAGAAACAAATAAAAGTTGATCATAGTATTCCTGGTGGTAGTAAATATATGCATACCTAAAGCTGTATTGGTGTCAAGCATTTTGATAGACACTCAATCTCTTAATCAATTTTCTTCAACAGATGCTTGGGCTGGATGGGTCTTTGGTATTTTTGGTGAGTTTCCAAACTATATCTGTTTGCAGTTAGGTGAAGTAAATTACCTTTTGACTTGTGGATGAAAAACAAATGAAGATACTCTGTATTATCCTTGCAGGAAAGCTGCAATGAAAGAAACTGCAGAAAAAAAATTTTCCTATTGTGTTTTTAGTTACATATTGTCTTAAAGCTCATTGGAGGTAGATGCATTTATCTCCTGCTACCTTGCACATCTTGGATAATAGACTTAATAAAAAACCTCTCATTGTTGTTTAAGTGAAAATGTATTTTGCTTGTTTACATTTTGATTCACAAATGCATCTCTGGATTTTTTTTCAGGAGCATGTTTTCTGGGTGGTTTCTCTAAACACATCCTTTATTTTGGTCTTTGGTGAGTAACTTTGCATAGTTATTAAAGGAGTTGTGTCACAATTTTTGCATCTTGAAAGTTGTAGCCAATAGTATTGCTAAGGAATCCTCCCATTCATAATCATCCACATTCTTCTTCTGGCTTATTTTTACTGTGGTGATATTTTTCTACTCTGGCTATTATGTTTAAGTTCCTACTTTGATGGGAGGGATTATCTCCTTTGAAAATGGACTCATTAAATTATGATTTGCAACATACAGTCACATGTTATGATCCCATTGTAAAATGATGTGGTGGTTGATTGTTGTGTTATTTTTTTTCAGCCTTCTGTCCTTTTCACATTGGGCAGTTTACAGTTATTCTATTATCACTTGAGGAAGTGGTAAGTGGCAGGTTTCATGATGTCTGTGTATGAATGATGTCTAACTTTACGTGACTTTGTACCTATTATCAATTGTAGTAGTATGAGTGGAGTCCAATTTAGTTTGTAATCACAGGAGAAATGAACAAAGGCGGATGCCTGCAACTCAGAACCCCAATCAGTTTATCATGATTACAGACATAATTTGGCACAAATTTCTGTCTCCGTTTAGCTAAAACTCTGAAAAAATGTGAGAGACAAAACACCTGTCACTGAAAATTAGTGAAAAAAAATAGTATCATAGCAGTGACTTTTTTCTGAGAAGAAAAAGCACTCAATAGACCTTTTCACAGCTTGGGCAAATGACATGTTTTGTCTAGTTTGTGCAATGTTGAGCATTACTTATGTACAGCCCTATTAGTGCTCAAATTGAGCTGCTGATTACCAGTCACAATTTAGAATCTTGCCATAGTTTTTGTTGATCATGAATTAAATAAAAAGCCTTCATTTTAGATTTACTCTAGTTGTGTAAGATTGCAGATGAAAAGGAAACAAAAGTCTGTGGCAACCCAGAGTTATGTTAATAAAAAAAACTACTGGTCGCTTTAAAATCCCCTCTCCCTTTTTCACTTCACAATCATCTTTTGAAATACAAAAGTATGCCCATTTTTTTGTAGAGGGATTCACTCTCTATTTGAAATTCATGGATAAAATTATGCTGGCCATTGCTTAGTATTATCTTTTTGTGAGCCCTATCTAAAATACTTCACACCAAACTTTACTCAGTTGTCTGAACGCTTCTTTGGCAATATTTCTTGTTTCCTTTGGCTGTACATGTATGAAAGACAGTAACTATTTCTCTATGACTTCTGGCAATGAAATTTTTATGTGCTTCAATTTGTTTCTAACTTTCTTTGTCAATTATTTTACAGTTTCAGTCATCCAAATTTGAAGGTCTTTTAACTGCAGTTCTAGGATATGTGATTATTGCCTTCTCTCTAATATTGTGTCATGTATCCTTTTTTACAAGAAATGTCACTTTGATGTATTTTCTTGAAAACTTGAAATTGTATAAGTTAATGGATCACTTTGGGGGGTGGGGTGGGTGAGGTTAGCTGATTTTAGATAATATTTCCTTTGATCTCATCAGTTAAAAAAAGAGATAGCAAAGATGTGATAGGGAAAAAGTTTTTAAAAAAATTTTCTGAAAACAATAAGGTTTAGATAAGTTCAACTTTATAAACTTTGTAAAGTCAATACTTTTTTCCTAAATGGTGAAATGTTCCCTGAACTAAAGTTTTATTGGGTAGTTTAGGAAAGGACACTTTTCACAATATGAAGTGTACATGTCATACTATACCACTTACTTTGTGGCCTGATGTTGCTACTTACCATATACCTGTTATAAATTAGAGTCATTGTAACTGATGATAAGTAACTCCTGGTGTCAAGAAAAGGTACATTGGTACTGGATAGTGCTGTAGTCCAGTGTGACAGTAAAGTGGTTCTTCCTTGACTATTTTTTTTATAGAGTGTAGCATCTATGTGTGGATTGAGAAGGTAATGTTGTTGGTTCATTTTTTACTCAATAACTATCTTTGTCTTGTGGATGAAAGAGATAGATATCTATGGTTTAACCTCAACCCTTTTCTCTTAACCTTAAACCTTAAACCTTAACCCTTAACCCCTATGAGTGACCAAGACAGAATTTCTCCTAATAATATTAATACAATATATAACCCTAAACCCTCTCTCTCAAGAATCAGAGTATGTCTATTTAGTTTACCAGAGCCAGTAATACTTTATCTATGATTACTCTTTTCTTGCAGACCGAAAAGAATATTGGGGTTGTGCTATGTAGTAGTTAAGGTAAGAACTGGAAAGAAATTTTGATTTGCTCTCTTAATTACTTTGGTTTTGGTTTTACTGCACTCGATTGAAATGCGCTTGAATTTGTCAATATATGTAGGTTATTCAAAATAACTTTTTTCCAATTACATCTTACTTGATTCCTTGGCAGGTTTCATTGTTAATGTTGGTAGAGATTGGATTGTTTCCATTGGTGTGTGGATGGTGGTTAGACGTATGCTCGCTGGTGAGTCTGTTAAAACGAGTACATTATGATTGAAATAACTCCAGCCTGATTATGACAGTGCCCCTCTAACATCATAGCACCAACACCTCTAAACATTTCTGGCTTTTTTTTTTTGAAAGTCGTAGAGTATTAACACCACTTACAAACACACTGCAGTATTACCGCAACTCGCACACGTTTAACAAGCTTGTGGCCATCTTCTCTGAGCAAAAGAAGCTCTATGTTTATGTGCATTTCTGTTTAAACTTCAAAGATAGTATCCTCTGAAGATAGTAGAATTGATATTCATTAGTTCTTTATCAAGTGTTAATGAAAGTTTTCCTCTTTTTTTCTCTAGTCTCTGTTTGGAGCTACATTGAAAGACAGACTTCTAAGTGTTGATTCAGCACCAGGTATTTTAATGATTATAGGAAGTTAGTATTTTTTTAAGGAGTATATTCTACATCGAACTTTTTCTTCATGTGCAAAGATTGAAAATCTACTTCTGTTTTATTTCCCAAGGTACAGCCATGTTCCTTCACTGGCTTGTTGGTATGGTGTACGTGTTCTACTTTGCTTCATTTGTTCTCTTGCTCAGAGAGGTCCTCAGACCTGGTGTCCTGTGGTTCTTGAGAAATCTGAATGATCCTGACTTTCATCCAGTCCAGGAGGTACGTGACTTCTTCAAGTTATGCCCTAGAATCGATTACCAGCCGCTGTTCGCGAAATGATCCCACGTTTCTCCCGCTGAAGACTTTCGGGAGGATCGTAAACCGAAGCCGAGAAAACGAAGGATATCGAGTCTAGTTATGGTTGACCCTCTGAGTAAACTGTTTAAGAAACTTTCCCCACTGATCTGTTTTCTAACAGGAATGTTGTGTTTCAGTCAAATTAAAGACTGCTGTTTGTTCGAAATTTCAGATGATACGACTCCCTGTGTACAGACATGCAAGAAGGTTTTTGCTGTCATTGGTATGCTATGTTATACAGATAAATTCCCTTACATTATAAAACAGAAGAATATTTTTTCTCCTACTCCTCTTTTAGACATTTCCGAAATAGCATGAAGACCTGTCACGTAGAGTGTTTTTTGCACCGTCAGGAAAGACCCTGATCATTGAGTAATATGTAAGTTTTCACTCGAGCCAAGCAAAGCTCATCCTGGTTTGTGAAGCATGAGCTATCGAAGAGTCTTGCTATTCCCGTCTGGATGGTATGTTATTTCATCGCCAGGTTACTCCCTAGCATTTCATTAAGCTTCCCTGCCGGTGCTCATTTATATTCTTAAGAGTAGAGAGGCATTGTGAAAGCAAAGTGTCTTTCCTAAGTTCACAACACAATGATCCGCTCAACTTACGGACTTGCGTATCTCGACCCGGAGTCTAGCGCTCCAATCACCAGGCCTCTGTTGTTCGAAGGTTGTGTAACGCTATCCACTGGATAAATCTCTGTCTGGTGGATAAGGCTATTCGTTTTGTTATCACTTATCCGCCGGAAAGCAATTTATTCGTTGGATTGCGTTATCCACCTTTATACAACTGGACCCAGACCACCCCGTCTCCCTTTAATGATGTATAAGGTTACTTGGTTTCGTTCACTTTTAGGTTGTGTTCGGCACCACGGTGCTCCTTATGATGTATCTTCCTGTCCGACTCATTAAATGGCTGTTTCCAAGTTTCTTGCCGTACAATGTCCAGTTATTCAGGTCAGACGCAGCCTTGTAATTACTCCTTACGTATCGTTCGTCCTCCTTAACTTAGGTTAGGCCCGTTTGGTTCATCGAAAACTATTTCCTTGAATATCTCCGTTATTTTATCCTCTCTAGAAATTGTTTTCCTCGAGAAAACGGTATTTTCAGCGGATTTCCCTCGTTGTTCTGCGGTACCAGGAGGTTTGGCCCCAGTGTAAGTTCGCCTCCTACCACCTTCGCAGGTTTGCCCCCCTTTCCCCCTGAAGTGAAACAAGTTCACCCCCAAAATTTCCTTGTGTTGTTTCTAGAGCGAACTTCCACTTAAAATGATTTCCATTGTTTACTTTTCTTTCAGTGAGGTTCCCGTAAGCGAGTTATCCCTTGAGTTGCTACTACTTCAGGTTGTGTTACCAGCTTTGTTGGAGCAGGGTCATACCAGACAATGGCTGAAAAATGTCATGCGTGGCTGGGCTGTTGCCGCAGCGTTCGTCCTGTAAGTATTCTTAATCCTTTACACCCTAACATCAGTATGCATAATCTCCATACTGTTTTCGATAGATTTCTTAAGGTGAAGAGAAGGAGAATTTGTTTGAATATCAGGAGCTTCCTAAGCCTTAAATCACTGATCATTTCCTTTATTCTTGTAACCTTTATATTTGATTCAAGGGTGGTGCTGTAAGAGGAAATTAGAAGCTAGCCTCTCCTAGGTTCAAACGGATTAAAGTGGCCTTCAGTGTTTATTCAGATTTTACTTTTACTCTTCTTTTCCCATCCAAGAGAGTCGCTACACCAAAATTAGTTTTATGTCCATGTTTTTCTAATGCAGGATAGATTTACCATTTTTTTTAAATCATACTTATCAAGATAATCTTTTGCTCTGTTTCTAGAAATCTTAGATCGTACCTGTTAGGGGACGTGCCTCTGGATGGAGCAGAAAATGTAAGTTTTTATCGATTGAAGAAAACCTAAGTTATTAGTGACATGTTCACTAGAATTGATAATTAAGATATATGTGATTCTTTTTAGCTTTTTCTGCCTTCGTCCGTCCAAAGACAAAAATTTCAGTTGACTGTTGATAGTTTTTCTGGATCGCTTTGTCTTGCCACAATGCACTTTGTGATTGGTGCAGATATATCGCACCACCTTCTCAACCAATCAGACACAAATCTACAAAACTAAGACCAAGTGGGCGCGACTTGGTCACACGCCCACAAGAGCGAAGCAGGTACTCGAGAGAGCGGCGGAAATCGAGCTTAAAATAACTGTTAAACTGAAAGATATTCACGGTTTAGTTGGTTGATTAACTAGTTTAATTGTGGAAAAAGCACTCAGGCATTTGATGAATTTTACTCTCCAGGTGTATGGATTGCATTTAAGTTACCGTGTTGATCAGAGGAATGCTGGAAATGGCCCTCAAGTAAACGCTGCCGGTCAGAATGCAGTGCAGGCTCAACCAGCTGCTGGTAATGCTGCAGGGGGTGGTGGAGCTGCTCTCGGATTTCAGCCGTATATCAGACCACGTATGTTCGCTTTCAAGGTAATTACCTCTTTGTCTTCCCTCTCCCACCTTACCCCTTCCACACAATTATTATATATTTGTTTTTTAAGTATCTCATCTTTGTTCAGAATACTGGCCTCATAGTAAAGGAAAGATGCTTTACAATTGTTATGACCTCTGGAGAAAGAAAAAAAACTTTTTGTCTCTAGTAAGTGTTTGTACCCCAGCCCGGCAGTCAATTTCATTTCCTTAACGGTTGCAACGTGGAATACGTGGGAATATAGTAGGGAATAGATTACTCTATGCTATTTAAACTGAGATACTATATTATTTTCTCTCATGCTTTTTCTTGTTTCCTAGATATTGTTGCTTGTCGTGTTGATGTGTGTTTCGCTGTCTTTTGCAAGTTTTGTGACTTTAACTGGACCAGGTGAGTTACGGAATAAATACTTTTGTCTATTTCGGAGAATGAAGATCAATCTCCCTCGGTCAATTTGCCCTACAAGTGATGAGCCTAATTGATTAAATACAATTGAAACAAAAGAAGCATGTAAAACCTGAAAAAGAGTTAGGGCTTTGACCCTAGCATATTCCGCCTCAAAACTCCGATTGTGACAGCTGAAAAAGTCTAAAGTTGTGATCGTTTTGTTTAGTTTTTATTGGCCGAAGCGTGATGCTGCTGTGGATGGGTGATGCCGCTGTACACGAGCTGTATACAGCAGCATGTGGTTTGTATATTATATGGCTTGTTTGCCGAATAGGCAGTGTACTCACCTCCTGGATACCTCTTGGCTGCAAGGGTGTTGCTTTGAAATTCTTCGAGTGGTTTCTCTTGGTAAGTTCCTTGTGGATTTATGGTTCTGTTGAAAGCGGAATTTTGGTTAAGGCTCGCTCAGATTCTTAAAGCCTTAATACCACAAAGCGATTGGAAACTATCCATTAAGACCTGAATGAATCATTGAAAGTAAAAGTAAAATCGTGAAGAGAAAAAAAGAGTTTTAAAAGAGTCCAGATCATTTTTAGATTGTAACAAGGTTGGTAGCTGTTTGAAATCCCCAGGACGTAAAGAACAACAGAATGTTTTTTTTTTTTTCGTATTTTGTGGTCTGTTTCAAAGAAAGCTTGGACAACCACTTTTTTTTGTGTAGGCTATGGAGTTTTATGTTGAACACAGAGTCTGGAAAATGACAATAAGCGGATTGAAAAAGTCTGGAACATGTCAATTTTAGCGCAAGAAATGTCAACGAACCTTGTTCTGATGCGTGAAAGCTAATCAGTAGTTCTGGTTTGCTTTGACGAAGAGCTAACGCTCGAGATGTCAGGTTTAGAAACTCTTTACGGTGGCCAATATACATTATTAACGCAGTTGATAAAATCAGTTAACCAGTAGCTTACACGATCACCGCAAGGTGGACCGAAGGTTTCTTCGTCGGCTAAAGATAATCTTAATCGTCATCTTCGACTTATCTTGGCTGTGAGTGAATTAAACTGTTCTTCTATCACTGTAGCTTTATGAAGCTGCCTGTAATTAATTGACCTTTATTGTTATTGTCTTCAGGGTCTCAAGTGTGTTATCGTAGCCCTCGCTCTTATTGGCTTGGTACCATTATTGTTGGGCCTTCTGTTTGAGCTCGTCGTGGTAGCGCCTTTGCGAGTCCCTCTCGATCAGACCCCTTTGTTTTTTCCGTGGCAGGTGAGAGAGCCCCAATCCTGTCATACTTTTCTCAGCCCGAGTCTCTTAAGCAATTTAAAGACCGCCATATCTTTGTTTCTCTAACAGGACTGGGCATTGGGTGTGCTTCACATGAAAATTATATGTGCTGTTACCATGATGGGACCAAACTGGTGGCTTAAGAGAGCCTTAGAACAGGTAACACACAATGGTTTAATCCATCAACCAGCAAAGGCTGCCCTGCCTTGTACATCTAGTCGAAGTGCTTGTCTAGTAGTTAAGTGTTGTTCTAACTATAGTCCCTGTAGAAGCTAGTCATGTTGCGATCTTAGAGTACGATGCATGACGGGAGTAGTTTATTGCGACGACAGTAATTGGTTAATAGTCGATCGGGAAAGATGGACATCTATTTATTTAGGTCAGTTATCGAGGTACCTTCCAAAAATTTACGTACACTTATAGTAAAGCATTGGTTGGCGATCTCAGGCTTAGCAGTACATTTCGTAATAGTCAATGGGCGAATTATTTCTCCATATGAATGGGAGAAACTTCGGTAAATCAATTTTTTTTTCATGACATCAATGTTAGGTTTACCCCTACACCCTAAAGATCGATCAGTAATTTTACCACAATTGGTAGTAAAGTCGCAATCTGATTGGCCAATTTGCTGTTGTCGACAAGAGTATAGACAACGCTACTCGCGTCAGCGTGTCCCGTAAAGGTCATGTACCGAGAGAATCGTTTTAGTTGACGTTGATATTGTGGTAAATAAGAAATGCTGCGGGGACTCGGCTGCGCCTCCTCGTAAGTGTATAACATTTTTACCACTGTGATGACGAATATCGTTATCAATAAGTGTGCAGACCATGCTCAAACACTGTCGATTTGATTCTTTTACTTCAATTTTCCAGGTATATCAAGATGGTGTTCGGAACATAAATGTGGTGTTTATATTTCGACACGTGACCTTACCCGTCGTATGTTGTCTTCTATTGGCTGTTTCATTCCCTTACGTTACCGCTGCCGGAGTTATACCCATATTTGGTAAGTATTTGGTGTATATCTTACGTCTGGATTCAGTGGCGTAATTAAACCTCGGCATTTTTACCTTGTGTGCAGCTTAAGAGCTAAGACGATTCCTTTGACAGATTTATCTTAAAATTTTAGATTTAGCTCTAGATTTAGATATCCCATCCGTTTGTAAATGCCTTGGAATAAGATAGCCTTAATCCCTAGCCTGTCTGTTCCTATTTAAGTGAGTTAGTTTATGAGGTTCTTTCTGGAAAATTATCTCCACCTTGCCTGTTCTTGGCGTTCAGTGGAGCGAAATGCAGTAGGAAATGTGACTCAACCTAACCATCCCTTGTTTTTTCCCTATGCTATAATTGTGCCATTTACTGTCACGTTTACCGAACGACTACCTGGAAGAGGCTTTGTCCACCTTGTACAAACTTGCCTCAGCTTCATAACACTTTCCTAACATCTCACCACTCGTACTTTATTGATTATTGTTGCCGTTCTCTTCAGTGCGATCACCTGACACTCGCTTGTTCTGTCTCCGCCGTATTTACCCATTCCTGTTGGCCATGTTCATCCTGATTGCGGGCTTTATATTTCAAGGACGTCAATTCCGCCTTTTGTACGAACGAATCAGGAATGATAAGTAAGTTGTGTTTTTTAAAAAGTTAAAAGGTATAAGGTCCTCCTCTGTCACCATCAGATTCTTCTATTCGTCATATTTCTATCTTGTTCAGAAACCAACATCTCCAAATTTTTGTTAAGCTGAAGGTTTAGCCACGTTTTTAGAGAATTCCGCGAATGCCCAAGTGTTCTTTGAAAGAACGCACTCTAAAAAACTAATTTGACATGGCTTAACAAGTCAAATATATGACAGAGACTCAAGGGCTAGCTAACTAACTCACCACTGGCCAATTGACTGGGTGACCGACCATTTAACCGAATGAATGACGGACCGACCGAACAAAAAAACGATCGAATGCTCGACTTATCTACGAACCAGGGAGCTTGGTTCCTGGGGATCAATGTGAGTATGCGAAAGGAACTCTGGCATGTTCGCCCGCCTGTTTGAATCTCGCATGCTTGGCTAAAAGTGGTACAACGCTGATTTGGGTCTGCTTGCAAGCTACGCAGTGATCAGCTTGGTACTCTTTGGGGAGAGAGAACTTGCATATTTTCTTCTTCGTTTTGACCTTACTTTTGGATTCAAACTGAAGACATAGGAAGAATGGAACTTTTGAATTATGCGACTTAACACCGTCAGGAGTAAGCTATGTTATGAACTAAGGTTATGTACATGTCTGATTTCTTTCAGGTACCTTGTCGGCCAGAAACTGGTCAACTATGAGCATGGCAAACGCCCAACTAAGGTTCCTACCAAAGCAATGGCTGATACCGGGTGAATAATTCATCTTCTTGAAGTGTTCACAGTTCGTGCGGAATCACGGATAGCACCAATTCGTCAACAGTCACACAACACAGGATATTTTATAAGCATAGCGTAACAACCGTAACGCAACAAGGCAGCTCTTATAAAGATATAAAGGAAAAAAATAAGGACATACACGATAGCGAATTTTAAAATGGCGCTACTCTGTGCAGAGTTCGTTGTTTGTATTTGCCGTTAGTCTACTGGTAGAAGGGAAATTATGCGAGCTTGAGATTCCATTATTTATTAATTTCCCAAAATGTGTGCGATCAATTGTTAGGAAAAAGAAACTCGGATTGAAACAAACGTGAGTGTAACCGTGAGAGAGAGCGATATGCGTTACATGTTGCATGTGTAGTAGTTTTATTATTAGTCACAATTAGAAAGTTTATAAATGATGTAAAAAGTCAAAAAGTTTACCAGGGATTAATTCACTTCTTTTGAGAAATTCTTCAGTTCTGTAGGAAAATAACACCGACAATTATCAACTACAGACATCGGCAGACTTGTGTTTGGAGTTTAACAAGGTGACTTGTTTTAGGCGTACAATGTAGTGGTAAAACGGAGCAGGACAGTTAACAGCGCGAATCGATCCGAATCGACCCGACCCGACCCGACCCGACCCGACCTGACCCGAACCTCCTCGCTTTTTCACTCCTCTGCGACTATCGTGCTTCGTTCTACTAACTGAACGTCTAGAACAGGCTATTTAAAAATCGACCTCATCTTGCAAGTGGAAACTTATGTAGAATGATTTATAAGGTTTGAAAAAAAAATTGGTGCGTTTCGTCAGTCAGTGTAAAATGATAGGCTAATGGTTGATTCGTATTTGTACATTTTTGAGTCAAGTCGGGGAGTCGAGGAGTGAAAAAACGAGGAGGTTGGGGTCGGGTCGGGGTACAAGGAGTCTTCGCGCGAGAGCGACCGTCGACCTTCGCGGGATGTGAATTGCCGTCGCAGGATGTGAGTGATCCTCGTGGGGTAGAATTGCATCTTAGGAAAGTACGAGACTTGCAGGGAAACACTCCTTTTGATTCCATGACTTTCGATAGACCCTTATCATCCCTATGGCTTTGATTTTAAGGAGAAGTCTTGCATTTGTGAATTTAATCAGACTAATGAACTGTCAGCTTATGAATACTTAATGATAGAGAGATTAAGTGTAAATAGAAGTCTATAGGTCTATTGTTATTTTGTTAGAGCTTTAAACATTTCTAGGGATATGAAGGCTTAGAAAGAGGTCATAATAAACTGTTTTTAACTCGCCAACAAACGCGTTGTTTCGCTTGTATCTGAGTGGTATATGAAGAGGATGAGGATTTTTCCTCATCTTTTTTTTTTTTTTTTTTTATTTAGAAATTTATGTAAAATTCATTAACATCCTCGAAGCTTGTTTTGATTTTTAATATTTACGGCTCATATTTTTACTGATGAAAATCGTATAAACGTGGTTGAATTGTCACAGCTTATTTTATAGCGTTTGTTACATGACGTTATTTTCAAACTTAAGCTTTCTAAAATGCTGTGACATCCCACTGGATTTCCCTGGCTATTTTTAACTACACTTCTATCATTTCGATTGGAACTTTAACGGAGAATTTCAGTTACACGCGAGAGCCAATCCCACCATTTTCCTGATTCTAAGTAAACAAGCTTATGAAAAAAATAAACGGCATTTGCAATCTGTCACAATTCAATTATTCGTTCTCCTCGATTTGTTGATGTTGTGGAATATATTAAAGCGAATTTTTATTTAATAGAACACTCCTGGATCACCTGAAGGTTTAATTTTTTATTGTTATTTAGCTTTGCTTTGAAAAATCGCTCCTTTATCAAATCGCCCCAGGAAGAAAATGTATTCCACACTGATAAGAAAATTTATGATGACTTCGACCAAACCAATTCACACTTGGTTTGCATAACGAAATCTTGAATATTTTGATTTTTACTACAAATCGTTTTGTCGTTCGAAGGTTGCCTAATGTCCGTAACACTATTTGCTTCAGAAAATTCAGTACTTTCTTGACACGAAGATGATGACATTTCGTCTTCAGATGAGAGAGATCGTAAACCCCATTTTTCCAGATACAAACGCGCTGTTTCTACATACCCAGCGTTCTCCATAGCTCGTGTAATCAAAACCAACATTTCTTCAGTCTGAGCACGATCGATGGGTAAGCGACCCTTACCATCGACGCTTGCCAAGTTCGCACATGAATCTATAAGCAAACTGGTAATATTGCAGTGACCAGCGATTATTGCGAAATGAAGCGGCGTCCAGCCATTTGTGTCCTTGCCTTCAATATCAGCTCCATGATCAAGAAGTAACATCACTAGCGAAAGATTACCGTCAACACAGCTTTGCTGTAAAGGAGTCAAACCGAGTTTGTTCCTTTCATTGAGCGCAATCTGTTTCCCACCGTATTTCAACAAAAATCTCACCTTCGCCACGTCGCCTTCGATGATCGCCTGGTTGAAAATAACGTTTGACGCCGATGGCCAACGAGAGAGTTCTTTTCGTGCGCTTTGGCTTTCCATTACGCTTAAAATAAACTGATTCATTTGTGACAAAACTCTGAATCAGCCCTGAGGCCAAAGGAAGTCTTGTATAAACAAAACATATGCCCACAATCTATTTGATTTTGTAAGCATATCATGGTGAATGACTTGGCCCCAGTTCCGACGGATTAGATATTTAAGGTTTATATATTTTTGGTTTAATCCATTTACGAAAAGCTTTGGGAAGCAGGCATATATTAAGAGGTGTTGAAGCGTTAACATTGAATCGTTCCTACTGAACATTCTCCTTCTTCACCTGTCTTGCCTCTGACGCAAACATGACAGTTGTAACAAAATCATCTTAACGATATAAAAAGGAAAAGTGACAGCTATTATTTGACGAATAGCCTGTAGCTATAATTTATTTAAAGCGGAATCTTGAAAAAATAATTCCTTGTCATCTTCCACGCAGATTACAACACGTTACTCGCACGTAATTTAAGATATGCCTGTGTGAAATGCTCCTTTACATAATGCTTCTAGGCAAACAGAGCCAAAGTAACTGAAGACGAGGAGCCGCAGAATTTTCTCGCTTCCCTAATGCAGCGGTTCTGCTGGGCATAATTTTAAGAATTTTACTACATACACTAAAATGCAGAAAACTTATTTGGAAGAATTTCACTTTAATCAGGGGAACCAACAGCAATTTGGACGGATAAGTTATCATATGCTAATTAAGTGGCTGTTTTTCTGATATCACCACAGGAGCAATACTTATCTCTTAGTCACAGCTTGATAATCTTAAATTTTCAAGTTTTTCCCTTGCAAATAGTTTTAGCCTCACAACCTCACACATTTTCCAGTTTTTTTTTAATCAGGTGTACTGTAACCTCATAAGTTTTCACTCTGTCTTTAAAAAGATCATTGGTTTTTTCCACTGTCACTTATTCTACTAGTTTGAAACAAAGAGGTAAAATGATTTTGTGACCACTGATTGTTGCCTTACAGGCAAGCACGAAGAAACTAAAGTAAATTTCTGATTATCACTAACTAGCGAACTACTTCCAAGACGTTATCAATGTTCCATATCCATTTTGTTTCAATGAATCTCATTAATGCCTACACTGTCCACTGTTTAAGAAAAAAAAAAGTAGGTAGTGTACAATTAAATTCTAACCTACTTCTCGTGAACAACGTTCTTTTTTTTCATGGAAAAAAGGGGCTTCTCCTTCCAAAAAGTTTTTTTTTAAAGAAACGTTCATCATTTCACTCTACACAAAACAAAAAGTTTCCTCGTCTTTTTTGATGCTCATCTTTCCAAACATTCTTTCTTCATTTTCAAACACAACCAAAACAGCTGCTTGAGTAAAGTTCTGTAGGGATCAAACACGCACAACGCGCTCAACAATCTTACATGCCAATCACAGACCAGTGATTATTATTAGTTGACTCAAAGCGTCATCGCTTTTTTTTCCTGCTCGTGCCACATATAACGTGCTCATTTTTCTGAGTTCTGATTGGTTCGGCCACTAGAATATTCAACGCTTTACTCTTGCGCGACAGAACTCGCGAGGCACCTTTACTGCCGCTACAACGTTCACTTTAATTTTCTTTCTTTTCTTCTGCAATTTCTTCCTTCTTCTTCCCAAAAACTTTACCCTTTAGCTTGGCGAGAAAAGCTTTCAACTTGCCAACAAGACCAGTACTCTCCTTGGGGTCAACAGCCTCAAATCTCCGCACAGATAGATTATGAAAAGAACCAAATGCAATGGCTACTACAGTGCAGGCCAAACAGATGACGTTATATGGCATGCTGAAGTCAGGAGTGGGGAGGGTGATCAGTAAAACTTCTGTGTGAAGACGAAGAAACACTTCCTCCGCTGGAGTAGTTTCATCACTAGAAAACAAATTTGAAATCAGGCTTGTTACAACCGAGCAAGGTTTCCAACATTTATTTCAAAGGGACTGAACAAGAAAGATCATTCAAACATTGGTAAGATCTCCAAATTTCGAGTGAGGTGTAGTAATTCAATAAAGTTTTGCATAGTCACAGATACTAGGCTATCTTGTTTGTATCAATTTTTGAGCAGTTTTCAATTGTGTTGAAAGTAATCCATGACTGCTTTGGTTTTGCCTAACTTTGCTCTTCAAACCGATCGAAATTTCGTCACTAGCGTTTTCCTGCGTTTCATGCAGTTTCCCTAACTTTACTTTGAGTTGTCATTGGTTAACAATGATGTCGAACTTCGCTCCCATTGGCTGTTGTGATTACTTTGGTCTTTTTTTAACTCAACTGAAAAACTACTCTACCAACCGGCTTCCTCATTTGGTATCGTTCACAACCCAATCAATTAACCCTTTACACCCTAACATCAGTATGCATATTCTCCATACTGTTCTCTATACATTTCCAAGGATCTAACAGGGAGAATTTGTAAAACCATCAACAGCTTCGTTAGTTGCTGATTATTCCTTATATTCTCGTGACTTAAACCTTTCAGGTGATAGGAGAAATTAGAACCTTGTTACACTTAGGGATTAAAGGGTTAAAGGCATTCCAGCCCAGTCTCCTACTCATTTAGAACATGGTTCATCAAAAGAAACAATCAGATAAATGAATAAAGGAAAAAAACAGAATTAAACCCTGAAGGGTTCACGAGAGAATGATTTTAGGTTACCTTTCAAACAGGAGAGAGGTGTGGCGTGCTGGACCAGTGTAATTTTTTGGGCCTTGAAGTTTTGTTGAGATCACAGCAGAACTGAAACAAAACAAACGCAAAATAAGTGAGGGGCGTTTGGTATATCAAAAACCCTCAAGAAAGTCGACAACAGGGTGATTTTGTATTCGAGGCCACCATTATCTGGGGAATTTCACACTATTGCTGGTTCATCAGAAAATCGCACGTGCTTGTGCAAAACTTCTTTCATGACTCTTAAAAACCACAAAAGAATAGAAGTGCACATCTTATTTGTGTATGTTGTCAGTTTAAATGTACCAGCAAACTCAATCTATGTGTAAACATTAATGGCGATTTCGATTTTGGTGATCCTAGCAGTGAGCAGGACTACAGAGCGGTCAAACGTCTACGCATGTGCGAACGTTTCAATGAATAACTAAGTGGTGCGCTTTCACAACCAATTTGTTTCACACGAGTTTCAAACAACCACCCAAGTAAGTAAGTCAAGGTGTTTCAAAATCATATAGCTTTTTCGGTAAAGCTCAGAACAGAATGATAAAGTAACAGGATACCTGTGCTTAAATAGCCTTGTTTTCGCAGTCTCGAGTTTTCCTTTTCTCAACTTTTGTTTCCTTTTACAGATTTCTATGAAAGTTTCGATTTTTTCAGTTTATTTTGCGAGACAGGGGCTGTTTCTTACGTTTTTTTTAATATTTTCGCGCGAAATTGGCGCGGCCGGCAAGAACTGATCCCCTCGCGCATGACCGACGTTCGTCCAATAAGTTTGAGTAGGACGCTGCCTACATAGGAACTTCACATACAGTCGAACTTAAAAACGATTTCTCGATAGCTCAGCTGGTAGATTACAGCGTATTAACAGAAAATCGAAACTGACAACAGTTCAAATATTTACGTCTTTGTCCGACGTTCCTGACAAATCTTCCACATAATTCTTTTCACTTTTAGGGACTGGACCTCGAACAGTCCTAAATAAGGATACACTTTTCCTAGGCAACAGATGCATAGTGAACATTACCTGATGTAGAACCCATGATGGGCATCTGGAGGATGTTCTGTCCATTTCAGGAATCCTTTATGGAACTGTACGCTCAGTTCTGTAACAGAGTTTGCAGGTAAAGTCAGCAGCATTTCCACAGTATAAGGCCGCAAACGATCCTTTGCTGGAGTCACGTGGATGATATCTACATAAAGACCAACCATAATTTTGGTTTCAGTTTGAAGTCATGTTCACAACTTTAGCAATTTGATATGCAAGAATTAGCCTACGTGTAACCGTACTCTCCCCCCCCCCCTCCTCCCCCATGAAGAAACGGAAGGGAGAGGGTCCCCATGAAGAAACAAGAATTAGCCGGGGACGTCCGCTTCAGGTCGGCTAACACGTAGGTTAACAAAAATAACCGTACCCTCTCTTTCCCGGCGTGATGTCTGCTTCAGGTCCAACAGTGACGTCTGCTTCAGGTCCAACAGTGATAATTATTGGTGCCACACCCCTAAAAACCTCTCTCCGACTCGCATCAAGTCTTCCCGCGAGCGGAAAAACGCGCGCCTTGCAGCGCAAATAATGAAGGCCTGCTTGGAAGCTAAAAATAGTGTCAAATACCATACAGGTAAAATGAAAGGTAAATCAGGAAGTAACCGAGACAAAAACTTCGTCATCAAGTCAATTTGTCATTCAACCAAAGGATTAAAAAGCCAGTGTATCAGCCAATCAAAAGATCCACCAATTATAATAGAACATTGGGAGTAGGAAGCATCTTTACCAGGCTTGATTTCCTTGCCAGCACTTTTGATGGTTAAGGTGTGAAGAAAGATCCTGAGGTACCACGGGAAGGTAGCAAAGTAAACAACTGGCAGGGGATCTGTGGGGTGACAATTGTGCAACATGGATATAATACCACCTTTTTCTTCACCATACCCTTAAAAAGAAGAGCAAAATTGTATTAGAAACGAGAGCTTAAAATCCTGATAATAAAAAGAGAGAAGCCACTTTCAAACTTAATAAACCATGGACACCTGGAATATTTCAGGAATGTTTAATGTATCATGACCAATCACACTGCACATCTAGACATTTGGGAAGTCCACCAATCCATAAAATATTTACTGATACAGATTAACATTTATTGTTACATTTTTCAGACACTATGCATGCAATGATTGCTCAATTTAGCAGGGTATAATTGTTATTGCACAGCCAGCTAAATTCAAAAGTTTGTTTGAATTGAAATCTTTCTTACTCTATTTGAACCCAAAAATATACCAAATATCTCACTAACCTCATTTTCTCTGTCCATACTGTAAGTTACAGAACCTCCTTTTTCCACTTGGATGTATGGCCCACCCACCTCACTCTTGGGTCATATATCTTTGTGGAAAAAACTTGTTCTGCAACTTACCGTAAGGACCTTGAGCTTGGATAGTAAGAAGTATGTTATATGTCATTTTGCAGGATTTATCCTCCTTACACAATAACATTCTAGCAATATTTACTTTATAACATGGTCCTCTGAGTTTCACAATTAAAAGACAAAAAATAATGATAGTTGCATTAACATTTACAAGGTAATGACTAAGTTAAGCTATGTCAATGCACTACTGACCTGTTACAAATCTTTGAGCATAAAGCTGTGGAGGTACACCTGTTGAAAAAGGTACAATCAAATAATTATTGGGACAGATGGAAGCAGTATTAACAACTAAAACAGTTAGCCCCTCGACCCTTTAACTCCCATGAGTGATCAAGACAAAATTTCTCCTTGCAATATCAATACAATATCAAGCAGACAAGTGTTGAGAATAAAGAAAAATATCAATTACAGGATTATAAGTTGATCCAAAACCAAATTCTCAAAACCAAACACCATAAGAATGGTATGGCAGACAGTAAGGAGAATTACTAACAAGGAAGTAATTCAGGGAGGCTTTATGTGTGATTCATGTGTGATTTGCATGCAAATTTTTGCCAATGTTCCACTGACCTTTAGCAACTCTCCTCTTCCACTTGAACATCACATTAAGAGCTGAGTCAGAAACACTGGTATTGACTAAATCAAGATATACATCAAAATTGTTTATCACTCACAGTTTGAAGATTCAAAAGACATAACCCTTTTTTAATACTCTGATTTTTTTTTAAAAAAACAGATGATTTAAAACTAGAATCTACAACTATTATTGTTGGCACAGGACTTCAATAGTTTGGTTTGGTCTTAAAACAAATGTAAATATATAAACATTGATTAAAAATTACTGGCAGAATTTCCAAAGGTCAGATTGTTATACACCATAAATGTCATGAAAAGTGTACTAACATACAGTGTAATCAGTTACAAACACTTTTTTGTTGTTTAACCTACCAAGACAATTGCTAGACTATGGTACATTCAACAAATTTCATTTGCATCACAATGAAGATGTGAGGTAAAACCAATTCATTTTTTCTTCTGATTGAATATAGTTTAGTTTGTCCCTAATTCAGCTAAAAAAATATCATTGTTCGAATTTCTGTAGTAATTGTTTGAACAAGTCCTCAAACTTTAGATCTCTTCTAATGGAGAATTATCTTTCCCTTAACAAGTGAGTAATGTTGAGGAATTATTCTTCCTGGCTTTACATTATACTTTTTGTTTTTGATATTTTGTGGGAAGAGCTTTGTGTAAGAAAAAGCCAATAAGTACTTAGCAACATTGTAAATTTATTTTGTCCATCAAGATTAAAATTTCAAGTGATTACCAAGGCAGTACTGGTGATAATGTTCTGAACTTACTCATTTGTTTCATGTCATACATGGCAAAGTATTGTTGATGCTGTCCTGTCACTTGTTTTGTTACTGTAGAGAAAGCTGGAGACAATGTGAACTGGGTATCACTCTGTTGGGTGGTAAAAAAACAGTAAAATGGTCACAATAAATTATTACAGTCATTTTGTGGCAGAAAAATCCCACAAGTCACTCAATGGTCAAATTTGATTTGCCTTACTCCCAACATGTGGCTTTGTAGCTCAGTGGGCACTATTGCCCAACTAGTAACTGGGTGGCATGGATTGGAATCCTATTAACCCTTTAACTCCCAAGATCTAATTGTTATTTCTCCCCTCTTGCTACTACAAGTTACCTTGTTAATTAGTTATGAGAATTTGGTGTTGAAGTAAGATAAAATCTTCTGCCTGATTAATTTGTGTATTCTTTTCAACTGTTTGTTGGATAATGTATGGATATTTTAGGGAGAAGTTACATGTTAATCACTTCTTGGAGTTTAACGGTTAAAGCCTGAATTTTTGCTTGTTTTTGTTTTGTCTTTTAAGGCTTCTTTCCAGTAAATGCATAAATTGCAGCTCAACGGCCAAGATCATTTCTTCCCTTGGGTTTAACCATTAATTGGTTGATTCACATTTAGTTTATCTCATGCCACTCATCAAGTTTGACTCCACAATGTACATTATTGGGAGAACTGTTGTATGACTTCAAGACCTACTTTTGATAAACAAATTACCAGCATCTCACACCTAACCTTGTTACTGCTTATATCAACATAAATGCGACTGGTAGTAGCCAGAGGACATGCAGACTTGATGGAACGACCAAATAACTTCTTGAAGGACCAATCTAAAAACAAAATAAATGCATATAATTATGTGTTATTTATTAATAATCTAAACCATACATAATAATAGCTTGGAAATGTTGAGATGTTCAACTCCTGTCCAGTGGCCTCTTTTCCCATCTTTTGAGGTCACTGTTAAAAGGTTTTTATGGTTTAGTTTTTGGACAGGAAAAAGTGTTTTCACTTTCTTATTCAACATATCTTTCCATTTCCACTTTTCCAAATTTCTCTTAACAGTAACTTTTAAAAGCATGACTGTCCCAAAGTATCATTTAAAACTTTCATCTGAAAAACCCAAAATCTAGTCTCAACACTTGTTGGTTTTCCCTCTGCATGAACTGTTCATGGGCCCTTTTGGAGGAACTGGTTGTAAGAACTTGCTCACTCATGTGCTAATCTTCCCATTCTTTAAAAACTCTTTCTAGGAACAAAATGTGTTGTGTGAAACCCATTCTCATTTTGTGTGCGTGGCTGTACAGAAGTTTATATAACTTACCATATTTGGATCCCCCTCTTAACAGTGGGTCCAACACCATGGAAACTGACTGTACTAATTCCACAGAGTATTGTGAACAGCTTGTATCCTTAAAATTGTGATAAATAAATCATACAATCCTAGATTAACTAAACACACCATGAGTATACTAACAGCATGCATGTTTTTTTACATCACAATTATTCAACCCTTTCACTTTCAAGATCTCTTTAGTAATTCTCTATGCTGTCTGTCAAATATTGCTTATATTTTTAGTTCTGAGAATTTATCACTGGATCAAATGGTAATCCTTTAATTGATATTGTTCTTTACAATCATCAAGTGTCTTCTTGTCATTGTAAGTATGTCTTGGTCACTTCTGAGAATGAAAAGGTGTCAAAAATTCCTTTCATAAAAACAAACTTGTATATAGATACCCAGCACATACCGCTTGTTGTATGAAGTAAAAAGCAACAGACTGAGCTGAGCATTCCTCAATGGGTATTAAAACAACACATTAATGGCTTGCTAATCAGTCACCTTCAGATCAAGATCTTCAATTTTGCACGCATCTTGCCGATTTGCCACATTAAAAGAAAACATGGTCTTGACATTGGTTATAAAAATAAGGCCTGTCTAACCTACAGCAAGTGCTATGTTTCATAATTCCAATGTTACTGTTATGAAACTGAAGAAACTAAATTTAGGTGCCACTGGAGGTAAATGTTCCCAATTGAAAATGACTTTTTGCTGCAGTTTTAAAGTACAGCTGCACAACATCTAAAGTCACAATTCACCTTAAATAGGCCTTGGAATAGACCTCCATCAATAAGTGGTTAACTGGTTTGTCAATGGGGTATTACCAGTACACATTCTGGCAGTCAAAAAATTCAATCTTACCAGTATAGAAGTAATGATTAATAGTTCAATCTACCTGGCAGATTGGTCTCAAATGAACTGCTAGAGAATGATAATTAACTCTATACAGCAGCAACGAGTTAAATAATGTAGTTAGACCAGCCTGAAAAAAAATACAAAAGCAGTGTTATCAAGAATTTTTCTATTTTATTCTAAAGTAGTGCATAGAAAGGGAAGGACAAAACCATAGGTAAGAAATTGGGAACAAATGGTTGTTTTACATGGGCAATACTAAACACTTAAAACTCTAAGTAAAAGAAGCATGTTTTATCCCCACAGTGACTTTTAAGACAATTAACACTGAATAACAAGTGCAGGAAAATACTTTGAACTATTTTCATCACAAAATAGTTGTCACCATCTTTTCTCATCAAAAAGAGACTCTTTTTGACAAGAAAACAAAAGATATATACATTGCACATAAATGTATATTTTCAATGTTGCAACATTTTTCAAAACGGGTGTATATATACATATATAACTTACAAGGCATTAAAAAAATTCACAAGGAACAAAAATCACATCACAAGATAATACCTTTGAGTCACATGGCAACAGTTTCTTCCATGGAGTGAGGTTCTCAGTACAAACCAACTCTCTGGGCAAAGCTGCATGTCTCAACAATGAAGAGTTTGTACCAGCAGTAGAGGTAACACCTTCCCTTGTAAAGGAAAGTTTGGGGCTTGTGGTTGTCTTACTGTCTATGAAATTCAGGGAAGCGCAAAATTGGCCTGACAATGCCTGAGTAAGTCCTGACCAGTTCTCATCCACACTGCAAACAAGAGCAGAAAAAAAAAACCAAGGTTTTTTACTACATTTTCACAATATTGATCACTCCTAATAATCACGACAAAGTTTTTTTGTGTATATGTATTCTCAGAAAATACACAAGTACACATTATTCATTACATTGTCCATGTAAGTGTAATTCAGAATAAGCTTCATGATCTTTAATCTCTTTTAGGGGCATTGACTATGTGTAGAATTTTTAACATATTGAAAAACATATACATTGATCTTACTTTTAGTTTGCCAGTGATCATCTAATCAAAAGTAAACCTAGAACCATTCCCAACTTTGTTCACTTAAATTTTCCAACAATAAAGAAGTTTCATATCTAATTTGCTCCTGATAAGCCATTTCTTGTTTCAAAGCACGCTGTTCTAAAAAGCTCCTATATAAGTACCTGTCCTTCACTCTATCCTGGAACCACACCCATAACTCTGCCCCAGGAGGGGCTGATGTCACAGGGTACCCCCACTGTTCATGCTGCCACTGTCCCTGTGTTAGACTCAGGTGAAGTTCTTCTACTGAATACTGATTAACAATCTGTCCAAAGGATTTTGGAAACAGCTTGTAGTGGGAGACTAAGATGAACAAAATGATAACAGTGACAAAGAAAGGTGATATCATGAATGACTATCACAAATAAAACCTACTAATAAAAATTGTTTTTCAGATTTATTTAGGCTCCAGTTACCAAATCTGGATCACTTGTCACATTTAGCTCATGCGTGAAGCTGGGATATGAAGCATCCTTATTGACCAAACTACCAAAACACACACTAAATGAAATGTTGATCAATGATCAAATGGTTTCTCTTTTATCTAGACGAGAAAACCATTCGGCCAAAAGGAAATAAATGTTTTTTTTTCAATACCGCGATAAAAACAAATCATTTCGCCTTTCTGCTAAAGGAAATCATTTATCAACTACAGCTGTGAGTTATTTTAGCCGATAGAAAGTTGTGACACTTACAGGATTTTGTGTCCCTGATATCCACATCCCAAACTGTAGTGAATTGAAAGTGTGCATATACGTGGCCAGTTTTCAACGGTCTCAGTAGCAATTCTTCATGGAAAACATCCTTCACCGCCAGAGAAAAAGACCAGAATAGAGAGAAAATTGCTAAACTGCTACAGACGGCCGCCATTTTGTAAGCAGCAAAGGCTTGGTTACATTTCCATTCTCTCCTAGGCCTTCGCTGACTTATCCTACATAAATATCAAAGATTTGAATACTATTGGAGAGCGCAAACTTATCCGTAAATGAAGTGATTCCAATTCATGTAAGCTATTAAAGAGTTGTTGTAGGCAACCTCATGGGTTACTTTTTCCGTTTAGATTAAAATATTCTTAGCGTAATGTAGAGACTCCTGAATAGGACAAGTTAAAACAGTGATCCACAAATTAAATGATCACGCAATAAATAGTCTTTAGTCATTATTTTTACGGAAATCATTGAATTGCGTGCTAATTCATATGCTGAAATAAAAGGCGCTGAAACTATTGATTCAGATTGATTGATTGAATGATTGATTGTTTGATGCTGTGTAGCTACACACTACTGAAACAGAATTACTTTGCTAATAGAGGTTCTGAAATGGGGAGGGTTCGAAACCTATTTCTCGGCAATTTCTCAGCCATTTCCCATAGTTTGCCTAAATCTTGTGGTTCCAGTAAAGGGTACAGGTAAAAACTTAAATTGGCCTGAATGCAAAAGAGTTTTGCATTGGTAACTATGATCGGCGATTTCTTTCTTCTTTTTTCGCTTGTGCAACTAGATAGTACCTTTTAGATTAAAAAACTTCAGAGGTGATACGTGATTTTAAGAAGGTTGTAAACTCAACCCCCAGTAGATAAAAAGGCGGTTTTTGATCAATATGACTTAAAACTCGGGTTCTACGGTAAATATCAGTCTCCGCTTTTATACCTAGAACCAAACATTTTGTCCAAAATGTCGGTAAGGAGCTCGAATTTTTAACTGTTTGCAAACAAAACAACCTAACGTGATTTAATATGCCTTGATTTGACTTTGCACTGTTTTATCACTTTATCCTTCTAGACGACCATAAAACAAGGACAAAGTTCAAAATTAAAAAAAATAAGATGTTTTTTTGACCGCAAAAGATACTCCAATAAATATTGATAGGACTCAAACTAGAAAATAGCGGTATTGTTGTGTGATCTTTGCTAGACGGTGTGGATAGTTGTACCTACTGTAGACAGTGTAGATAGTTGTACCTACTGTAGACAGTGTAGATAGTTGTACCTACTGTAGACAGTGTAGATAGTTGTACCTACTGCAGACAGTGTAGATAGCTGTACCTACTGTAGACAACGCAGATAGTTTTACATACTGCACACAGTGTAGACAGCTGCTCCTACTGTTGACAGAGTAGATAGCTATACCTACTGTAGACAGTGTAGATAGTTATACCTACTGTAGACAGTGTAGATAAACGGTTAAGAACATATGAAAGTCATATATTTGAACTGCGGATAAAGACGTGAATGAAAGTGATCCTCGCAGTAATGTGCACTACTTAGGCAGTAGTGAAAATAAGGCCTGAAAAAGACAGTGTAGATAGTTGTACATACTGTAGACAGTGCTACCTACTGTAAATAGTGTATATAGTTGTACCTATTGTAAACAGTGTAGATAGTGGTACCCATTGTAGAAAGTTGTCGCTGTTGTTACACAATGATACGTCTTACATAAGCCTTCCACACAGCAGACATCGCCGGCAAAAACTCTTTTTCCTCAGATTGGAAATCGTTTTGTTTCTGCAACTGTGTTGTTTATTTTCCCCTATTTATTTTCTTCTACGTTATTTCTGTATCATCCATTTCAGTTTTCAAATCGATATGCAATGCAAGTTGAAGCAAAACCTTTTCTTAGAACGTCTATCCGCCGAACTCTGACCTTGGATATCTGATCGTAAACTGCGGTGAAATTCACCATGTAAAGAGGCCCTAAAATAGGGTCGTTAGATTGCGGGAGGATCCGCGCTGGAGCATATCTCCGACATGTGGTTAAAGTTTCCGAACTTTATGCTTTAATCAGATAATGATTTCGGTAAATCGTTCGGACGAAATCGTATGCAACGAAACCCTGTTATGCCGATGATTGCTTCTTCAGATCAAGTATAGTTTTTGAAATGGAAGATTTGATAAAATATGCAAATGGTTTTAGTAGCTACATTTATCGCTGAAATTTACGTTTTGGTCGGAAATAAATCACGAAAAAAAAGTTGAAGTCTACGACTATGGCTCTTTGCTTTTGTACGGCCATCCTGCTGGTCGTTAGACTGAATTGAGGTTTGTTTTTTTTATAAATCATGGTACTCTTAAGCCATCAGTACAGTAAGTTATAGATTTATTCCGTTGAAGTCTCGAACGCCTTTTTATCCTTGCATGGACTGAAAGAGCTTTTTAATGATAATGCAATTTTTTTTATTATAAAAAGACTGCAATCTTCTTTATTGAGGGATTCGTAGGAGCCAAAAAGGCCAGATGAGATTCCCCAATCTAAAAGGGATAACTTGTACACCAACTTATGCAGTTGAAAATGTAGGTTAGTGTTCTCAATCAAGAGCTAAATACCATCGAGCCTTTTAAGCTGGGCCATGGATCAAAATACAATTATTACGTGGTTTGTATGCGCAATAAAGATGTGCAATGCAATACTAAGGAATCACATAAACGAGCCTCAGCAAACGAAGCCGTCCGCCATTACAACGTATGCTAATATTCTTCATGTAGATCGCTTTTGTCAGTTCATTGTATGATTAATTTCCTTTATTCTTGACCGGAAACGCTCGATTGCACTCTCAGTAAGACAAAGCTCCTCACCCTCCCCCCCAACCTGGTTTTTTAAAACTCAATACACCGACAATTTATGTAAAATAATATGCAGTTTCGAGATGGTCGAGCGGCAATCGTAGGCGCGCAACGAGTGCATGAGAGGTCATCGAGGTCGCGGGTTCGAATCACGCTATAGGAGTTATTCTTAATCTGGCTTGGGGGCCGAATAACTTCTCCCCGAGTATGATTTGGAGCTGGCGGACAAGGAGTTACTCTCAAACTGGCTTGGGGGCCGAGGAACTCCTCCCCGCTGAATTTGCATTTTGTTCTTCCTGTTATTTTTACTTTTTCTCCTTATTATCATCATTTTTGTCTTCTTTTTTCCTTCTTTTTCGGGCCACTTTGTTAATTGTTAGTTATATTCTGAATCCTGTAGTGTTTTCTGTTGCTCAGACGTTGCCGGCAAAGACTTTTTTTCCTTAAAATAAAAATGGTTTTTTTCTTTCTTTAACCGTTTTATGTATTTTTTTTACCTCTTTTCTTCCTTTTACGTTTCTTATGTATTATCCATTTCAAGCTCGTCATCCTTCGATAGGCAATGCAAGTTAGAAGGAGGTAAACGTTTTCTCAGTATGTCTACGTGCCGAACTCTGACGTGAAGATGTCGATGTCCGATCGTAAACTGCAGTGAAGTTCTCTTTGTCGAGAATAAAATGAAGAAACAGGCTATAAAGTCTTTGAGGATCCGTGCTGGAGCACATCTCCGACATCAGCCAAACTTTCTGTAATCATGCGAAATGTCATGTATCAGTAATCGTTTGAAGTCGTATGCAAGGAACTCATCCAAAATTGGACAGAGCACCATAATCTTAATACAAGAGAGAAAATAACCTTAATACCATCTCTTGACTAGAAGCAAGATTGAAAACATGGAATTAAAGGAAATATGTCGTTCTTGACCCTTGAAACGTTGCTTTTGTTTGCTATGCCGATAGTGTTTGTTAAGGTCAAATAAAGTTTTTAGTTAGCATTAACTTTACAATTTGTCATGGCTTAACCAGATACAACTGGTTCTAGTAGTTCACCTTGATTACTGAGTGTGTTTGAAAACTAAATCAAGTGGTTAAGCTCCCTATCGCAGTCTAAGGCTCCTGACACCTTTCAGGCCTTCCTGTTGGTCGTTAGAGGGGAGGAGGTTTGGGCAAAGGTACCCTCTTCTTACTTGTGGTCCGAATTATTGGAAACTTTACACCTCCTTTCTCTCAGATAATGATTTCGTAATGATAAATTTCGGACGACAATCAGAAGTGGCAGTGTCAATATGCTGACGATGCTTGCGTCAGTCCCACTTTGAAATAGAAGATGGTTAAATAATGAGTACATCGGTTACTTCTACGAAAGAAATTTGTGTTTCTGGTCAGAAATAATCTGCGAGAAAAATGTGCAATCTACCGACCACTTCCTCTCTTTGCTTCTGTAAGGCAAAAACTCTCTGATACGAATCGACCCGTTTTTTTTTATATAAATCATGGTACTCTTAAGCCACCAGTTCAGTAAGTTGCAGATTTATTCAGTTTAAGTCTCGAACGCCTTCTTATCCTTGCATGAACTGAAAAAGCTTTTTGATGATCATGCAAATTTTGTTTTAATAAAAGGACTACTATCTTCTTTATTGAGGAATTCATTGGAGGCAAAAAGACCAAATAAGATTCCTCAATCTAAAAGGGATAATTTTTTCAATAAAATTATGCAGTAGAAAGTATAAGTTAGTGTTCTCAATCAAGAGCTAAAGACCATCGTACCTTTTAACCTGGTACATGGATTAAAATACAATTAGTGCGCTTATTCGCCCATATGATTACGTGATTTTTATGCGCAGTCAAAGATGTGCAATGCAATACTGAGGAATCATATTTAAGACCTTCAGCAAACGAAGCTGTCCGCCATTGGAACATATGCTAATATTCCTCGTGCAGATCGCTTTTGTTAGTTTTTGTTAGACTTGTTTCCTTTATTCTTGACTGGAAACGCTCGATTGCATTCTCAGTGAGACAAAGTTCCACACCCTCCCCCCAAACCTGATATTTTAAAATTCACTACCTCTCTTTGCTTCTGTACGGCATAACTCTCTGATACGAATCGAGCCGTTTTTTTTATAAATCATAGTACTCTTACGCCATCAGTTTAGTAAGTTGCAGATTTATTCAGTTAAGGTCTCGAACGCCTTTTTATCCTTGCATGAACTGAAAGAGCTTTTTGGTGATAATGCAAATTTTGTTCTCAAAAGAGGACTACTTTCTTCTTTATTGAGGGATTCATAGGAGCCAAAAAGACAAAATAGATTCCCCA